GATTATTTTGAGCTAGATTAATCAGAAAATGCAATATTTTCCCCCTCAGGTTGATTTCTGTGGCACTTTTTTCCCCCTCACAGTCATGGGTTCCGAACAGAAAGTAGTGAGTAATAAGTTGGGTTTCATTGTTGGCTGGTTTGTTGCCAATCTTTGTGCTGGTTCTACCTGTACATGTTTGGTCTTCTGTGAAAAACCGAACTTTGGTGGGTCATTCTATTCAGTGTATTGTTTGCTGTAGTGTAGTAACAATGCCATTGATCCAGTGTCTGAGTTCACATGTACAAGAACTCACTCCTTGTTTTGTTGTGGTTTGCTGTTATCAAACACCAGCAGTGCAAAGTACACATGTACAAACAGTGGAAGATTAGGTCATGTGTAAACTGCTAGAGTTGCACTTGGTTGATTTCATCACTGACAAAGTAACATGGCAAATTAGAAGAATATGTAGAGTAAATGTGCACCAATACTTTGCACATATGAAATGTACTGCACAGAACATTCAATCACATGTACACATCTAATTCACAATGTATGCGTACCTGTACATGTACTGGTATGTAGCATGGGCAGTCTACATACACGCATATATTTGCAAACATGTACACCTGTTCAGTTGTAAACAACTAAACATTGACTAACCGGTACTTAATTGTTATAATCGATAAATGTAATGAGAATGATTTTTCTTTTTTAAATAAACAATACTCCTAGTCCTATTTAATTTCAAGCTGTTGATATTTTCCAGGTACTGTTGGTACATCATAAATGTTGACCCTTTAAGGTTCCTTTAACAGTATATTGTTTAATTAACCTGTTTGAATTAATTGTTTAATTAACCAATAAAGCACAAAAACGCTTGCATAACTTGAAGATTTGTTTATTATCAACATACATATACACAAGGCCAAGTGTTATGTGGCAATAAAAATTTTGACTTTAAAGTCAGAAATTTGACTTTAACAAAAATCCAGGTAGGTTGGGTTACTTTAAAACACACAATTTTTTTTTAGGCCTTGCCAACTTAAACCAATTCCATTGTGCTGAGCCATCTTTTACTTTTTAGTTCTGAAGACCGAGTTCTGAAGACTGAAGAAATATTTGTTATACATGTACACAAACTGTACATGGAAGATGCAACGTGTGGGTTAAATGGACATCTACTGGTAGGGAGTGAAATGTCGAAATACGAACCAGTAACATTTTCAACTTAATACCGGTAATTTCCCTAAGAAACTCCCTAATATATGAGACGAATGAGTGCTGAAATGACCCATTAATTTTGGGCTGGTGTTACATTGGGGACATCCACAAATAAACTGCCGCATACTTGCCATACTGTGAATTATTTGGGAAAGTATTAATGAAAAGGGTTCAAGTGACTTGCTCTGACAAATAATAAATGATATGCAGCCTAAGAACACAAACAGAGGCCATAGTTGATTTTATGAGTACTTTTACTATTTGCATACCGAGAATTCCATTTTCAGTACAAGTAGGACGCCAATAGAGTGAACACCATTTGTACTATGGTACTGGTAGGACTAACAAACTTTAGAATATATACATTTACATGTCATGCAGTAAAACAAATTATGTTACATGTGAAATCTTCTAAAACTGGGTGGATTTACATGTAGAGAGATCTGGATGTAAGGGTTTAACCCTAAATCCTGGGGCTCTTTTACTAGAAAGTATCCTGAATCCGCCCAAATCCACCAATTTTGTCATGCAAAAAATGCTGGTATCCTGAGTCCATCAGAATCCCCCAGTGTAGAAACTGGAGGTATCCTGAATCCATCTCGATGGATTCTGGCGGATTCAGGATACCATGGTTGCATAAAAAAAATTACAGCATGTTTTTCCATAGAGTCTTCAAAATCCATCACCTAAATTTCTGGTGGATTTTGACGGATTCAGGATACCATGCTCGCATGAAAATTGTGATGTGTGTTGTTGCATAGGATCCATCAAAATACACCAATGCATGGCGATTCTAGCATTGCATTGCCTGGATGGGTTATTTACATAATCTATTGTTTATATGCCGAGGCCTGTAGCCCCAATCACATGTAGCTCCCATCCACACAGTACATGTGTGTACATGTTTGTACAGTATGTGACAGACTTGGCAGGGCTAGTGCCAGCAGTATTTACTTGACCACAAACATTGCAAAAGAGTTAAACTGTTGAGATCCTGAATCCATCAAAGTGCCCCAACAGCTCAAAATAGAGGTATCCTGAATCCATCAAAATCCGCCAGTTCTGCTAGGCTTCCAATCCTGAATCCATCAAAATCCCCCAGTTTGTTCAATATGGAGGTATCCTGAATCTGCCGAAATCCCCCGAAGCAGGGGGATGGATTCAGGTATGTTAGGGACGGTTAATACATGTGTTGACATGCATACTTGTATTAAAAATCTTCAACTTTTCATGATTGAAAATGGCTTGCAGAGGTCCTTGTGGGTGTTTCAGTTTGCCCACTTCTGTTCCCTTTGGTCACTGAAGGCTTCACAAACCCCTGTCAAAGATTGAACAACTCTGAAGGTGAAAGCTGAAGTGTCATCAACCAGAACCCCCCCCCCCCCAGCAAATTGTGATTCCCAACAATTGCTGTATCACAGTGAGCGCATTTTAGGGTGGAGTTACTGATTGTATTCTGGATGACTCAGCCTGAACACACAGTGTGCGTGTGTGTGTGTGTTGGGGGGGGGGGGGGGGGGGGGAGGGGTAGGGATCAGGATCAAGATGTGATAACACACAGGGAAATCCCTCCATTGATAGATGTCCCACTGCCTGCTGTCATCGTCCCCCTCACAGGTTACACACAGTGAGGATTTACATGTGAATGCAAATAGTCACTTACAGTTAACATGCATGTAGGAACAAATGTACAGCTGGGCCCAATTTCACGGCCCTGCTTAGCACAAAAATTTGCTGAGCACAAAAAAAGTCTGGCTTATAAAAGCAGGTTACCAGCCAAAACTCCATGTGATTTTCATGCTAAGCAAACAACAGCTGAATACCAATCACAAGCAATATACATCACATGGAGTTTTGGCTGGTAACCTGCTTTTATAAGCCAGACTTTTTTGTGCTGAGCAAATTTTTGTGCTTAGCAGCGCCGTGAAATTGGCCCCTGGTCTACCGATTTAACAAGAAAATCCTTGCTCAAAGTGAAGATAGGACTGGTACCACACACCCTCCGCCTGAAATGGTATCATTCCATGAAGGTGGTTGAAGGAAATGTGCCCGCAGGCAAAGAGATTTGTTTAAAACATGCGTTAGCAATGGAATCCAGTAACAAGACCCGACATTTTTTTCATAGCTTCTAAGAATAGAATGAAAGTTAGTGCTAGACACAAATTACATAAAAATAAAAAAATCCTGTCTCTTAAATATAAAATTAAATAAAGTTGAACAGCGGCAAGAAATGTTATCCTCAAGTATGTAAAAAGCAAAAAAAAAAGAAGAATAATACACATATTTACATGTAACACAACATATAAACTGAAACAATACCTTGTCAACATTATATATTCAAAGTTGTTAGCAATTAAATATGCATGCCATCTGCAACCCTCTGAAAAGGGGCTTTGTGCCAGCTAATATATGTAATTCGAATTTTGGGAAGAAATAATTCAATAAGTAAAGATCAGTGGATTTTTTTTTCGTTTGGTGTCTCATTCAAAAGTGAACAACTTTTATATTGCTAGGGAAATAGCAATAAAAAAATCTACTTTTCGAGGTGAAAGTCAAAACTAGCGGGGGAACGCATCTTTAATGTGTTGTTGTGGCGCACAATCACAAATTAGCAAATAATATGGACGACCTTGTACAAACGAATGGTTACGTTTTCCTCCTGATAAACATATCATTTTACTGAATGCTTTTGTTATTCCGTTCTGGGCATGCAGCTGTACTTGACAGTTGTATTGATTTTATCGTAGGTGTACATTATGTGCATGTAGTATACATCCGCAGATTAATGTAGCGAGCTGGCTAGTGTAACAGTGTACGTAGTAATGAGGAGTGCACACTGTCATTATTATTGAATTTTTATAGCACATTTTATATTATATGTACAGGGCTACAGGCATTTTGTATGTACCGGTATGGTGTGACACACATTGCCAATGTGTGTCTCACTGGGACTCGTTTTGGGTGTGTCGGTCAGTTTTTGTTTCTATTTGTGCAGACGTACTGGTACACGGTGACGTGAGTGAAGTGGGGACACTCGTTACAGTTAATGACTGTATTTTCTCCAGCCTTTTTAATTTAAAGCAATATTTGATTGGACAGTAGGCCAATAAGAGATGGCCTGCGGGTACAAATCCGAAGAGTGATTTGAACATTTAGTGCTAGAACACCTGCTGAATATGATTTATCCTTGTAATTTGTGTTTCCAGCAAACAAGGTAAACTATTTGTGAAAACTTTCATTTTATTAAGTTTAAAAAATCTTTTAGTTTTTGATAGTGTAATGTTGGATGTATATTGTTTGTTTTTATTTCGATGGCTTACAATGTACACAAAATACATACATGTACATGTTCACATGTACTCTACATGTGTACTCTGCACATGTGCAATATACATGTTTACAACATGTTTACAACATGTTTACAACATGTTTACAACATGTTTACAACATGTTTACAACATGTTTACAACATGTTTACATGTTCAGATGAAGAAGGTAAATTCACAATTTGGTCACTACAATCCAATTATTAATATTTTCCGAACAGATTAAAAAGCTTTTGTCACTGTTGTTCACATGTTGTAAGGACTTCGTTTACATAATGTACATGTTCACTGTTGATTTTACATTTGAACATGTACATGTACATGTACATGTGTCATCTGCTAAATTTGCTTGACTCAGTCCACTGGTCTAGTTGCCTACCCAAAGTTAAAAACTTGACAGAATTTCTGCCTAACATTTCCTTGTATTATTTATTCATTTTTTTATTTGTCATTTGTCTCTGCATTCAAAAGGTCAAACGCTGAATAAAGACCTGCGTCGATATCTCAACATGCGTTTCCAGAAGGGCTCAGTGGACCATGACTTGCAGCAAACCATCCGTGAAAATCTCTACGTTCGCACCGTGCCTTGTAAGTACGCTGTTCATCATGTTCATGTACATGTACATGTACGTGTACCTGTTGCAGTTGAACTCACACGTGTATCATGTGTAAGTCTGCATCTGATACAATGTAACTCCACATCTGATTCATTTACATGATGTTTAATTACATGTGTGTCAAGTACATGTATATGTGTGGTCGGTGTTTGATCCCCTCTTCTTTTCAAAATAATGTCTGGTCCCCCCCTCCCCCCAAGAAAAAAAAATATTGGTCCCATTCTTCTATTTCTATGTATTGTTCCCCTTCACAAACGTTCTGTCGTAAGTGTTGTTGCTGATTTGCATTGAAGTTTTGCTTTCAAGACCAGAACAAAAATTTGATTTTGCGTTTGATTTTTTTGGGCATACCACTTTGTATTCTTCTACTGGTCAATGCTGTGGTCCAATGGTTACATTGTTCGACTCGTGTGCTGTGGTACATGGGTTCGAATCGAATTCTGACGGGGAACATGGTGCTTTCGCCGCATCACCTTGGAAACCCTTATAAAGGTGCTACATAGTGGGTTTCATATTTCTCATAAACTTCATTTACCTGTCTTTAAAAAGAAACATAATTACCAGCGCTTTGAGTACCTAATTGTTGGTAGATATGTGTGGGCTATATAAAACTCCAGTATTATTATTACTGGCATGTCCAGTTGGTAAAAGTGTGTAAATATACAGAGTGTGGTTTTGATGAAGTTTTCTGACTGAGTGTCTAGGTGTACATTTGTTGAAATGAATCATTTATGAGTGTATGAATCAAACTTGTTTTATTTTCTCATCAGATATTCACCAGGCCAAGTCAAAACAATGTGAATATTGCACAATATTTATACTGTATAATTATAAACACACCTGCAACATAGCCAGTGTGGTTACTGCGGTATACTTTGTGTTGTGGTGTCAGCTTGCATTATAAGTGATGACGTCTATTGACGATTCAGGGAACCATAAATTTATGAAAGCGTGAAGGAAAAGGGCCATTCAGCAGGTTGCACTCATGCACAAACTTGGCAATTCAATTTCCTGTATACTGACACAATGATCTTTATACGTAGGCTCGATATAACGCGCACCCTCTCCAACGGTCAAAGTTCTAACTGTGGTTGGAAGGCTTGCTAATAATACTTGATACGCATTCAGGAACATTGAATCATGAATAACATGTTTCTTTGATTAATGGGACCAGTTATTGCCAACAATGAGTAGCAAAAATTGGTGGTACTGGTAGTTTAACATGTACACTGTTCCATGTACTAAAGTTATTTGCATACAATTACAAATGTGGTGAAGTACACGAAATTCTATTTGGCATTCAGGAATGGACCTTTCTGTGTTATGTCAAAATTTGTCTTTGAGGGAAAAAATAAGGAACGGTCTATTTTTCATAGCCATTGTACTTTATGGAGTACCGGGTAAGTGTCCTGTTTTTCCATCACCCGTTACATAGACCCCTCTAGGTCTTTTCACACTAGACAAATCTCGGGGTTGACACAGGGTTGACGCAGGGTTGAAAACATGCAGCATTTCACACTTGAAAAAATTTCAACCCTGCGTCGACCCCGAGATTGATTGATAACAAACTCAACCCGGAGTGGCACTGGGTTTGCCCAGGTTTGAGTTCAACCTGGGTTGAGAGGCTCTAGTGGGAAAAGGGCTTCTCATAGACAGTCATCTTCGTAGGAAAATTACAACTGTGTCTTCCACGCCATCAAGCACGGGTGTGCACAGTTTGCAAAGTGTTCTAAACACGCGTGCATGTTGTTCGAAAGTTCTTGGAATTGGAAATACGGCACAGCCAAGCGCGTCACAAAAATTTGACTCCCAAAATGGTGATCACTTGACAATCTGTAGGCAGTGCCGTCATTTGAGAGACTATACAAAAGTCCAGAAACTCACTTAAAAAAAAGAAGAAAATCTTCAGTTACATATAATATGTAAAAATTAACCCTAACAGAACTCAACCCATCAAACCCCAACAGCATGTTTTGTTGGAATCTGTCAGGATGGGTACAGTACCCCTAAACTGACAGTCTTTTACATTGGGTTGGCACACCTCCAGAATCAAAGTCAGAAATATGTGTGTGCAGTTTCTCATATGGTGTTGGAATTTACCAGGATGGGTATGGTTCCTAGTAAATCATGCTAGGGAGTTAGGGTTAATTAAGCTAGATATATTTTTTTGGGTAAACAACAATTTAACACCAATTCCATGCAGACATGGTCCAGACTTGGTCCGTTTCTAAAGAGCCTCAATTACAAACTCATGTGGAATATACCTTAGAAAATACTTCCCTTTGTGCATCAAACTGTCATAAATCAGGAAAGTTTTCCAAAAACGTTGGCAAGCCAACATCATTCGACAGGTGACCAGTCTATGATTTACTTGGATATTTTCGGGTTTTTTTTCTTTTTTACTTTTAAAAATGGGTTCCTTGTTACAATCAGTCCTTTGTTGTACCGGTCCAACAACAAAGCATACATTTGTACTTTGACTAAAAATCTGCTGTAAAAACTCGCCATTGCTTAGCTTACCAGTAGCTGCAGTGCTGAAATGTGGACGAATTTCAACTTTAAAAATGCACAAATTTACAAGGGTTTATTTGGATTGGAATTCTTGGAAAGTGGATGTTACTGAGGGTATGCATGTGTACTGGTGTACCACAGGTAAAACTTCTTTCAAATTGCTGGATTCTATCAAGTATATTATAAAACCAAAAAAGTTGGGTTTTTTTGTAAACATTGCAAAATTTATCATACAGCCTCACACTCACAGGTGCATTTGACTTGAATTTTTCTAAAGAGCTGACTACAATTTTTTTTCAAAGATGCTTGAATTTGAAAAGGTTGCCAACACACTGCATTGAATGTGCAGAATTGAGAAATTACAATGTAAGGCAAAGGCAAATTTTTCAGTGGGAACTGAAAAGTTTTAGTTTTTACATTTTCAGAAACGAGTTCTGCAAGTTTTGTAGACATATGTACATGGAGCTGTCCAGTATGGATATTTTAAAAAAGTAATTTGTAAAGTTGCACACTGCATATTATTATTAACACTACTGTGCAGATGCCTGTACATACCGGTACATTGCACATACCGTACATGTATTAGGTGTGTAAACAATTTACAATGTACGTTGTACCTAAGTGCAAACATAGGGGGGGGGGGGGGGGTTACATGTACATGTACGAGGTATACATGCATATTTCTGAAGTGTCAAAGAACATACATGTGCCTTTGCTCCTACATGTAAAACAACAACAATTGAGTAAAGACACACATGTGTTTGAGCCATAAATCTGTCCTGCCCAAATTGAGTCTGTGGGGACCAATGACAGACAAAATTCCTACCAGTTGATTCATAATGAGCAACACAAGGCTGGTGTTTGTCTCCTCGCCTCAAGGGGGACCGGGAGGGAGGGAGGACCCACCACATCACCAGACTGTTTATTAGTCTACCTGCTCTAATCAAGACATTGCCATGGTAACCACAAGTGACCTGTAAATGAGTGGGGCAGGTCAAGTCAGTTGACCTCTGACCTGACCTGTATTGTGTGGTGCACATGTATTCAGTGTGACATGTTTCAGACACCATTCAGCACCAGATGTGGACAGAAGACTTGGCCATGATTTGTTACGATTTGGAACAATCTGCACTCCCCCACATTAGTCTGAATTTATTGCCCCGATGTTTCGATGTTATCAATTGGGAGGTTTGATTGGGTTGCCTTGGCAATGCAGAACCACCCCCTGGATGCCAGAATGCATGCCAGACAAGTAGACTCCTATTCTACATGTAAACAAAGATTAAATGGAAGTGAGAAATGTCTGAAATCTGATGTGGAAATTGAGTCACAGTAAAGTTGTCTGCAATGTGTATGATAACAATTGCAGCAATTACAATGTTCTTGGTACATGTTCATGTACATGAACATGTACACGTACATGTACATGTACATGTATATGTACATGTACAATACTAATTAATGTAACTACGTACATGTACAATGTACATGCATTTACTGTGGAAAGATACACTTCAATCCTTTTTGGTACCCTCTCCAATCCAACATCCAACAGATTCTCATGACAGCAAATTGTGAGCCTGCTACATTCTAACAAAATCCAACAACAAAAATAACAGGTCTTTTGGTTCCTACTCCGATCAATAAATTCTAGCAGAAAATGCCTTTGGATATTGTTGGATTAAGCATAGTTAAGGTTAAAAGAGGAATTCTCAGTATGAAGGTAATGTTGAAATCATCAAACCTGTTTGAAAAGTCAACCTTTGCATGAACCCAAAGATTATTTATATTTTTCATCCAATTATACAAAAAGTCACTTGACCTGATCTAATTTGACCTGTTCAACTTTATGGGCCATTCATCCCATTTGTTAGACAGACTTCAAACTTGGCCTGGTGAATTTCTCATTGTTATAAAAAAAAAAGAGAGAAAAGAATTTTTTCCCCAATCCTCTTTGCATGGGAGAATTGGCATTAGGGTCCATGAATCAACGTCCAGTAATTGCCAATTGTTAACCTCCCCCCTCCCAATTTTGTTTTGTGTTCTCTGGATTTTTAGGCTTTATTCATCCGGTTTCTTCCCATGCACTGCCTCACTGCGTTTTCCAGTTAATTTTAATGTACATGTACATCCAAATGAACCATCAATTCTAGTTTTTCTTCTTGAAGTAATTTTTCTTTTTCATAGATTTCCTTTTCTATCCCTTCTTTGTGGCTTTGAAATGGGTTGTGTTACAGTCTCAATGTAGAATTTCTCTTTTTGACATTACCAAATTTGATGTTCACGTACAGTACCTGGTACCGTACATGTACACTCGGGGAAGTGGTAGTCTCAGTTTGTTTGGCATGGCGGTGAACAAAATTAATACACAAAATAAATTTTGCAAAACTTCAACTAATTTGTGACATTGTGAAAGACACTCGCTCACTGCTTCTCCTCACCAAGACATTGAAGGGGTACCTGTTACTGGTAGGATCAAGATACATGTAGTTCATTGGCTAATTTTGTTCTGAATGAGCCATTTGCACCTGGATTGGCAGCACACATACTGCATACACTCCTCCTTACAGAGCTGAGATGGTCTAAGCATGGAGCTATATAGCTCCATGGTCTGAGCATATTGTTTATAGGCTATGGAATGCTTTATGGGTTAATTTAGCAGGTGTAATAGAATGTAAAGCACTTTGATATTCAGCACTTTCTAATGACCATTTTTGTTATAATACAAGACAAAAGAGGGTTTACTGTTCCTATTGTTTGGACTCACCGGTACATGTAAACTTTTTCTCAATATGTCTCACAAGGTTTGTACACAACAATCTATCGAGGATTTGAGCTCTGGTCCTCATGGTTATTGTTACCGCAGGTAACCCATTGTCCCAAGTCCTAATAACAAGATCAACTGTTGGACCCATCCCCATGTACATGTACATGTATGTTTACACATGTGGTAGACAGACATGAACATAGAACCATGATAACACATGACCACATGTACATATGTATGTATGTCCACAGTTTATAATTGATGTAATAATATACGGCACATGTGTACACGTACATGTATGCACATGTTCACAATATGATTGATGTACCGTACATGTAAGCACTGGTTATTGTTTTGCTGGAAAACAAAATTTCTAAATAAAAAACAGATTGTGTTGAAGGAATGAAATGTATAGATTTCGCTGCCCTTCCACCTGGTTCAGTCTTTGACACAGTTTATCACTACCTTTGAATGTCCCCCTTGAGACACAACTGGCAATGTGGGTGTGTCATTACTGCATTCAACCACTCCCCGGTGACTACTCAGCCTCTTAAAATGAATAGGATTCTGTCTTTTCTCTAAATTCATTTGGAATGCTCTACATGCTGTACATGTAGGTGAAGAACTCACACATGTACAATACATACACTGTACTGTCTGGTACATGTACATGTACATGTATATGTAATGGGAGCATTCAATTTTAAATTGGGCCCAGATTGTGGATATCCATCCTCTTCTGTCCACACATTTGCTTGAATGGTTTGAAAATATTGTATGAGATGGAACTTTCTTCAGAAAGATTTACATTTTCTATTGGGGTTACAATACCAGTCACTGGTGAATTTATAATTAATACAAATTCAGTTACATGTACTGGTACATTGTAATTATATTTGAATATATTTGGCGTTGGATGTACGTTTACATGTACATCACTGGTAAAAGTTATTCACAAATGTCATTTATGAAAGTACCACATTGTTTGATCTCAATTTGTGTTTTTGTGTATTCGTGTTTTTATCCGTACAAAAACATTTTTTTGCATTTTAATTTGCAAGCATATTTCAAGCAGTTTAAAACCCCACTATGCTGCTATGCAGTTCTGGAAACTATCAACCCTTTAGAAAAAAAAAAAAATTCTACATTGGACTTTGTCAAAAACCATTTGAGTGTTTCTACTTCCTGTTCAGGTACCACAAGAGCTCCCCGGGAAGGCGAAGTCGACGGGGTGGACTATAAATTCCTGTCGGTGGATGAGTTTATGGCGCTAGAGAAGAGCGGGCATCTTCTGGAAAGCGGCGTGTTTGATGGTAAGGGAATAACTAAAATAGGTTGAATAAAAAAAAGAGAACGGAACTTTTCAATCCCATTAATTGAACATGATTCTTCCCAGGGGTATTGTAATTATTCGCCATTTATTATGTACTGATTTTCTCTGCCATTAACCAAGGGCGGAAATCGCTCCTTGAACGTGGGGGGGACAGGTTTTTTTTTCTCCCCGAAATTATATTACTCACAAAAAGTCACAGGCTGAACGGCAATGGCGTAGCCAGGATTTTTTCAGTAGTGGGGGGGGGGGGGGGGCTGGGGGGGGGGGCTGGAACATTTCATGGGGGGGGGGGGGGGCAAGCAAGGGGCGTCAATCGCTTCTCAAAAGTGGGGGGGGGGGGCATACCTTGATCATAACTGATGCAAGCGCGAAGCGCGAAGCCCTTACGGCGTGGGGTTCGGGGCCCGCTTAAGGGCCCCGAACAAAAATTGGATTCTACATGTTCTGTGGTGTGACTTGAAGCAATTTCTTACGATTTTCTTCCATGCTTTAACTAATATTTTCTTGGCAAAAGACAATTATTTGAACATCGTTTTCGAGGTTGGAGACATTGAATCAGCTATCGGTATTCTTAGCTATTGGCGTGGGGTTCGGGGCCCGCTTATGGGCCCCGAAAAAAATTGGATTTTCGATGCTCTGTGGTGTGATCTGAGGCAATTTTTTACCACTTTAACCAATAATTATCTTAGCACAAAAGATAATAATTTAAACATAATTTTCGAGGTTTTCTCAGCTAAAGGCATAAGAAAATTTTGTGAACATTGTTTTCGAGGTTGGAGTCATTGAATCAGCTACCAGAATTCTGAGCTATAGGCGTGGGGTTCGGAGCCCGCTTAAGGGCCCCGAAAAATTTTGGATTCTAAATGCTCTGTGGTGCTATCTGAGGCAATTTCTGACCGCTTTAACCAATATTTTCTAAGCAAAAGATGCATCGTAGTACATAATAGGGCCCTGTAAATGAGACACGAGTTCAAAAATGGGGGGATGGGACATTTCGTCACCGTTTTCACGAACAGCCACATACTATATATATTATGTTGATTTTGAAGTAAAATGTTTTCGAGATAATCACAAAAGAAGTTTCTCATATTTTAAAACTGCAAGAAATACTACTTTGCAACAACTTTGTGCAGCAAGAAAACCATCACACGATTCTACGTGAGCTGAAGTTCTACATAAACCCGGTAATAAGACTTAATAAAGCAGTTAATTAGTGGAAATTAATTAGTAAAGATATGTGGCTCTTTGTGAAAACGCAAATTCACGTTTCCGACATATTGGCCCTTTCTGTTCAACGTGTATTTCCATAGGCGCGCGCCTGAAAATGTAACAAAGATATGTGGCTCTTCGTGAAAACGCAAATCTCATTTGACCTACTTTTACGTATTTCCGTGCAATGGGTTTTGTACGCGTTCAAAGGGCCAAAATGTATGTGGCTCTTCGTGAAAACGCAAAATGCAGTTATCGAGATTTCTGCCCCTTGCAACATTAATGTAACTTAGAAATTAATGATGTTTTGCTTACAGAAACATGTCAAAATGGTTAAGTACATTGTTTTAATGCGAAATATCGAAAAAAATCAAAATCGAAAAAAATTGTAATTTTGGAGATATGTGGCTCTTCGTGAAAACGGTGACGATTTGATATTGTGTCCCCCACTCTTCAAAAGGTGTGGAAGGACATGTCCCCTGTCCCCCCCCCCCCCCCCCAGGATTGACGCCTATGGCGTCATATAGATCAATGATATTTTTTTTAGAAACTCAAAATCTCAGTTGGGGGGGGGGGGCGACTAGGGGGGGCGACAAGGTTTCATGAGGGCGGTCCCCCCCACGCCCCCCCCCCCCCCCCGGTGGCTACGCCACTGCTGAACGGACAACTTTCCACTCGTAATATTGCCATGGGGTATGGCAGCCATAGCGAGAGACTTGAAATCAAGTCTGTAATGAGTGGTTTAATTTAATCGCGTCCGCCGCAAGGGCGGATCCAGAACACAACTTTTTTAGGGGGGCCAAAAAAAAGTTTGGGCCCCCCAAAAAGTGGGTCCAAAAAATTACGGCGTGGGGTTTCGGGGCCCGCTTAAGGGCCCCGAAAAAAAATTTGGATTCTAGATGCTCTGTGGTGCGATCTGAGGCAATTTCTGACCACTTTTACCAATTTTTTTTTAAAATAAAGATGGGGGTGTACTCATTGCCTGCCTTTATTGCGATGTCACATAAAAAAAAATTTTGTTTCGTTTTTTTTTTGGGGGGGGGGGGGGCATGGCCCCCTTGATAATGCAACAATATATTTCTAAACCTCATTGTGTGCATCGGGCATGTTGTCATTGCGGTTCTGTAACCTTAAAAATGGGCACAAACCGCGGACGAGTTCGTTTTCAGGGTGATTAGTTAAACTACAACAAACCATATGGGCCAAAAGGAGCTTACGTTTACAGTCGACGCGCACTTAATTTTCTGAAGGGATTTACAATTATTCGTAACAGTTTCAACTTCCATAATTACTTAAATATTACTCCTTTTATTCAAAGACAGTTGCAAAAGTACTAATATTATCTACAATGTTATACGCTTTTTTACTGTAAACAGGACTGCCAAATAAAATGGAAACTTGAAAATGATCGTGTAATAATTAACCCCATATTAATAATGGTGTTTCTTCGTAAGCCAGATGGGCTACTATTGGCCCTCGCTATGGAAACATCATGCATATGCATTGCAGTGGCTGCATATTTGAATATTCGCTTGAAAACGTCTTAGTCAAGTCCGAATTAGACACAGACTGACCATGCCGCGCGTTAGTACATGACTTTTGCATGAATGGTTGTAGCGCTGACGTTGCATGAACGGCGGTGGTATGCGGATTTTGGCGCTGATCGATGACGGACATAAACCACTATAGTCTAACGACTTGTCATCAAGTCTACCATAGCGATTGCGGGCCGGAGTGGGGCCGAAATAGGAGTAGCAAATTATATGACGTACGCAGGCAACATTGTGTATAACGTATACCGCATGAACCCACACGCACGTACAGTACATGTACGTGGGTAGGCTAGGCGTACAAGAGCCGCGTGGTCGAACCACTGATCTCTATATAAAGACTGGATAGCGGATATGCATACAACATTCACACAGTAGACTTTGCATATTGACCAATTCGCCCCCGGTCTCACGAAGATGGCCGCGCATAATACGAACGTTCTACGCGTAAATACGCGCGCGTTGTATCAACAGTTGACGCGCATTTTGGTCACGTACACATATTATGATGTTCTAAAAGGAACACATTTCCGTAGTGATTATTTTTTCAAAAACGCCGAAAAAGTGATTTGCGGCATTATAAAAGTAACCACTACGTTAGAAAAATTGTAGTAAACCTTGGTCAGTTGGTCAGTGGTGGTGGCCAAAATATAAGCCAAGTGAGCCGCGACGTTACAAAAGAAATCATGCTGTCTATAAAGACGGCAACTTGTCCTTTGTAGATCACCAGCCGGTCTCACCAATATGGCGTCAAATTCGTACATTGTGCGGCTCTTTATTGGCTATCCAGTCTTTATATAGAGATCAGTGGGTCGAACCGACAAGAAAACCAAATTGGTTCTCAGCCACAACTAAACTAGCGACTTATCAAAGAGGCTTTTCCCTAAGACTCTGCCATGGTTGGTCACCCACCCATACCTACACATGAAAACATGGAGGGGACATTCGACATTGTGTCCCCCCTTACCAAATTTATGGGGGGGACGTGTCCCCCCTGTCCCCCCCGGGATTTCCGCCCATGCCATTAACTTAGCTTTGCATTGAATTTGTCCATTCCCGTTCTCCTTTCAAACTTTGGAGGTCTCTCATCCAACGTTAATTAATGAAACTAATTTGGCCATTTCAATGGAGTTTCACAATGCATTCGGCTTGAGTACCGTAGTGTTCAATGTCTGTAATTATCATTTATTAAAGCTGTGTGATATATTTTTTGGGGTGGGGTGATTTGGGGTGGGTATCCCAGAATAATATTTTTGAATTCAGTTGTAATATGGCAGTGTTCAACGTCTGTGATTATGTAATTTACAATTTATTAAGCTGTGTGATACAAAGAGTCAAAGGTCAGAATAGGTCAAATTTCAGAACAAGCTCAAATGACAACAGTAGCACTGTTTATATGTTGGCCTTGGTGAAACATTAAAAAATGTCCATGGTGACCTATTCATCTGACCTACAGCTATGGGGTCAAATGTCAAAAAAAGGTGAACACGCATTTGTTGGCCCGCAGCTTCGGAGATCCGATCGAGCTTGTTTTTTTTGTTAACTTCCAACTGGTTCATGTGTCATGCTTGTCCTTAAAGGGAACAAGAAACAAAGTGTTCTTAGGAACAATATTTGTGCAACTTTCTACTAAATATTTGATATCCCTTTTTGGTTTATTTTATTGAAAAGTTCACCTCTTTAAACATGAAATTTTTTTCTATGCTGTTTCGGACAACTGAGGGCGCTGTTGCTGTGGTGTCATTTCAGTAGGAAGACATTGTCCAGATTAGGATTTCTGTTCAAATTGTGAACCCAGACATTTGCTCACCAAAAATGAAAACATCTGTGAGACAAGTTTGCTCAGTGGCTTACTGTTATGCATTGACACAACAAATCACCTCAGAAAAGAATATTTACGACAGCAAAGCATCCACAATTCTGGCAACTTTTGGTGTTGAAATAACTGTAACATTGAGGTTTCTGCCCGAAATAACATCACACTTTTTTCATGAATGTATAGAAATTGGCATTAGCATAAAAACAAAAAGGGCACCAAATTACCCTTGAAAATTGCAAATAGGGTTAAATGGGACACAAAGGTGCGTTTTCAAGGATTGCATCAAAAATTACATTACATGGGCTCTTTAAAGGGAATATACAACATTTGCAAACATCAAAAAACAAAACTACCAAATTTTTGCAAAATACCTTACTAGGATGTTGGTACATTTGTAAATGACAGTCTAAAGCATCCTGTAAAATTATGGCACCTGGTGTGAAGTCATTTTTAAGAAAAGTGGTATTTTTGTATAAATTTCCAGGCCGACCACCGTTGGAAAAACCCAACTATTTTTCAACTACTGCTCCAAATTTACCATTTTTTTTCAGTCCACATTTTGTTTGCTATTGGTTGAATACATGTTCATGAACGGGTGCAGGCCAGCTAGACTGGTTCCCTTGTACCGTACAATTTTCCGGCATCTATATATTGATACATTTCATAATAGTGGAGTCAGGGAACCAGACTACTTGAACTTTTTTTTTCTTGGTTTTTCCAGCATTTTCAAACACAAAACTTCAAAAATGTCAGTGTAGCAATATTTTGATCTATTATACTGACCCCTCAACAAGTTCATTTCTGAAATTTACAGCAAAAGCCAATGATGTATATTCCCTTTAATTGCAATGTTGAGTCTGAGAAGAAAGTCCTATGCAAAGAAACCCTGTGTAAGAACCAGTAGCATGTATGGCCTTGCAGACAGCATGGTGGCTGGGGTACTTGTAAGGAAGGATTGATCTTGAGGCATGGAGCCCTCCCATGGTGCTCCCTGTGTACTCTGGCGGAGAGCAGCGATACTTTGGTTCCAAGGAGTTGCTTTGTTTGAATTTTCATCCATATTCCCACATGGTTGTTTCCAGCAACGACATGCTTGCGAGAAAGATGAATTTTTTCCTTTCAAATTTTGAAGTCGTGTCAGTATATTTTGTATTGAAAATCTGAACGTTTGGGTTGTTTGTGGATTGGAGCTGTTTTTTTCTTTGCCTGGATTACGTTTGGTTGTTTTCATGTTTTGTAAACACAACATGTGTCGCTGTCAACGAAACTGTCAACTTAATATCTGAGATACTTGTCTGGCTTGGTTTTGACCGTGGTCGTTATGATTGCCTGTGATGTCCGTGTTTCAACTATAAAAGGTAATATTCATTTTTTTTCTCAGTGCAAACTTTTGTATACTCTTTGTTTTTCTTTTTTTTCCTGTTAAGAAGAAAAATATGAATCTTTAGTGATTTTACCTTTTTTTTCTGAGTTTGTTTCAGTCCTTACTTTTTCTCCTTCAAAATTACATGTATGTTTGTTTTGTTTGTTTACTTATTTAAGCGTGTTTGCTTAATCAGGGATTTGCTGGTACATGTATTAGCATTATGTTTTATGTTGAGTATGTGGTGTGAGAATAATAAAACTTGTAAAACAATACTGGATTTAATTACCAAATGAAAGGCAATGCGAGGAAGATGAAGCAGGTACCAGTATAATATTAATGTAACTCTATACTCAAGCCTCTCCTTATTTGAGAATACTGTCTGGTTTTATAGTGGTCATTATTTAGTTACTGGTGTTAAAGGGAATACAACATTTGCAAACATCAAAACTATCAAATTATTGGTAGTTACCGGTACCTTACTGGACTTTCAGTGAATAACAATCTAAAGCATCATGTTAAATCGTGGCTCCTGGTGTGCTGTCATTTTCAAGAAAAGTGGTATTTTTGTATCAATTTCCAACGCTGGTTGGCCGATCGACATTGGAAATAAACTGGCTTTTTTCAAATACTGCCCCCAATTTACCATATTTAGTAAGTCCGCATTTTGTTTGCAATCGATTGGACACCTACCAGTATGAACGGGTACTAGTTAGCTAGACTGGTTCCCTGACCTTACAAATCCCAATGTCTATAAATTGCTCTGTTTCATCCTAAGTGGGGTAGGGGAACCAGATTAAAGGAGCATGATTGTTTTTCTTGGTTTTTCCAGCATATACGAACACAAAATTTAAGTTTGTTTTCTCTTAATAAATTGTCAATTTTTATAGTGTTTTCCCCAAAAAAACCAAACCTTTTTTCTCCCTTTTTTGGACGTCTAAGAAGGGGTTTTATTTTGGACACAAACAGATCCACTTTGCCAGCAGACTGGCTACTGGTCCATACATTATTGATACTGATGGTGAGGCGGGAACCAGTGTACTCCGCAAGAACAGAATTATTATCGGGCCGCAAGTGATTCAAAATGTGTAATTATTCAGCCTTGGGCTGATTTTTTTTTTTTATTTTATTTTTTTTGGTCGACGTCTCAATTAACAGAGAATAGCCATATTGTATTGCTAAGAACAAGAAAAAAGAAAAAAACTTAGAAAAAGAATCGATTTTTCAGCATGACACTCTAGTAAAAAAAAGCCCATGGAATACAACTGTAAGGGAGAAAAACCCATGGATAACGCTATTTTCAACAGCCCGGGACAAGGTCAGAATATTACCCTTTTAAAAGCCAGTGGTTTTTCAAAAGGTTTTCGCTGACCACCAAGTTAATTTTTAATTTAGATGACCCAAAGCGGTTAAGGACAATTTTTGTTTTTACAAATGATGACAGACTCTGACAGCTTACTTGAACTAATATCAGTTGACATTGTTTGTAAAGCCTGATTGCATTTTCCCTGCTGGCCAGGTCGTCCACTTCAGCATCACTTAACTTGACCACAGGGCCAGTGGATTAATGATTAATTTTTCAAAGAATTTAGATTGGCAGAACTGATACCTCACAGCGCTTGTACACATGTAGAGTTGTACATGTACACATGTATATCAATGCCCTGAGTTGAGTATAAAATAATAAAGTGCTACGTGTACGACATTGTTTAATCACATTTTCAAAAAGGGCTATGAATATTTACATTTTCGAAGTCCGTCCCTCTCTCCCCCCCCCCCTAAAAAAGAAGAAAAAAAAATCACTGAAATTTACTCAAGATTCCAAATATGTTTCTGTCAACATATGTGATGTGATCAAGCTACACGAGTCGTTTGTCGACCCTAGTCAAAAAAAAAATTATTACAGATTTCAAAAGAGCACAATCTCAGCATTACTGCTGTAAAAACTGCACGCTGGTACCATCTTTAGTTAAAAAATTATGGAAGTCGGAACACCAAGAGATGTGATGAAGTGATGTGATGAAGTGGTCCTTTTTTGGCCTAAATATCCGCTTTAAACTTCCCCACAAACGACTGATTTAGCTTGATCACATTACTATGTTATTCCACCCAGCTCAAAACATAAGGCCATGTATGAGACGAAAATCGAACGTCTAATTTTCCATACATTAAGTATCAGTCTGTGTCTTGAGGCTACATTAAATAGACATTGATTATTGGGGAAGGCCACCTCACAATTTCCCTGCTCTTCTTGAGGGGACGGCAGCAAATCAGGGATCTAATTGAGGGGTTTTCTGCTGCTAAGCGGGGAAATGGCCTCGTGCGGATATTGTATTACCAGACCTCACGGCCAGGGAGGGATTTGCCAGCTTTCAAGCATAATAGCCAAATGAATATGGCAATTATTCTGGAGGCTGTTGCAAGAAAAGAGAACACAGGCAAATGTGGCGGTTGATTAGATGTACATGTACATGTGGGCGTGTTCATCTATTTAAATCATCCACGATTCCCAGCATACTTCCACGATTGGGGTCGTGTACAAAACATATGGGAGTCTTCCTAAAAAGTTAGTACAAACAAAAGAGGGACAAAAGGAGGTCCATGATCAACGGTGTGAACACGACTGCATGGTCATATGTGGCATAATGTTGTTTTTTTACTTTTTAAGTCTGCAGTGTTATAAGAATAGCTCAAATAATTCACGTCACAGCAATTTTCGGTGTTTCAAATGACATTGCTTGAAGTATTTGATGGCTTTTGCATTCGCGATAACGCCATGTTTTACCTGAGTTTTATACATTTGAATCATCTTTCCCTCTCTTACTGTAACAAAAAGGAACATACCGGTACCTTGTATGAGTAAACTGTGTGACTTTTGAAGTCAGTACTCAAAACGTCTATTTTGGCATCCAATTTTCTGATATAAAATTCAAAACCCTGAACTTCTTTAATTAAATCATATATCCTTTTCTAATGTTAGGCAATATAATTTACTTGTTAATTATTGAAGATTCTGATTTCGAACTTGAAACTTGAATAAAATGTTTTTCTTGGTCTAAGTACCATTGAGGCACCAATTTTTTTAATTAAATTTTTTTACTCAATGGATTTGTTATTTTGAAGTAAAATATCTTTTTTATTCTTGATCTCCCAGGTAACCACTACGGCACCCCCAAGCCGCCCGCCAAGCCACCCCCTGCCCAATCCCCTACCTCCTCATCCTCCCCACCACCCCCCGCCCAACAACCCCAGCAGAATAACTCCTCCAGCACCAACACCAGCCCCAAGAAGTCGGCCGCTCACCACCGGCCGGGGGCCAAGCCCTCGGCCCCGGGCAAGCGCCAGCGCAACAAGTCCACCATCGAGGCCACCACGCTCAACTCTGACCCCCTGGACGAGGAAGAGCAGAGACGGAGGGAAGAAATCCAGAGGGCGGAGGAGGAACTCGGAGAATTACCGGTCGACTGGGAAATTGCATTCACCGACCAGGGAGACATGTATTTCATTTAGTAAGTGTGTGGATGTTGCAATTGGTCAGGAGCCAGTAAGAAAATTTACTACGCACTACGTGTTGTCAGTGTGCTAGACCCCAACCTTGTTTCCATGGGTAAAATCTTGCCGTGCCATGTTGGTTCCCATTATACCTTACGCGATCTTAACCCCTGGAATTGTGTAATTTAAATGTGCCAAATAGTGGCACATTTAAATTAGTTCTGCAGTCGATGTATTTAATGCCTGACGCAGTGCTTAAATTTTTGGAATATTTTTTTTGTAGAATCAATCCTTTCAAACTTGACATTTCAACGTCGCGTTATCTAGCAAGGATTGATAATAAATGTACGTACCTCTGTCGTCCCTTTACAACACAAAATGTACATGTTTTTTTTTGGCGAAAAATGGAGCTTCCAGATTCCATATCGAAAAAGCATTGCGCAGTCTTGAAAAGATGTTCCTATGTGACGTGCAGGAGATAGCACTGGAGCGTATATAGTACGTGCAGTCTTCAAAATACGCGCGCAGTACGCTTTGAAAAGCCGGTCAGCGTTGTTAACGCATTCCTCTCGGCCAGGGGTTAGTGAAGTCGAGGCACTGGATACGTTTCATTGAACTTTATAAGAGTCCAAATTTCATGTGACTAGTGTTTAACACCAGCCAGCCATGTCTTTATTAACTGTTGAAGACCGGCCACGTGACATACTCTTGACCAAGAGGAATGGGGTAAAACTGTCTTAGGTATTTAAGAATATAAATTACATCTTGCACCTTCAAAGGAAGCACTTGGTAAAAGAGAATTATAGGTCTTGAATTACCAGTTGTACTTTCTTCAGTGGTGCTCAGTACTGTAGTCGTCTCTTCAACAGTAGTTGACTCTGGAGTAGTTGTGTACACAACAGTGGTTGTCACCTCCTCAGTAGTTGATGGTGCCTTAGTAGTGGATGGTACAGTAGAAGTAACAGTAGTACTCGCAACAGTGGTTCTAGCCTCTGTCGTGGAGGCTTCTGTTGTTGGGAAAATGATCAAGTGTTTTTCGCTTGTAATCGTCAAAAGTATAAAAGAAAAGTTTCTTGCATATATTAAGCTATTACCAATTTCTTTTCTGTATTTTTTTTTTCCCTGGACGATTGTAATGCAGATCATTCCAGGGAGTTCTCCGAATATTTTAGGCATTTTCATTTCTTTATTGAATGTTTTATCTTCAGCATTTGTACATATAAACATGCCATAATATTATATGTATGGGACAGCATGTATAACCCACTTAGCCAACGAATGTCAAGTCATTCAATCCTCAAACTTCCCCAAACAGCCCTAGCACTCAACAGTTTTATTGATTTATGGAGTAAATACAATGTAATACAATTTCATACAAGTGGTAAAGGGTTCAATCCCCTACTCGTACGGAAATGCTCGCAGCCAAACAGCTATGTGTTGACATGCTCAATAGGTGGAGGAACCAAGATTGTCAGCTGCTTGCCAAAGAGGGCATGTCAGGCTCCAAGACTCAAGCGGAATTCAAACTCACAAACCAGAAAACACGGAAAGAACAAAAACAGTCTGTCTAACCATTCCAACATCAGACCCAAATGCCACATGATGTCATATCTAACCTGTTGTAGACTGCACTGTGGTGACTTCCTTTGTGGTAGATTCAGGGGTAGTGGTCACAACTGTTGTTACCTCCTTGGTCGTTGAAGGTGGGGCAGTTGTTCAAGGTGGGGCAGTTGTTGAGGGAGCCTCAGTAGTTGTCACACGAGTAGTTGACTTCTCCGTTGTACTTGGAGGACCTATAAGATACAGTCCACAAAGTTTCAATTTGAGTTGGGTGAAAACAAAATAATCTTTTGCTCTTTTTTGCTCTTTACTGGTCTTTATTTTCTAAAAAATCTCCTGATGTATTCCACATAAGGGTCATAATATAAATTAAATCTCGAACCTTCATGGAAGCACTTGGTAAAAGAGAATTATTTGTTTTGAATTACCAGTTGTACTTTCTTCAGTGGTGCTCAGTACTGTAGTCGTCTCTTCAATTGTAGTTGACGCTGGAGTAGTTGTGTACGTATGGATGCACTATATTCTCCTGTGTACAGCGAACGATAGTTTTAAAGCTAAATGAACTGATGTGCGAGTCTAGGGTCATTACACGTGCGCTGCTCCATTGCAATCGCCATGCTAGTGCTTACACGAATGTATGCATCGTACGTTTAAAGTAGGTCAACACGTGTGCAGTATTGTGATGCGAGTATACTGTATATGGTGTATTGAAATCATGTAATATTTTTTTCAGGCCCTGGAACAAAAACCCACTGGCATCCCTGTATAAAACAGTGTGTCTAACAGAAAAGACTGACCGCAATTCTGTTTTGTTCTGTTCACAACCCCACAGTCATGTGACGGAGACCACCCAATGGCTGGACCCCAGGCTGGAGCACAAGCCAGCCAAGGACCTGCTGGACTGTGAAGACGACGGTGAGCACATTCCTCATGCTAACTCTCTGTCTGACAACCAGGGTTTGTATTTTTGATCAGGATTTTATTTTTCGGCCTGTGCATGCTGTCACTTGTCACCCATGTGTGCCTGCAACCACCCATTCAACCGTAACCACCTACATGTAGGCCCTTTTTTGGCTAGGATCCATCCTCAAGCCTTCAAAATCCTCCAGCTGCCACCATGTAAAAAGTAGCTACAGCCTCAATCCTCCAGAATCATCCATGGCCAAGTTCGCGCAAGGACTATAGTTGACCAATGGTTAACTAACGTTTGCCCGAACTCTGTCTAGTCAGCGGTGGTTGACTACGCTAGTCGACTATTTGGAACCAGCCTACTGGGGTTGGTTGCTTCGCTGGTAACCAATAGCCGCGCCCATTCATAACGCTAGCAGAGAGCCAGGATCCAGAAGTTTTGCGATGACATTTTGACCAGCGTTTGACTAGAAACCTTCGCATGTTGCTATCAGTGCGCAGGCGTAAGGTACGTCACAAATCAACCACTAGTCGACTAATGGTCCTTGCCCGAACTTGGCCCATTATAGCAGGAGGTAGGCGTATAGCAGGAAGTACACACAACTAATTTTACTCTAAATGTGCACAAAGCCGTAGCGTCTTCGCTTGAGCGTCCGGCGTCGTCAATGCGTCGTCATTGCATTCAAATGTCTCTCCTGGTGGTCTCCCCCAACTCTCCCTTTCTTACCGTTGAGGGGGTACTTCACGGAGCCCATAAACCAGATCCTAGCTCAATAGCCTAGAATCCACTAGCTAGAGTGCAAATCTGACAACCGCACTAAGAAGCCATGGCTGAGGTGTCACAGTGCTTGCTAGTCATGGGTCAAGACGTCGTTGTAGATACACGATAACCGGGCCACCGCTGCGAGAAGGCGTTATCAAGACGAACTGCTATCACCAACGAACCGCCAGCAACAACGTCTTGGGAATATTCTTGCGGTTGTGCAATGTGCGCGCACTTGTTTTGCCTGATATAGCAGCGGGCATTCTAAACCTTTCATATTACTTCAAAGCCTTACTCTTAAATTTCTTCCAGTAGCGTACAAGATGCAGCAAGACTTTTGTGCAACTCCATGGCAGCTCTTTTGTGGTGTGTAGTACACGTGGGACTGAAAATAGACCGTAATTGACTACAAAAGCTGCGCATGCGCACTATTTCCCCCGTTTTTCGGGGGGGGGGGGGGGGGAAGATTTTACAAGATGCCCAAGACGTTGTTGCTGGTGGGTCATGGGTGGTAGCAGTTCATCGTGATAACGCACTCTCGTGGTGGCGAGTTTTCGTAGTGGCGAGTTATCGTGGCGGCGAGTTATCTCGGGGGAGAGTTATTGCGACGGCGGGTTATTGAGTATCTACAACAACAATGTCTTACCCCAAGACTACCGGTAAGTGCTTGCATGCATGTTGCACATATTGTAAACTTGAGCATGCACAATTTGGTATTCCCATTTGTTGAAATGGACATAGAATGCGCACCCGCCATAAAGCTTAGTACTATCTTAGTAATGTCTCCTATTTGAGAACACCGGATGAGTCCACATGCATGGTGCATGAGATGATGGTGACAATGATTCGCTCTCTGCCGCCTTAATGTCTCCAAATGTAGATGGAAATGCACATTGGACCACATTTATTCAATTCATATCACCGCATTAGAAAGAGATCAGTGCGCGACATCGCGTAGCTGCAATCGGCTCAGTGAGAACGCGTCTCGGACGCTTAATTCAGACCCAATTCAAAACATGATTCAGCAACTTTTGATTTGAAATTGAGATCCTAGAAAAAGGATATACAGCTGAAGCTGAGCTGAAACTTCATCACGTTAGTTGTTCAGTACCCTTCTTTAGATTTTGAGCACTTTTGTTGCTTCAAACTAATGAACAAAATGCACAAATTACAAATGATGGACTATATCTTTAACTCATTGTTCCTTCATTCATCTCCATGTGGCATGATTCATAAATGGTAGTTGATTCTCATTTGGACAGCACCACATCATATACATGTTTTCCAACTCACTGCTGTAAAAGTTATTGTCCATCTTAATTAATTAATGGCATGGGATCGTTTGCTTTTGATGCATTTTGTTCGTTTTCAATAGTAACACCACTCAAAATCCAAAGAAGAATGTTTAAAGCCTATTACCTGTTGATGTTTCAGCTCAGTGGATACTACACTTTTGCAGAAAACAGTGAAAAATCAGGCACAACCAGATGATCATGAAACATGATTTTGTCCATAGCACTCTATTCCAAAAATCGTCAATTGACTGATCGTTGGAAATCAACTACCGGTACATTTCTTGATTTCTTCTAAATGACAGCAAGCCAGACGGAATAATTTCAAAGGGTGTTTAGTAGCAGTACGATCTTTAATCCAAGTACACTTTTGGATACAAATTTGGTACGTTACTTTTGGGATAAATGCAAATGATCCTATATTACATGCCTTTAAAACTATCACAGTAGAAATCAAATGTGCATTCATGTATTTACAGCATGAAACAGTGCTCTCCCCCAACCTGTGCAAGTTCCAAGAAGTAAAAGGCAAAGCCGTTGGTCATCAGGAATGAAACATTTTATTCACAACATTGTTTGCTACATGTAAATCAAAAACATGGGAAAGAATGTTGCATCCCGACCCCACTTTTTTTCATCATATAATGATCTCAGTGAAGGTCATTCATTGCAAAAATGTTGAAAACACATAAATCTGGGACTGAGAAACATTTTCCAAATACTTTGAAAATGCACTTGAGTCTCCTTAGACTTTGTACACAACCAAAGAAGTGTTGTCTGGATACTAAATTCCTTTCCAAACACAATGTGCCTGCTCAGTCGTTTTTCCAAGCAAGATTGATTGATGAAAATCACACTTCAAAGTAAATGTGCGTAGTGTGATTTGTTTTAGCAGTGGTCCAAGTGGCTCCACTATGTGCTGGTGTACAATTTACGCGAATTCTGTGAAATGTTCATCTGATTTTCCTGCGAAGGAAATTTGTGCGTGTCTTGAGTTTCACCTTGGAAATACTAGCTGTAAATTCACAACCACGGGGTATAAAGTTAATGAATTGAGACAAAATATGCTGTGGCAATCTTTCTTAATATCCAATTTGGACAAACCGTAATAGTACGGCAAATAAATGATGGGATTGTGCCTTTGATGATATTTGCATGTTATTTGGCACACAGTCAGAGTGTGTCATGTGAAAGTTATTTGGCTATAGGGCCATCGCAGATTTGTCCTTTGAAAAAAAAAATAGGTAGAATAGCAAGCAATGGCAGCCATTAAAAAAAAAAGAAAATTGCTTGTTATTCTACCTGTATAAGGGCAATTCCACGGTTACTCACGTTACATTTTTGATGTACTTTTGAGTTTCCTTGGGCTGTAATTACCTTGCTGAAAAGGAATAATAACTGTTATCCCCATGGTACATAGAGTAGACCTAGACCTACCTAAGCACCAAAGATGACATCCAGAAAAATGTGTTGTGTATGATAAACATGACGCACAAAATCGGTTACTCACGTTACGAAAATGTAACGTGAGTAACCGATTTTGTGCTTCTTTATTAATCCTTTTCAGCAAGGTAATTACAGCCCAAGGAAACTCAAAAGTACATCAAAAATGTAACGTGAGTAACCGTGGAATTGCCCATAAGAAAAGTATTTATGAACAGGGGTTGTGAAGTTGCAATAAGTCCGTTGCAGCACATTGGTCTGATACTGATACACACAAAAGGTCCTATAGTGTTTGAATCTGTGAAGGTTCAATACCCTCTCAAACAAGAAGACAACAGATTTACAAGCTTTCGACTGGTGAGCTCAAGAAGGAAGTAATATACCACTCACATTCAGACATATATAATAGGATCATCATCCATTACAGATGCCTAATCCCTTGCCGCTGCACTTCTTCCTTGTTTATTCACCGCAGTAACATCACAGAAACCACCAGCAAGATGCGTATGATGGCTGTGACGCAGAATTGATGAGAAACAAAAACAAAAACATGCTGAAACAGCGCTGTGAAAGTTGCAAGTGTTTTTTTGTTACCGTATTGTTTCTGAATCATGGCGTTATTTTTGTATGTTACAGAACTTCCTCACGGATGGGAAAAGATTGACGATCCCCAGTTTGGGACCTACTTCATTGAGTAAGTTTCATTCTTATTGACAAGGTTGTTTCGAAGTTTCAGTGGCAGTTGTGTCAACCTTTTGAAGGTTTTTGTCGAACATAATTGGTCTTTCCACACTAAAGGGGTACAAGAGTGTGACATAGGATTGGTACTGAAGCAGGATAATAATATTAAGTGGTTTGTCCCCTTTTCCCCTTGTGCAGTTCCACCCCATTGTTAAAGTTATAGTCCACCATTTGTAATTTGTGCATTTTGTTTGTTTGAAGCAACAAACCTGCTCAAAATCTAAAGAAGGGTGCTGAACAACTAACACGAGAAACCAAAGACAAGTTCTTTTAGAACTTACAGCAGGACTGTTCTTAACAGAACAAAAAACTACTTAGCAAAGTTGATAATAAGCAGGACAAGTTCTTTTCAGAACTAAATATCTTCTAAGCAGTAGTTATTACCACATGGTGTTACCGCAAACCGAAACGATACCGATACCCCACCATGCAAAGCCTCAAATCTTATAACACGATGAACTTTCAGCTGAGCTTCAGCAGTCAATTATGGAAATGCCCACGTCAATTAAATAAAGGGAATTTCTATTTGCAGACAATTGAATTTTTTTGGTCAAATAGAGAAAACTTTACTGAAGTGGAATTCATCTATTTACAGGCATGACATATTATGACGTTATGCTTTGTTTGTATGCACTTTCTAATGTTAGCATGGTGGCTTTTATCCCGACCCAGCTCCCATAGAAAAGCGCCACAAATCAAAGTGTGATGTCTTGTCACCATGGGCGTTGCCAGGATTTTTTCGGGGGGGGGGGGGGCCAAAGCAATTTTTTTTCCCCAAACTCCTTAACTTTTTCATTATATTCTCAATTTAACAGCAATATGGCTTCGCAGCTCTTTTTCCTTTTTTTTTTTCCTTTTTTCCTTTTTTTCCCCTTTTTTTTTCGTTTTCAAGGAGGGGGGAGGTGGCAAGCGCCCTCCCTTCCCCCCTCCCTCGCGACGCCCATGCTTGTCGCAGGTCCATTTGGAGAATCCATGAAGAGCTAATCTCATCAAGTTTCCCTTTTTTTATTTGTATACATTTTTTAAGAAAACTAATTCTCTGTGTATCATAGCTTTAAAACCTGTTTGTTTCAATATGAGTCATTTTCAAGGTTCAATAACATGTGATACGCACATTGACTTGCATAACCACTTGTTTTGTAAATCTGAAACCAGGCATAAAGTTTATAAACTTGTTGATAGCAAATTTTGAAAGAAAGTCTTAAAAAGTCCAAAGTTAAATTTGTTTCTTTTCCCTTCCAACTCGTCAAATATCTGTGATATGCTTAGGTAATAAACAACATTGCTTTTGCTGTGATTGTTTTTTAGAAATTGAAGGATTTGGAGGTTAGAATGTTATAGCAAAATATTGTTACACTGACCTGTTTAAAATTTTGTGGTCGTAGATGCTGGAAAATTAAGAAGAAATAAAATGTTGTTCTTGTAGTCTGGTTCCCTGGCCATACATGTACTTAAGACGAAACGGAGCAATTTATATACCTCGGAGAATAGTCGGGTCAGGGAACAAGACTAGCTGACTTGCACCCATTCACGGGTGCGTAATCCATTGCAACAAAATGTGGACTAACTCAATTTGATACTTGGGGGGCATTATATGGAAAAAAAAGAAGTTTTTTTCCAACAATGGTCGGCCGACCATAGTTGAAAATTGATATAAAAATTCCACTTTTCTTGAAAATGACAGCACACCAGGTGCCATGATTTCACAGGATGCTTGAGGCTATTATTCACTCACAGTCAAGTAAGGTATTTCATAATAATTTGGTACTTTATTTTTTTTTATGTTTGAAAATGTTATATATCACCTTTAACAGCTTTCAAAATGAAAATTAAACAAAGTGAAATAGAAACCATCAACAATCACATACATTTCAGAGTATGGTTTACTTATGATGTGGGGTAATTCCTAGCAATGTTGACACAAGCAAAGCGGTACCTTTTGCCTTCTGCAATCCTGAACATGGTGTGGTCAAGCAAAGTTTTGATTCTGATTTACACTACTCAAACAACACAACCAGGTGTAAAAGAGTAACTCCGCAGCATTCACTTTCGGACGGGAGCACATTTTTTTTTTTTTTTCGTTTGCAATTGTGTTTTACCTGCTGAACCATTTGGATCGTCATCCCAGACAGCATGACAGCAAATAATGCTCTCAGTTTGAGACTGATCTTTCTACCGCACTGTTCATTTTGAGAGGAAAGTGATTTTTGGGTCACGAGATTGGGATTTCAAAAACCGGTAACTTGCGACGGCAACTCTGTCAACTTGGAATTTCTCCAAACGACGTTTTGCCCATGCAGACTTTGGATCAGTTAGGAAGTGCATCATCTGGTTTTTAATCGGATACTGTTATGAAAACCTGAGTTCAAGGTAGTTGTGTGTCAGTTGTAAAGAGACTGGCGGTGAACTCTTCGAGTATTTGTAAGCTGCACTGAGATTTTGTTATTATGACCTTGAATTAAAGTGAGCGTTGCATCATCGCATCACCCAATCAACTACACCTGTCACCGACCAATCAGAACTCTCGGTAGGAAAGCCTGCAGCGCATGAACCAATCACCAGCTGTGTTGCATGTACCATCTGTCCACTCCAAGATTTCTTGTCTGACGGCAGTAGCAATGGCGTCTGAGTTGAAGTTACCCATGGATGCCGTGAGCCAATTGGATCGCTTTGGCGCCACCGTGTCTGCCCGCCTGTCCGTCATGGGCAACAATCTCAGGGAGTGTGTCACCCAGGCCAAGTCGCGTACCGACGAGAGGATCCTCGCCCTGGAAAGATCCATTCAGGAGACCGATAAGATGGTCCGAGAGTTCCGCGCAGAGATGGAGGGGTTGAGGACGAAAGTCGAGGATCTGTTCTGCGATTTGGAGTGCAGTGGTTACAATAGCCCAAAAGAGTATTTAGCCTTTTTCGAGCAAAATTCATTTTGGTAAATCCTTTCATGTTCTGAATTCGGGCGATTCACAATGCAGTGTGCCACCAAGAGTTTGCCATGGAGAGTCCATTTTTCTAGTTAACGGTCCACAAAACATGGCCCATTTGAATGAGTGTCAGTAGACAACTTGAACTAATTTGTTATAGATTGGGGTATAGCGTTCTGCCGCCTCACAAAAAACACAACATTGATAAAAAGAAAACAAAAGGGCAAACACATACTCGAAGCATACCTTTATGAAACTACTGACTGGAAAAACTAACAATTTCAAATGTCCCGCGCTGTGAATTTGTCGACCATCTCTCACAATGCACTGGGAAAAACGAACTCTTCCTGGCAAACTCTTGGTGGCGTACTGCATTGTGAATCGCCCGAATTGAAGGGAATCTAATACTGTACGTAAGACCAGGGAAAGAAGTGTTGAGTGTCTTTTCGTTAGCCCAATTTAGGGACACTTCAAAGCCATTTCCCTGTTAGTGGTTTGATGTGCTCAATTCTTTTCATGACGCTTATCAGTTTTCCAGAAACAAGTGTTTTTTTTTTATACACATGCAAAGGTAGTATCGAGAAGTACATGTGTAGCAAAATATATATATTTTATCGCAGGTGCTGTTATGCAGGTATTCTGAGGATATCGAAGGAAGAAAATCAACTTGATTCAGATTGATTTCCAAGATTCAGATCAAATTTCACAATCTAATACCATTAACAAGGATATTGACAAATATGGGAATCGCCAACTTAGGGCTCAGTAGGTAGAGCACCGGAACGGCAATCCAGAGGTCACAGGTTCAAGCCCTGCCTCCAGTCACTTACTTCGTTCATCTTTGATAAAAATTTAATCTAATACCGTTTAAACTAACCGTCTTCTTTTTCTCTTCTTGGTGCCTCCTCGCGTTCTAGTCACATCAACCGCAAGACCCAGTACGCCAATCCAGTCCTGCACGCCAAGGAGGAAGCCCAGAGGAACGACGCCAACAGGCCAGACGGCCGATACTCGACCACCCTCCCTCGCTCAGCCAGGAGTAGCCAGAGCTCCCTGCAGGCTGGCCCCCAGCCGTCCCGGGCGCTCAGTGATCCCAACATCCAGGAGAACGGCCACTTGGCACAACCACAGCTGTCTACCTCCCCGGTCAAGACAACTTCAGGTACTTGGTATCAGGCTTGGGCGACTCCCAACAGTCTCTTGGAATCGATTCTCGTCTCCGACCAGGAGTTCAGATTTAGTTCAGAATTGACTTAAACTTTCCCTGGTTTCCCAAATTTTTTTCCCCTGTTCTGGATCCCCCCAACCTGTTCCCCAATTCCATTTCCCTACATGATTGGATCAAGCCAATACGTTAATCCCACAAGCTATACAGTGATTCTTAGGGCTGTCCAGTTCCGAATAATTTAGTATTCGAAAACACGAAACTGCATTTGACCAAATATTCGGATATTTGAAACTGCCAGCTCTAACTGCAACTGCGTGCCGTGCCGATCAAAAGTAAAAATTTATTTGCCAGTAAAAATTGTGTGCTGCAATCAATATGGGTCGCTGTAGTGTTTTGCAGTATGCATTTTTTTTAACTGTCAAGGGCTTTAACCCTCTACAAGGATAGGAACAATGAAACAGTTACCGTCAACAAGAAAATGCAACCTGACAATAAAGTGCCGCACCTTGACAATAAAATAACGTCACAGATGTGTGAACATGCATTGTATTTTTGTTTTTGAATATTCAAACCGGCAAAAAGCTATCCGAATATTCGGTTGATGATCCAATATTCAAATATACAGTATATTCGGGACAGCCCTACAGATTCTAATGAAAAGCACTTAGTTTGTGGATGCACCATGTGAGAAGAATTTCTTTTGAGAGATTCTTAGAGTAACCCTTGGAAAAACTTAATGTTTCAGACCAAATGCTCTGCTTATTGTAAAGAGAGTAAGATTCCACAGATTGTGATTCCGTTTCAACACACACACAGATGCAGAATGGCGTGCCATGTTCACCAGCGAGCCCGACAAGCTGGAGGGTCAGCTGATCAGGACGGTACTGACCAAGAGCAAGAGAGGGTTTGGCTTCACCATCGTGGGCGGGGACGACAGCGAGGAATTCCTGCAGATTAAGAGCGTGGTGCCCACCGGCCCGGCCGCATCCAACGGGGTGCTGAAAACAGGTCAGTAGAGTAAGACAACGGAGAGGTTTCACAAGAGAACGGATACGGTTAGTGCGCCGGGTAGGTCATCAGCTTGTGTGGTTCATATGCAACTCGCTATCTGCGGCACAAATATATTGCTCACTAGGAAATATGAGGGAGTGTTGTGAGTGTCCTTGCCACTGTTCTCGGGGTTTTGCTAAAAGTTTCTGTATGGCTTTTTAAATTTCCTTCTATAGGTGATGTTCTAGTGTTCGTCAAAAGTGACGCCACTCCCCAGCCTGTCAAGGTCTTGGGATACACGCACCAGCAGGTGGTCACACTGTTCCAGGCTATCATGCCAGGGGAGCAGGTCCACCTACAGGTCTGCCGCGGCTACCCCTTGCCCTTTGACCCCGATGACCCCAACACGCACATCGTCACCTCCTATGCAATCTCGCCCACTTCCAACCAGCCCGGGGTGAAGATCCCCAGCACCCCGTCGTCCTCGTCGGCTTTCCGCAAGCACAACAGCCTGCCCCCGGACAAGATCCACAACAACATTGGCCCGCCCAGTTACAAGGACGTCAACATGACCCACGTCTTCAAGCATGACAGTTTCGACACGCCCCCTCCCCCGCCTAGGATCTCCTCCGGTCATCATCCCAACCACCACCACCACGGGAACCATCGGAACGGGGACTCGGGTTCCAACCTCTCCCGGGACACGCACGTCAAGTCCCTGCCGGACCTGACGGCGCCCAAGCCGCGGGAGATGGAAGTCACCGGTTCCCCGCGGGCCAAGACGCCGACGCTGTCCCTCAGTCTCAAGCCGGACTCCCTGACGTTGCCTAACGATATCAACAGCAGGGGGAGTATGTCCAGCGAGCATCAGAGTGAGTCTCCGTCGAGCACGCAGCCGGAGATTCACGCCATTCAGTTTGTGAAGGGGAATCAAGGCTTCGGGTTCACTGTGGCCGACAGTCCGTATGGGCAGAAGGTAAATTAAACAAATAAAGGTACAGTCCATTATTTGTAAATTGTGCATTTTGTTGGTTTGAAGCAACAAACGCGCTCAAAATCTGAAGAAGGGTGCTGAACAACTAACCTGATGAAGTTTCAACTCAGCTTCAGCTGTATATTTCGAGAAAAACAACATTCTAGGATCACGATTTCAAATGAAATGTTGCTGATTCATGTTTTGAATTGGGTCGGAAATCAGCGTCCGAGACAGGTTCTCACTGAGCTGATTTCAGCTACGCAATGTCACGCACTAATCCGACGAATTATAGTAACCGCGTGCGCATGTGCGTCGTGTCAACACTTGCACGCACTTCGCAGAATAAAAAAAACGAACTACTAACGGAAATTTCCAACGATCGTTGGAAAGGCCTTCTTACATTGATTTCTTCAACATGACAGCATGCCAGAAAAAATAAATTCATAGAGAGTTTAGTCCCCATTCTATCTTTCAACTAAGTATATTTTTGAACAATAAATACGTCAGTTACTTTTTGGATCGCTGCAAATGATGGACTGTAGCTTTAAATACATTGTAATATTTGCTTATATCGTACTTTCCATCGTATCCACAATCTCAAAGCGCTTTTACAATTATTCCCCTGTTCAGCAGGCCACAAGACCACGCGGCAACCGATCTCAGCGCACACCCGATCCTCTACCCTCACTGGTACCGGTACCCTTTCATACTCCTGGGTGGAGAGAGGCAATTGTAGATAAGTGTCTTGCCCAAGGGCACAAACAACCATATTCCTGGCAGGGTTCGAACCCACGCACCATCGTACATGAGTCGAGCACTGTATCCACTGGACCATTTCTCAAAATTGAGAAAGCATGGTTGTTTTTTTGTAAACGTGAATCATGGCATACATTCTCGATGTTAAAACCTTGATGAATAGCAGTTCACCAAAGTTTTGAATCTGCAGTACAAATACATGTATTTATCACTGGAACCATATCACATGAAGTGCAAAACAGACTGTAATGAGCCGCATTACTTTGCTGTCCCATACTGTCAATTTTCAAAATGTAACAAATCATTGAAACAGTGTTGGCAAATTTCTGCCTATTTTGTCTAACGCTGCTATGAGGTACGTGGCTTTTTGTAAAGTTGTTAAACCTTCCTTGAAAATGCTATGTAGGTTTTCTTATGGTTATAATAGGAGAAGTACACATGTACTGCTACACATCACATGCATACCAATCAAAATCACATAAAATAAATATATGAGAACAGATACTGAAATTTTGCAACAAGGAGAAGTTTTGTGGGTTGTTGAAGTCATAAACAGTTTACATGAACATAACCACCCGAAACAGACATTTTTAAATAAAGTTATTCTTAAACACACTTCGGTTTTTGTCATTGATATTGAAACGTGTCAAATAAAGTTATTATTTATCAGCATGAAATGTGCAACTCGTTTCAAAACACGTCACTTTAGTCACAGGTTTCTTAATAGATAAAAAAAACATGATTTCACTCATTTTGTGTTTAAGTACTAGTACGTGAACCAACAGACTTTTGGAAACAGTAAATGTTGTAATTCTTAGATACCGGTAGCTTAGATGTTAAAGAATAATGTAAAAGTCTTTCGAGACATATCCATCGCAAGATGACAGTCTTTTCCTTTTGTTTACTACTTTACTTCGAGTCAGCTTTTGTTTACTTTCTGGTCTAGGCCTGTTCATGATTTCGAACATTATTTGTTTCTGAATGATTGAAGATTCTCAAATAAACGTAAACAGAAGAACCGCTGAGGAACAAATAGATTTAACAGATGTCTAGCTTAGGGATGTGCAGAATACACCCAATATTCAATTATTCCACTATTAATATGAGCGGTCTCGCGGAGATGATGAAAAACAAGTTGCGTGGTTTTATTGTTGGTCAAACGTTTGTTGACAGTTTTGTGCATGATTTGATAACTTCCATGAAGGATATTAGCTCAAATTTTGTTTCTTTAAATTCGGTTGAATGTCAGCCTTCCTCTACCTTTGTATTTTGTTTTAAAAGCTCTTTGTTTTCGACATGCGCAGGCTCACGCAAACTCTGATAGGCGGCCAGCTTAGGCTAATGCATGTTAAACCTGGTCATCGTATTTCAAATATTAGGGTTTGCCCTTCACTGACGTATAAACACTGTACATGTACACTCAGTATGTTACCTCCCAAGTGAAAGTTGGAAAAAACACTCGGGTGGGACTCCAACCCATGACCTCCTGCTTTCTAGTGCACACGTCTTACCACTCGACCACCGAGCTTGCGGGATCGGTTGGCTGATTCGAATCTGATGTACATGTGGCTTGAAGGGAAAAACCCTAATATTGATTTACATCACCCCGAAGCACATTCCATCTTGTGAACAGTTTATTTGCGGTACCCACTGTTCCATGTACATCAGATTCCAACCAGCCAACCGATTCCCAAAGCTCGGTGGTTGAGTGGTAAGACGTCTGCACTAGAAAGCAGAAGGTCATGGGTTCAAGTCCCACCGGAGTGTTTTCCAACTTTCACTTGGGAGGTACCACACTGAGTATACAGTGTTAATAGTATTACGTCGGTGAAGGGCGAAACCTGATTTACATCACCCCTATGCAAATTCCATCTTATGAATAGTATTTCGAATATTCGATCAAGCCCAAGTTAAAATAATCAAATATGAATTATTTGAAAATGCATAGCCCTACTCTAGCACCACTTTTAAATCTTCATTTCCTTTCACCTCAGTCCAGCGTAATTTTTTTGTTTTCCCCGTACTTAACCAGTCGTCTTTCTTTCCCCAGGTGAAGCAGATCCTGGCCTCGCAGCGCTGCAAGACGCTGAAAGAGGGCGACATTCTGGTGGAGATCAACGAGGAGTACATCCGGGATCTGCCTCACAACCAGGTGGTCAACAAGCTGAAGGAGTGCCCCCTGGGTGTGGAGACGACCATCGTGGTGCAGCGCGGAGGTGAGTACAAAACAGTTTTGTCGTCAAGGTACTTGTGCTTGCGATCGAGCCTAAGTACATCACAATTCCGGTCACAAGTTTTTTTGCAAATCCTTTCACTAGTCCAGTCATATGTGACAAGGGGATGAACAACCACAAAAGGGATGCTTAGCTTTAGGTTCTGATATCCATGTATATTTTTCTTTCTATTTTGTGGTGTTTTTTTAATTTTTACTTGATATTGTATACAGTTATGCACCTCAAAAATGTCCTCTATTTCCTGGTCATAGTCTTCCCACATAATGAGTTTCAATTTTTCTAGTCCGGGAAAACTCCGGGAATTCCGGGAAAAACACCAAACATCATAGAAAACTTATGGAATTTGAGAGTGCCCAGAAGGGAAAGGTTTCTGCCAGTTTGGCAAATGTGCTTCTGGTGCCATGTGTCCACGTTGTGTCCATTGACTGACTGACTGTGGTGGCTTTTTAGTGTTCATGCAGTGTGAATATTACACACCTCTCCAGACAATAACAATCGGCTGTGCTACCCCACTTCTAGACTTCCCAGCAACCTCATTTATAAAGTGAAATATATCTCATGGAAATTTGGAAATTTCACACGGAAATATTAGGGAATTTCGTTTTCATAAAAGTGTTGGTGAACCCTAAACCCGACATCTGTGATTGTAAGTCCTTTATTGAGACTGTCGCCTGTGCTTACTAAGGTCATTACGAATGCCGTCTACGTCATTCTTCAAATTTGCCGTGCCTATGATTGGGAACATGGGGGATTTTCAAAACCACGTCTCAATTTCAGCTGTGGCATCAGGTGTTTTCCCTGCAGCATGCCTCTTACTTGGGAGACTGTCACTGTCAATTCATGACAAGCCTTTGTCCCGTTTCAGAAACATTATGTCTGATAATAAAAGGCTAAGGTTAAGTGTATTTTTGATTGATTTTGACAAATCCACCCTCTCTGGTTGGTAAATTCAACAAAGCCATCCCAGCAGTCAAAACCAATCAAGTGACAGTTTTTAACAGCTGAGTGCTCCTTGCGTTATCACCATTGTTGTAGTCGAGTCCATCACAAGTCCACCACAAGTCCTTTCATTGGTAAATCACAAGCACTTTCACAAGTCCAGTCACAAGTAACGGGGGGGGGGGGGGGGGGGGGGGGGGGGGGGGGGGGGGGGGGGGGGGGTGAGCAGTAACAAGGGAACGCCTCTGTTACAACTCATTGGAATAGATTGAGACTTGAATTAAGACTGGAGGACTAGTGATGGACTAGTGATGCATTTATTTGATGGACTTGTGATGGACGCGACTAACAACACTGTTGCTGATATACATGTAAAGCAGGATTGACAGGCTGTGACTGTTAATGAAACTTGATGTACTTGTAGCTTTGCCTTAACTGTATGCGACTGATAAGCCAGCTGTACCTACCAGTCACTTGCTTTTGTCTATTGGTGGAATTGGACTAGTCACAGTGCCTACACGAAATATGACCTGACTGTTGGTGACTAGCCTGTGTATAAACTAAAGGGAGGGGAATTGGATTGGAAAGGTTTGGAATTCATACAAGTAAATCAAGCCGAAGATGTCGAAAAAAGGTTTGGAAAAAAATAACCATGGATTGAGTCCACATCAGGGAAATCTGATTGACACCCACGCAAGCAGTCACAAAAGGGGAATAGAGTGGCTGAGGTCAGGGGTCAGAGGTGATGAAGGGTCGAGGCATTTCTTTTTATTTTCCCCCTGTTGTCCTGCCCTTGGTATGTACAGATAACTAGATTGGTTTCGGGTTGGCATGCATTTGTTAGATGCAAAATCTGGTTGGTTGAACTATGGAGAAGTGCAAGATGCTGTGAATTTTATCATGAGGAATTTTATCAGATTCTGAAAAAAAAATCTTGTTTCTGTGCTCAATTCTATGTGCATGTTCATGTATACTGTGTACAGAATTGTCTATTCTATACACAAACAGTAAGTTAGTAACAATCATATTTTATTTTTAAAAGAATTTTTTTTCACAGTAATAAAAATCCTACAGATGAAAAGCTGCCCAAAACCTTTGAAAACAATATTGGTCTGTATTTAAAATTGATTAAGAAACTCAATTTTTTTTGTTCGAATTGTCAAAACCGTAAAACTGTTGTTTGCCCCATCGATGTGCCTTATTTCCTTTATTTGGGGTCCACTTTTTTTCCTGTTCCTATTTTACATCTGACATGATTTTGTAATTCTGATGTACTCCTGTCTCATAACTGGGACAGGAAAAATGTCACACTTGGACCCTAAATTTATAGAAGGACCCATATCACAGCATTATATTACCATCAAATGTACCCACACATTTAGGCTGGCCTAAAGATTGAATAATGAACTGGTCTGATTATGTGTAGAGTGTTGTGACCATGGTTGTTTTCTTAACATTTACCTTTCCAAATCCTCCAAAATCCTCTTTGCAAAATCATAAATGGAGGACTTCACAAAATGGAGGATTTTGCTAGATTGAGGCTTTATTGCAAAAGTGTGTGGCTGATTTCGGAGGATGCACTGTGTCAAGGTCTTGGGCCGAACCTTGTGTTGTTTATGCTCAGCCATGTGTAAATTTAAGCCTACCGGTATACCGGTATTATACTTGAAATCATCCGCATTGCTCCAGGTTGTTGCTTGCTCTGCCTCAACAAATTGACAGTGATTGTTGGAGGATTTTGCAGGATTGAGGCGGTGGTCACCCCTCCAAGGACCACATTCAAAAAATAAGGGAGGATTTTGGAGGATTGAGGCTGTATGCTATTTTCACATGAAGGCAGTTGGAGGATTTTGCAGGATTGAAGTTACATGGTAGCAAAAATGCATAGGGAGTTAGGCTTAAGATTTCATGCACTCCTGTTGTGCAGAGACACATCCTTGAGCCAAGTTTGTTCTAGTCTGGCGCCCTGTTTGGCTTCATTTCTTTGCTAAACTTGATCTCATGCGTCATGACCTCCTGTGACCATTGGAGCACATACCATCTTGGAGAGCTATTAAAAAAAGACTTGGTTGAGGAATGTAGTCAATCTAATGACCTGACAAGTCATTGATTTAATACCAACTCGCCCTTGATTTACAGCCTTGTAGTCCAAATTAAATTACTCAAAATCTTGTTGCCTTGTTCAACTGTAACAGAACCAGTCAGGATAAGGGTTTCAGTACCAAACTTTTAATTGCTGCAACATAGAGTTACATATGTAATGTACTTGTAATTTGTTTAAAGTACCAGTTATGACAAACTACATGTCACTCAATCACTCATACTATGCACAGGGGTAAGATTTGTTAGTATTTTTCAAGATTTCAGAAAAAAAATTGTCACCATTTCTTATTTCTGGATTTAAAAAAAAAAAACTTTCGAAATCTGGAATTCCTGGGTATTTTTTTTTAGAATGAATGAATTCATTAATAAAAATCTAAAATATTTTTATTTTTAAATTGAACTGTCATTTCTATCCCATACTGCACTCCTCATTTTTATTCTCAAACTTTAACCTAACTCCCTAGTGTCTGTTACAAGAAAGTACTGGACCAAGCTTCACGTAATGCTTTAGCCTAACTTTAGGACCAAATCCGTTGAAAATAGTGAAATCCACCACAAGACCACCACTACTATAGGTGGATTGTGATGGACTTGGTACTCATGGCTTGCCTATCAAATTCCCCAAACTTTGGAATTGGATTTCGATGGAGTTGGGGAGGTAAGGGTTAATGTGACCCAAGTGCATAGAGTTGGTTGAGTCAACATATGTTCAGTTGATTGCTTGTTGTTGCCTATTTTTATTTGATGGTACAGAACTTTTTAAGGTAATGTTTCCCAAAAGTCTGATCAGAAATAGTTTTGTTTTTAAAAACTATAAGAATGTTTACAATACAGTGAAACTAATGATAAACTGCAAGGTTAAGATCATGAGAAAAGTCAAACTACTTATTTACATGAACAACTAACTCTTGAAAATCTAAGACACTGATAACTGTTCAAGTTCAGAATGAGTGCAACACCTGCTTGTAAAGAGTAACAAGAATTTCTTTCATGAGTGCCAAATGTGGAGGCCAATAAGAACACAACCTACATATTTTCCGCAAGGTCTCCACTGGCAGCATTGTTTTTATCAAGAGACCATTAAAATGCTTGACACCAGGGATGATACCACCAGTGTGGGGCAGTGGAGCCCCTATAGAGCAGACAACAGACAAGAACGCTGCTGGCAGACTGGGTTACTCGCTCGGACCTCTGTGCACAAAGACAACAACTAGAAGTTAGAACAAGCTCTCTCACCCATGGGGTGCGCTATACCCCACGCTTGTTGATTCCCTCTACGTTTGCCATGGGGTGATGCCTTGACCCTCTTTGCCATACGATACCCAAGCTTATTACGGCCCAGTAAATCTTGTTTCTATCCGTAGGAGGACCGTACTAATAATAACATTTATAAGACTATGGCTAATATTAAACTGGATCCCAAATTCTTGGCAGGTATGCTGAAGCCCGTGCGCAGTCTGAGCAAGATCAAGCCAGTCAAGACGGTGAGTTCAACATTTCTGTCCATTTTTCCTTCCCTGAAGCTGTCGGTTATGTTTGTAGCGACCACATAACCTGGGTTTTTGTTATAATTTTGTGCAAATTTGGTGTTGTAAAAAGGTTAAAGATTGATAAAGCAGACTTGCCTTTGTCTTGGTGTTTGTCCATGACTCTACACTTGTTTTTCAAAGAACAGATCATGCCGTCTTGTGATCTCAATTTTGATGGACCTGTTTATTGTTTATTTCAACTTGATGCTACTGTTCGTTTCTTTTTCAACCTTAGGCTAAATTTAGTCGCTGCCGCACATGTATGTGAGCTTTTATTGAAAGTGAAAGAAGTTGAGTTACCAGTAACTGAAATGTTAGGGTATGCCATTTGCCATTTTCCCAAACTGAGTGACAGATCACAGACAAAATACTGACAAATGTAAAGAAAGGATTGTCAGAAATTTTCTGGACTTACTAACCAAAATAACTACTGTGATAACTGTGCCGTATGCATTCAGTATAGATGACTGTCCTGCAAGGCGAAATTGGGGCAACGAGATTTGATACAGCCAAATATCGGAAAACGAGGCAGCCCCACCCCAACTCTCCTGCAATAAGTCTGTGCAAACCAACAATGCACAGAAGCCGAACTTTTTGACATGGCACGTCCATGAGCATGGAAGTGTCCCGAAACGCAAGTATCCTGCCACTCGTTAGATTAATGAAGCAGTAAACCAAATGAATTGATGAAAACTGGAGCAACAAATTTGATCCTGCAGTAACAGGGCTTAAAACCTTGCTTGATTTATTGAGACACGGCAATAATCCACGACGGAAATAATATGCATCAAATGGCAGCATAGATACTGAACGCAAGTTTTCCGGCAATTTTGCTTTGGGCGTCACTGAGCATGAAATAGGGCAATTGCAATTGTCTTTGATTGAAATCAAATTAGATGGGGTGAACGTTGAAACAAAACACGAAAAGACTTGATATAGGCAATGAAATTTCAAGAAACCAATATTTCGTCAAAGCTTGAATTGGGACAAACATTTAGAAACATTAACTGTTAACTTAGAGGCCATTGAGACAAAGTGGTTAATCGTACAAGCTTGTGCCTGATGGCTGTTGTTTTTTAGTCCTAAAACATTCACGGAAATGTTATTTTTTATTGTTTATCGATTGTCTTGAACATGTACCCAGCACAGGTTTTATGTACGTGTAGGAAGAGACAAGAAAAGTTACGGTCTATTTTATTTCACATAAAACTTATAGTGTGCTGTAAAATACAACTAAACCATTTAGACGCTATTTCCAAATCAGTCATATAAAACATTTTTTTACAGTTCTTCATAAATCTGTTTTGGTTTACATGTTTGAGTTATAAAATTGTTTATACAAATCTAGCATTGTTTGCAGTAAAAAACACTGCAAGTTATTACTTTGAGATACATGTAGTCAATACAGTGAGTCCATTTCACCTTTGTATTTGTGAAATATTCAGGTGACAGAACATTATGTTAAACACAAAGATTTTAAAATGAATGTGTCCTTGACACAAGATGAAGCTGGCATTATTCCTGTGAACGACTCATTTTATATTAATGGTTCAAGTGTGAGATAATTTTTGTTCAAAAAAAATATGAGAATGAAAGCCGAACTGTTTATAGCCCCATAAACATAGCAACTGGCTGTATGGAGATGGCGGGCCTGTAAATTATCACAGCACGGTGCCGCAGATGCCAACCAGTTAAAAACATACCAGGCTGCCCCTCAGTTCAAACCTACAAGGTATATAAAACCACATTGGACTGGAAATAAGAGGAAAAACAACTGGAATTTTGAGATTTCTACTAGTTTCATATGAGTTTTTAAAGTCATATATCGTACATTTTAGGGCAAATATGTGACCTTGTCACCACGAAATGAGCTTTAAGGTGGAATTTGCCATTGTGAAGTACAGTGGGACAAAGCCAAAATTTGAAGGGGTGGTCGGTTTTTGTGTTTTTCAGGTGAACCTTACCCTTACTCTCTGAGGGTAGTTTACTGCATGTCAGTTGGTTATGCCAATGCCCTCCAGCTGCAGTTATTTGGCAGATAACAAGTCTTAACAGTGAAGGCTCCAATTGGCAGGAGTTGGAGGCCCTGGAGGGTGCCTGATACTGACCAGCTGGGGGCACTCACTTTGTTATCAGAGGACTCTCATTGTTCTCTGTGGCATGTATTGGAGTGCCTGTCCAGTTACCCTTGAAATGACATGGCAGATATTGGAGGGCCATGCAAAAAACATAGGAGATTTTCTTGAGGCACATATTGGCATGCGTTGGAGGGTCTAGTAGGGTAAGGGTTAATCTGTTAGTCCCGTTGCACCTTTCTCCAATTGTTTTGTTCTGTCAAACATCTTTAAAAGCTATTTTGTCCTGTGTATTATGCATGTGAGTTGACAGGTTCATTCACTTTAACAAAACTGCAGGATTTGTAAATGCCATTTTCCCAAAGAGTCAGTTTTACAACTTCAAGAAAGTTGGTGGTCTTTATTTCCGTTACTGAACTCAGTACCCCTATATAATTGGAAAGCTCTTGTTCTGCAGAATCTAGATAAACAAATATCTCAATTCTAAAAAAAAGTCGGAATTTAAGCTCATGTTGTGATGACAGGTCACATATATTTAAAGGAGTTGTTCTATTAATGCTTATGTGCTTCTTTTATAAAAAAGAAGAAAGAAGTTAGGTGTTAAATCTTTTTCAAACAACTTTAAACACTTGAAGAGAAATGTGTTATTTTACACAATCAAACTTACTGGTTTTTTCCCCTGACGTTTTGATAGTGGTGGGAGAAATCGGAGATTTCAAAATCCGGTTATCCTAATTTTTTTTCAAACTGAATGAACGGTTATCCGATTCAGTGGAAGTTCCCCTTCAGCTCACAGTCATGCCAACAAAAAGTGACGAGTGAGGTGCCGCATGGAATGCTGTCCACAGTGATTTGGTATAGTTTGCAGGATTGAATGATCACTGGGCTTTTACAAAAAACACTTTGAGAGCTGTAATGTTGAAGAAAATGGGTGGGAACTCTCTGATCAGACCAATGGGCAGGCTTTTCATGAACCAAGAAGACCACTAGCAAGTGAATGCAGTTACAGTCAGAGACCATGGAGCACATTGGGGGATATTCCAGTTGTGTTCTTTAGCTTGTGTCACACACAAAAAATGGAAGGCCTAATGTTTTTAAGGTTGGTTTCGAATATGCGGTTTCCAAAATCTAAACCGAATAGTGGAATTCAAACCCAATTTAAAAAAAAAAAGATTTTAATCCCACCAAGTTTCGCGCAACATCGTCGCCCTTCATTAGAAGTTATTACCGTCTGGACGTCAGGTGGCACAAGCCAGACACATTTTTGAATCATGATAGCCGGAGCATTAACGAGTCTGTCGCAAATATGAATGAGTTGAACATTTACAATGATTTATGAGCTCAAGTTGGGACGGAAATGTTACCAAAGTAGGTGACGCATTCAACAGGTGCTTAATTTGATGTCGTGTTTGGCGCCGTGAATTTGCAATAATCCTCTGAAGCATTCACCTCCACACAAATCGGGCCCACTTTCCTAGTGGAGTTGGAAATCGGTGTTATGTTAAAAGTATTTTCAAGAGAATATGCAGTTAATATATCTGCCGACAAAACTATAGGGTTTTAAATTTTTTTCGACACATTACAGTTTTCTGAAAGTTGATTAATACCAGGCATTGCTTTAAAAGCTTGAATTATAAGGCCTTTTTGGTAAATTGGTGTATCTGTGCCGTTCAGGGAAGCATATAACAGCCCAGCAAATGCAGAACAAACAGTTGATTCACATGCTTACTTGTGCAATGCATGCCCCCCCCCCCCAAAAAAAAACCCAAAATAACTGACCAGCGTCCCACTCTATTTTTTTGGCTATAGACATTATAGAGCCCCCCCCCCCCCCCCCCCCCCCCCCCCCCCCGAAAAAAAGGATTTATCCACCCACCCACCCTTATTTTTTTTCAATGGGAAATAAAACTTTTTTTTGGCCTAAAAAAATTTCAAGACTGAATCTGTTTTTTTAGAGGTTAGAACCAGTCTTGTGAAAACCTTGAAAGTTGAACCATGAAGATAATTCATTTTAATAGCGCCATGGTTGCACATTCTTACTTGTTAATGTAACTTGTTTTTAGTCGTCCGGTATTCCCTGAACTTCCTCATAAAATTTTAACAAATACTTGCCTGCTTGTTGTCAAGCCGTTCTTTGAGTTCAGAGGTCAGCACAAGCTTCCAATATCTTGAATGTTTGAACTTGGCCATCTTTAGTACAATACTCTCCCTTGACTGGAAACCAAATCCTCTCAGCTAATAAATCTAAACCCTGTTTATCTGAAAGGTCCCCAACTCCATTATATATTTCCTTCTCTTGCTTGTCAGCTGCACAAAAGAAGTTGATGATAGTGTAAAGTGACGGATATCACTCACTCGTTATCAAAAGAAAGCACATTTGCCCAAGAGTGAGGTTTTATATTTTGGTGCGTGTGTGTTTTTTCACCTCCAGTTTATTTAAATCCTCTTTTCTGCTGATGATGTGTCACCACAGATAATGCACGCTTGTGGCTTTTAAGCGTGGGTTCTATTTCATAGCTTACCCAGCCACATTACGATAACAATTCTATGCTGACAGCGCCTGCATAGAAATTCTTCGCTAATCCTGTCAGCCCAGAGTCCCTAGTTATGGGATGTGTACCGTACACGTGCACACAAGGCAGCATTCCTTTGCTAACCTGTGACACTTGCTTAGCAATTTATTGTTAACGGTTAGCGAAGAAACTTTGCTTACTTCAAGCAGAGGCGTGGGCCCAATGTCATGGTTTTGCTTACCGTTAGTGAAAAATCCCCGCTTACTGTAGCAGAAATTCTCGGCTTATTTTGGTAAGCGTATTTCACGGGTTACTGAAGCATTTCAGCTTATGCACATGCGTACATCTCGTGCTTACAGGGTTAGCACAGAATTTTGTGCTAGCGCTGTTAGCACAGAGTGGTGATCGTAAGCGTGGAAGTCTGTGGTTAGCAGAGCCACAAAGTTGGGCCCAGATCATAGACACTAATCACAGCTTGTCTGATATTAAGTCAGTATTTTTTTTTCATAAACAGCCCAAGACTCCAGAACCGAGGGACAAGGAGGATCTGGACCACAAGGTTTTCCGAAACTCTGAAGATCGTGATTATCGCCCTCACAGTAACGGGCCCCACAAAGGTGAGGTATCTTTTTTATTACAAGGCTAGGGGGCATCAAGAGGCAGGACTTATTTTATGCATTTTTGCCCCTAACGAGGCTAAAAGCCACTCAAGGTACAGGCTACAATAGAAATAAAAAGAAGAGTAGGTACTCCGGAAAACTGAAGGTTGGAACTGACATACCGGTAACTCTTGAAATGGGACAGATCAGAGGTTGGAGGGAAACAAGCACCAGGCAAGGAATTCCAAAGGATATGGACAAGTTTTGCAGGGTTGGCGGTTGGAAGCAAAAGATAGATAGCAGCCATTGAGAAATAAAGGACTGCTGAACAGCTACCAAAACTGAGATAGTTGTAGTCACTTTTGGATGCTTGTTTAAGACGGAGAATATTGAGTGTCTTTTCTTACTTAAAATGGACAAAATTACTGAATGAGGTTTGAAGTTATGGAGCTGGCATTTGAATGAATGGTACTTACCGGTACAGGGTTCTTGTTTAGGTTCATCTGCACTTACAGTGCCATGTACATTTGCTTCTTAGTCTTACTCCAATGGTAGAAATGTATACAGTGTATTAACATTTGCTTTTCTGTGTGATCTGTTGTTCCATTTCGGGGGCTATATTTTATCCTCTGCATATATGTGTTTGCCTGCCACATTGCCAGCCTTCAGAAAACACTAAGTGCCTTAATTCTGGTGTTTTGGGAGACGACCTACTCGATGCTGCATGTACATGTAAACATGAAACAGCAGTTGGCAGCATGGATGACTTGTTTTTTTGAAATGCTAGATATTGGCCCCTGCCGCTGTTTATTTTCTTTTCTCACCCTCTGAGGATGAGTTTACAGTTGTTTCAATGTTGGCATTGGATCCTCTGTGCCAAAGACACTGTAAACATACATGTAGAGCCCCCTAGTGTTGTGTATCGTAGTGTTCTTATGCAGAAGGGGGTAAAACTGCCTCGCTAAAATGTTGATGAATAATGTTGAGAAAGTAGTGATATTACTGGCTTAAACACGTGGTATTCGTTATTCTTGTTAAGAATATTTTAGAGGGAAAGCAATTTCTTTTTAGAATGCCCCATCAGTTCATGTTCCTCCCCCCCCCAAAAAAAATTATCAACTCCGTTTGAACAGGTCACTGATATTTTTAAATAAACATGTTTTTATCCACTTTTCTAGCAAACAGATTATGATTGAGAATAATACTATTGAGAATGAGATCAAACTACCATCTCACTCCGTACAAACACATTTCGATTAGATACATTGGTACAATTAAAGCCACGTAGGATGATTTGCAGGTACCCAGAGATGTACATGCTCCTAGTGATTGAATGACAGAAACTTGCGCTCAAATTAAAGATAGGACTGGTATCAAATACCCTGTGAAATTATTCAAGCTGAAAGTGAAACGTATCATTTGTGAGAAAACAAACAGTGAAGATGGTTTCAAAATACCAGGGTGGCTGTGGACACACTTTGTTTATGTGCATTACGAGACCAAAAAAATGTGCTTACGTTTTCTCTGTTGTCTTGAAATTTATTCGCTCAGCTGAAACTTCAACAGGTTAGTTGTTATGTATTCTACTTAAATAGATTGTTACTGTTTATAGCAATTTTGTTGCTTCCAACAACAACAAAAGATGCACAAAAAGCAAACGATTCTAAATAATATTGTGCCAAATTCAACTGTTAAATTTTTTATTTAATTAATTTTAGTCTAGAACCTAGTTGATACAAAAAAAAAAAACACGGGAGTTATTTTTAGCATCGATAAAGAAACTGCTCGGCACTTTTCACTACATGGCTCAATGTAGTGCTGTGCAACGGAGCCGGGTACCCGAGTACCGACCGCTGATGTCAGGAACTGGTTCCAGATTAAGGGATTGGGTACCCTTAACCAACTTTACAAATTACCTAGTAACTACTTCTCAGACAATGAAAAAAGAAAGGTTTCGAATATCTTTTGTGTGGAATTTCAAAATGTAAACCAGGCTACATGTACATGGAAAAACAAAACCGATTTCACGTTTTTGATGCTGGAGAAAGCTTCAGTTCAATGTTCACACTTGTTGCGTGCTGCATTGAAGCACCAATGTACATGTAGTAGAATTATCATACGGAGCTTTACGAACAATCTGAACAGCAACTTTGGAGATTTGTATTTTTGGGGCTGGGTTTCTCGAATGGGTACCCAGGTATTTTTCCGTAGTACCCGTAAATGCATGTACATCCCTAGCTAAATGTGAACGACCTCATTGTGACCTCGTAGTGACCTGGGATAATTCTGCTTTCGCTTGGGGTCAGAGATCGGCTTGTTGTGGCCAAAGTGGCTTGTTCCTGAGTGACATACATGTGTTTCTGTGTGTAGATAAACAAACTTGTGCCCTAGGTTTATTACTGGGGCACCACAAGAATTGTCCTTTCAAGCACCCATGTAATGTTTTTTTGTGTGTGCAATCCTTGAAGCTGCAATTTTCAAGGGTATTTGGTCGCCTTTGGTCAGGAGCTTGGTTGAAGAGTCCAACCCCGGTAGAAAATCCTAAATCTAATAAAGCCGACCCGTGTAGAACCTGGCTAAGTGTGAATGGTACGCCTTGCCTACCCATGTTCGGTGGGATTACATAGAGTACATGTGCTGTTATTCATGCAGACTGGCTTTATGTTCAAGTGAGTGCCCTAAGGTTGTGGACTAGGGCACAGCTGTTCAAGGGTTAGGCTGGGGGGTTAATCACGGAATGGATTTGGGACTCTCTTGGGTATACAGCTACGGGTAACAGCTACATCAAAAGAACATTCCGTGCCTGCCACTTGGGTAATGTAGGAACCATATTGCACCCTAGCTGTTGGCATGTCGACGACGAATATTACAGTGTGTAAAATGTTGCTGCAGCATGAACCAGTTCAGCAGTCAGCTGCACTTTTCTTGAAACTTAAGTTTGCAGAAAACTTGGAGCCTTCAAATTTGGAGCCTACAAAGCAGTGAATTGTTTATCCTCAAATTTTGCTGTGCGCATGCTCAATTGGAAAAACCTGTCGCACGTGTTTTTTCTCAAGTGTCAAGATCAAATGTGTGATGAGTTGTGTATTTGGAATTTGCAGGAGACGGTTATTCTAGTGATGAATACGACTCCCAAAACGAGGATCGAGACATGAGGCGTGCCAAACGCGGCCGGGAGCGGGGGAACAAGAGCCCCAGGACAGTGAGACGCGAGGCGAATCGTGAGCATGAAGAGCGCCACCAGGGTCAAGAAAGGGACAGAGGTGAGCGCGAGCCTCGGCATCAACCCTACCGGGACCATGACCGAATCCCAAATGAGAATGGACCCATTCGCGGGCCGCACGCCGACCACCGTCAGCACGCTGACCACGACTCGGACCGCAGCTGGGATCGTGATGTGGACAGGAGGCATGACGACCACAGCAACCGTCGCGGAGAGCCGCGCAGGCAGAATGAACGTGCTGACCGAAGACCTGGCCAAAATGACCGGCGGTCTACCGACACGGAAAGAGACAGGGACAGGAGGCAAAACAGGGAACCAGGCAGATACAAGGATGACGACCGGCCAGCGGTCGACTATGAAACCAGGAGCTTGGAGCGCAGGCGCAGACCGCGCAGTCCCGATCACAACAGGCCAGGCTCACGACCTGAGCGCTCACGGACGCCCAAATACGACTTTGATTCCAGAGAGCACCGTCCGGCTCCGAAATCACCCGGAATGGAGAGGCGTGGGGCTCCGCCAATTGAGAACGGGACCAGGTCACTGAGGCGGGATTACCGGGGTCATCCGGAGGACAGTAGAGGTCAGGACGGTCGTAGGTCACGACCTGGGGGTGAAAGTGGTACTGGTCCACGGAGCCGAACCCCCAAGCCACTCCGTAGCACCTCACCTGTCAACAGTAAGATAGAAGTGAAGTTGATTTTTTCTTTACGCAGCCAACAACCTCGAAAAACTCAAAAGTGTAAAGTTGCCAATGCAGGTATAGATAAGATTTGAAGGTTAGCCTCATGAAGTTAGCAATCAGTAAGTTTGTTGTGATTAACTCACAGAGGAAAGTTCTGCATTTACAGTCACAAATTCTGTAACAATCACAAAAGGCTTGTAGTAATGTAAAGTTTCTTTGAGACTTTTTGTTTTTTAAGTATTCTGGAAACCAGAGACTATCAAAGCACTATCAATTATTTTCTGTCCTGCTCGCAGAGTCTGATAACGTCGTGGAGCAGAGACCGCCCTCTAGAGCCAAGCCCACTCCCTTGACTCTAGCCGACAACAAGGGGGGTAACTTCATCGAGACCACCGTGTTCCTCAAGAAACATAACGATGGGTTCGGCTTCAGGATAGTTGGTGGGCTGGAGGAACAGTCCCAGGTAAATAAAAAAAAAATACATTAATCCAGATTTTGAGTGATTTATTCGTTTTCCCCCTGAGGGAAGTTGGAGGAGCTGGTCACAATATTGGAACTGTGTACCTCGGCCCTGCAAATTCGCACCCCTTCTCTGCCTTATAAAAGTGTTGTTCCACTGCTAAGGTTAGGTTGGTTAATTTTCATTTTATCTAACAACGAAGACTACATGACTTCATAGATTCCCTAATTCCAGCTGGGGTCTACGACCAATCCCAAAGACTTTCCTTGACCAGAGCAAACCCTGTGTTCTCTGAAAGGGTGCCCTCTCTGAAGGTTCACAGTTTTTCCTGAACATGCTTCACTTTTTACTCCGTTGAAATTGCACAGTTTTTGACCAACATGCTAAAATTTGACAACATGGGAGTCATAGATTACACATACCTGATAATGTGACTGAATGTGATTGGAACTCTAGTCAGGTTTCCCAGCCACTCAAGAAATCAGGGAAACCTTGAAAATGAGTTTCCATTTTTCCAGTTGGGGAAAAGTCAGGGAATTTGGGGGGAAAAAATACCAAAAATCAAGGAAAACTCAGGGAATTTGACAGTGACCCAGAAGGGAAAGGTTTTCACCAGTTTGGCGTATGTGCGTCTTGTGCCTGGTGTCCAAGTTGTGTTCATTGACTGACTTGCCGTGGTGGCTTTTTAATGTTTATGCAGTTTGAATTTAATCAGTAAATGTTTCTAAGTTGCTTTGCTGCAACCACCTCTTGACTTTCCAGCAACCTCGTTGAAGTAAAAATATTTCTCACAGAATTTTGGAAATTTCTCGGTCAGGAAAAACTCGGGGAATTTTTTTTCATTAAGTGCTGGAACCCTGACTCGGACTGACTAGTGGCCTTCAGTCTGTCTATAAAAAGAGATAAGTTCCAAAAAAAAAATTGGTGTAAAAAAATCTTCCTGTTTGTAAATTGCAGGTTGCCATCGGAAACATCGTACCCAATGGTGCGGCTGACCTGGATGGACGGCTGATTACCGGTGATGAGCTACTGTACATTGACGGCCAATCAGTGATCCGGTCCTCGCACCAGGAGGTCGTGAATCTGATGATCAAGGCTTCGCAATCTGGCCGCGTCTCACTGGGCATCCGGAGAAAAGTGTCTTCTCCCACTGCAAGCGTACCTGGTGAGGAATAAAAGAGATCTCTTGTCTTTGATTCAAGCAGTTCCAAGTCACAACCATGATATATTTTGTTGACGCTTGTTTGAGTCTTCAAAAATGGTACTTAAGCAGGACAACATTATGATCTGGCTTATTTACACATACGCAACTCAGAAGAGAGTGGCAATTATTACAAATCTCAAACAAAAAAACTTAGATCAAATGCGAATTTGTTGCTTTTCCTTTGCTCAGTTGGCAAGAACACCATTGAGCGACGGCCTTTGTCAGAACCCCAAGCACCAAGGAGTCCCGGCAGCCCGACGAAGCCTAGCGCCGTCACCTTCCCTTACGACGTGGCGATACACCGCCGAGCCAACGAGGGGTTTGGATTGGTCATTCTCTCCTCCACGCTCACTTCGGGCTCCAAGATCGGTGAGTCCGTGCCGAAAAAAACAAGCTTATTGGACAAGAAAGGCAAAGCTGTGTTGTCATAAGTCCCTGATAGTGATCTGAAATGGGCATTGTTGTCTGTGGCTAGGGATTTCACCATAGTGCCCCAATGGTAATGTGCTAAATCCGTAGCCACAAAATACCCAATTCAGACATGGCTTACTGTTGGTTCCAAATTTATCCTGTTAAGTGAATGATCTCTCACTCCTCCAATAGGTTCCAATTGTATGACGTCAAAGCACCATGTGACCATCTGGTTTTTCCATGATCGGCCACCATTGCAGTAGGCAAGCGTTCGGTTGGCAACCGCGTCGTGCATTGTAAACTAGACAGTAGGGCTTATTTTCTCATAAAATAACCACAAATTCTTTATCAAATGGCGTAATGGTCACTACCTGTGCGTATACGGATGTCATAATGGTGCCGACTCAGCAGTTGGTGTTGCTGTTGGCTCCACATTTTTCTCACAGTTTCCGCCACCCATCACAGCTTTGAAGGCTTGCACACCACATACTGTGCAGTGCGCTATATGATCTTTGCCTACTACAGTGGCTACGGTGACTTTCCAGTACTTGGATGTAAGCCGAGTCGAGAGAGAGCCCAATTGCATTATTTTTGGATTTCTGTGATCCACCCCCAGAAATTAGAAAACTTAGTCACATTGTCAAGCAGTTTTCAGATTTTGTAGCCATATTTGCTTTAATATACCAACCCCCAATATTCGTCCATTTCTGACAATTACAGCCAAAACAAATGTGTTAAATTCCCTGTAATCTTATGATTTCATAGACTTATTTCGTAAGTTTATATTTAATGGGTGGAGTAAGAAGTTTTATTAAAGCTCGAAAAAGTGCAATTTTGTTGATCTCTCTGACAACAGGTCGGATTATTGAAGGCAGTCCCACGGACCGCTGCGGCAAAGTCAAAGTCGGCGACCGACTGATCGCCGTCAACAGAGTGGACATCATGAATATGCATCACAAGGACATTGTCAACATGATTAAAGATGCTGGGCTGAGTGTCACGCTAACCATAGGACCACCGGGTGAGGGAAAAATGAATGACCAGGTCCAGAATTGTGACCCGTCAACACAAAATGAGCTTTAAATCGCAAATCTGCATTTTGCAATACAGTGTGCCAAACTCAAAATACAAAGGGTTGGTCAAGTTTTGTACTAATTTCCTGTTGAACCTTAGTCTGCTTTCTTACTTGCTTATGGCGACTCTGAAGGTCGGACTCCAGTGATAGCTCTCCAAACCACTCTATCCATCATACAGGTCTTGACGTCTTGCCCACTTAAGCCGATATCCTCTGCTAGGAGTTTGATGTAGTCCTTAGGTGGCTGTCCTCTTGATCTCTTTCCATGCATGGGTTGCCATAGTAGAACCTTGGCGGCAGCTTCATCCTTTCTCCTTGTATAGTGTCCTGCCAATCTCAGCCTTCTTATTTTCAGCCTCTCAGAAATTAGCCCTAGTTTCCCATACAAGTCCTTAATCTACAGGTCGTGTTTTACCTTTCCCAATTTATCAGATTCATTATTCATTATTCTATTTGTATTCTATTTCTTTTCTTTTTTTTCATTTCAGAAGAACCAGTTGCTGGTAACTCACCAAAAGTAAGTTGTTTCTTTTTAACCTGGATGTAACCTTTTTTTGTGTGACTCTTAATTTCATTTTTATCAACACATTATTCTTCCTATTTTCAACATTTGTATTATCCCTCAGAGCTACCGATTTAATGAGACAAACCTTGATGAAAGTTAAAACGGGGATAGTACCAAATACCCTACGGAGTTATTCTGCCTGAAATGGTATCATTCAAAAGTAAACAATCGTTTTCTCAAAATGTATAGTAGCCACACATTGTGTGCCTACTGGTTGGTGTGGATAGGTTGCGAAGTACCCGTGATTATTTTTGTTCCGAAATGTGCACGAGACAGTGGCATCTTCGTGGGTGAGTGTCAGGCGTTGTCAGGAATTTATTTGAATGTTCCAGTGGTCTCCCCTAACTCTCTTTTTGTAACCGTTGAGGGGGAGCCCATAAAGAGTGGAAACAGTCCTGTGGAGGTCCTATGGAGTATTGAGCTCGGTGTAAGAGGGTTAATTTCAGGGAATAATCTTGAGAGATGTCATATTTTCTTCTTTTTTTCCCCTAACATTTTTCCCCAGGCCAATGAGAGCATGACAAACGCCCTTGCCATGCCAGCACACATCAAGAGCAGCGATACCAGTCTATTGCAGAGGGACAGTTTTAGAGAGGGGCCCAAATCACCTGCGACACCCACGGCCGACCCATACAGGTACACATTACAGCTAAAGTGGGTTCCCATCCAAACCAGGGCCGAATAGTAGAAATCGTTACTAGTTAAACAGCCCATGTATTATTATTATGTTTTTAATGCAGTCCTTGTAAATGCACCTTTGTGTCCCAGTTAACCTTATTTTCAATTTTCTTTTTGTTTTTTAAGGGCATTTTGGTGCCTTTTTTTGTTTTTGTGCTTATGCGAATTTGCATACTTATGAGCACAACTGTGATGTCATTTCAGGCAGAAACCTCAATGTTACAGCTATTTCAGCACCAAAATTTTGGAATATTTGGCTTTCTTTGCTGACTCGTTGGTTTACTCATAGCGGTATGAGCAAAAGTTTTCTCACAAAATTTTTCAGTGCGCAAATTTTAGGTTCACAAATTAAACCCCAAAAGCCTCTAAACTGAACCAATATCTTCCTGAAATGACATCACAGCAACAGCGCCCTCATGTGTCAGGAAAAGCATGGGAAATTTTAAATGTTTAAAGAAATGCATTTTTTAATAAGATTAACCAACAAGAGATTTCAAATAGTGTTCATACAGTTAAGAGAAGAAGAAAGTTGCACAAAATATATTTGTTAATAAAATTCATGTCAGTGTCCCTTTAAGCACCGATCCGCTGGGAACCAGTCATAAGCAATATAAAAGTCATGGCATTTTGGCTGGTAACCAGCTTTTGCTTAGCAAGTAAATTTTTGCGCTTGGTGGCTCCATGAAACTGAGCCGAAATTTAAAAAAAAAAATTTGTGGCTAGAATTAATTGGTCAATGTGAAATTGCCAGAGTGTATCCAACCTATTGATGCAGACAATATTCATGTTTGCATCAAAAAGTAGTTTAGGTGGTTTTGTGTACATGATGTTTGGCTTAATTTGATTATTGTTAACATTTTTTAAATCTTGAGAGTTTGGGTAGTTTACCGGATTAAGAGATCTGAATTTGTAATTTGTTGGTATTCTTGTTTTTCCCCCACTATTTCCTAGTTTTGCTTTTCTTACCTTGTAATTTGTACTTTTACTGCATGAAGTAAGATGTAATTTTCTTTCTTTTTTCCCTCCTCTTCACCAAGCCGTCAACATGAGCCACAGTACCCGACAGCCCCAAGGTGGCGCTCTCCGTCGGAACCAGTCCGAGGGGACCACCGGGACCCGGCCTCCTCCTCCAGCCGAAGCACCCCGCAGCCAAGCTACGAATCCCGCAGCCCGACCTCCTATCACAACCAGCAGCATAACCCTCCACACAATCCCCAACACAACCCCCAGCACAATCCTCGGCACAATCCCCAACACAACCCCCAGCCCTACCAGCAGCAGCAGCCGTCTGTGCCTTACAGCGAGCCATCCAGGGAGCCGTACAGCAGGCCTGGTGACTACGCAACCGAGCCCGCCTATCACCACCGTGATAGACCATCATCCCAACCATATCCGCAGTCTGTGGATTCCTACCACGCGCCGCACCATTCCCATCCTCAGCAGCCTTCCTATCAGCAGTCCTACAGACGGCCTCAAGAACCTAACGCGCCCCCCAGCCATGGGGTAAGTCAGTTACAAGCGACAAAGTATACATACGGTATATAACATAGTGTGAGGGTTGATAGTCGATATTAGTTCCGAAAATGAAGCTGAGGGAACTTGTTTGTCAACTTACAAGACCGAGGGGAGCTAATATTGACTCTCCATCAAAAAAAAGCCTTGTTAGGCCAAAAAAAATAAATATTCGGTCTCTGGTCAGACCGAAGTTCCGGAATTGATGCAGCGACGCCTTTTTTTTTTTTTTTTCAAGCTTGAATTGTACAGACAAGGTGGGTACTATTTTGCTTTTTTGTGTCCTCATTATACATTGGTGTCCTCCATAATTTGCCTTGGTGCCCTTTATCATTTGCCTTGGTGCAATTTCCTCATTCCTTTGTGCTCCTTGTTACAAAAATTTTGAGGAGGTGCGGCAATAGAGGGCGCTGTTGTAGTTTTCGTGTTAATTTGAAGGGAAAAAAAGGTTGACGCGCATGATTAAAATCGACGCGCGCGCTGACCAGAGACCGAGTATTTTTTTTTTTTTGGCCTTACATATGTTTTTACTAACCCTCTTACACATTCACCAAAATTTTGTCAAGTAATGTACGCAACAGTTATCTGGGCAAAACGTTTCTGTGCGTGTGCCTCATCTGTTCATGTAGTGCTAGCTAGGGCAATGTTAGCACATGCGCACTACCCCCATGCACTAGTTCCAGGATTGTTTCGTAAAGCGCATTCGTAGTAGACTAGTAAACGGGTTAGCTAGTCTACTATGAATGGGTACTTACCCTGTGCCTGAATCCCCGCGTGCGTGCCAGGTAAACAGCTCAACTAGCGGCTGACACTTGATGCTGAATGGACCACTGAGAATTCCGGCTCTTGATCCTGAATACGTATGCGGTATAGTTATATAGAATACCTGCCATTTATGAGCAGTGAACCATGTTAAAGTTGACTTTCGAGTAGACATTTCTCAAAGGTTTAACGTGACGCCAACTTTTGTTTGTAGATGTACGATGATCAGCCAGAGATAGAGCCAGGGGACTACTATGCGGTGGAGCTGGAGCGTGGAGCCATGGGCTTTGGGTTCAGTATACGCGGGGGACGGGAGTTCCAGAACACGCCACTGTTTGTGCTACGCATGGCGGAGGAGGGGCCTGCTGCCCAGGGGGGCCTAGTCAGGGTAACCGGAAAGATTCAAATTATCTCATGCTGTGACCTGTTCTGTCAAAAACAGACACCACTTTGTGATTTTTCCCCCTACTTTTAAGTTTTTGCAAATTTGGTTCTAACATATGTCTCAAATATACTTTATAAATTTGAGATCATAATAATTTGCTTGCAACTGTGATTTTTGGATGATTTTATAGCTATAAAAGTTAAAGTGCATAAGCAAAAACTAAACCGCCCATTTTCTATGTTTTTCACCTTTGTGAACTTCATGAGGGCGTAATTTGCAACGGAAATCCTATTTGAAACCAAAAAAATAATTGTCATTCAGGTAAAAATCTGTCTTTGAAAAAAATAAAATAAATTTCGACCTGTTGCCAGAAGAGTCTGTATTTGACAAAACACATCACATTTGATTTGAAGTTGCGTGTGGTGGTGAAGAAAGGTGTGCGCATGACAGCATGTGACTCACAGGAGAATAACAAACTGAATTTACAAACTGATGAACACACACGTGTTTTACTATACTTAAGAGAACCTCCTATTGTTTCCTTCTTTTGTTCCTATTTTTTGGACTTTCCAAAGTTTTTCAAGTTTTTCTTGACGTGTCCCATAAGGTTTGTACACAAAAACTTACCGAGGATTTGGGCTCAGATCTAAGGTAACCCGTTGTCCCGTAAGACTTAAAGGATGACATGATCACACAGCAGCCTTATTTGTATGAAAACACAGTGAAGCTGTTCTTAGTAAAGCAGTTAAGCAGTGATTAGGAATGCTCTTTGTTGCACTGCAGGTGGGCGATCAGATCATAGAAATCAACAGTCACAGCACGGACGGGATGCTGCATTCAGAGGCCATTGAAGTCATCAGGCGAGGGGGTAAGAGGGTGCGTCTCTTACTACGACGATCTGGCCCACCCCCTGCTTCAGGTTAGTAGCTATGTTCTGACCATGTCCCTGTCCCCATTCCTGTTCCTGACCCAGTCCTTGCCCCTGTCCACGCCCCTGTCCCCGCCCCTGTCCACGCTCGTCTCCACACCCCGTCTCCAACTCTGTCCCTGTCGCTGCCCCTGTCCCTGCCCCTGTCCACGCCCGTGTCCACACCCCGTCTCCAACTCTGTCCCTGTCGCTGCCCCTGTCCCCGGCCCCACCCCCGTCCCCGCCCCTGTCCACACCCTGTCTCCAACCCTGTCGCTGTCTCTGCCCCTGTCCCCGGCCCCACCCCTGTCCCTGCCCCTGTCCACACCCCGTCTCCAACCCTGTCGCTGTCTGCCCCTGTCCTTGGCCCCACCCCCGTCCCCGCCCCTGTCCACACCCCGTCTCCAACCCTGTCGCTGTCTCCGCCCCTGTCCCCGGCGCCACCCCTGTCCCCGCCCCTGTCCACACCCCGTCTCCAACCCTGTTGCTGTCTCCGCCCCTGTCCCCGCCCCTGTCCATGCCCCATCTCCAACCCTGTCGCTGTCTCGGCCCCTGTCCCCGCTCTATGTCTGTCTCAGATTACTTTGGAACTCGCCCAATTATTCAGCATCCTCTCTTCTTTCCAACCCTTCCCTCGCCATCCGCAAAAGAGCCTTTCAGCAGGAATGTGTCTTCTTTTTTCTTCAATTGCTTTATCTTTTAGTTTCCTCTGATGCATTGCATTAGTGTAGAGCATGAATGATACTACATGATTTCAAATGGTTCTGAACTTGCACACTTTTATACAAAGCCCTTGTATTATTGTGGATGCAGTTTCATCTTTTTATGTGTTTTTTTTAAATGACAGCAGGCAGAAATGAAAAAAAGTCTCACCCTTAGGTCAAGTCACTTTTCCAGCTTTAAATAATCCACCGTTTATTTTTAAAAGACTTTTTAAGAGACTAAAGGCACAAGGTCATTTCTTTCTTTGTTCACCTCTGGATATTATGGACAGTTTTCCGAAATGTTGCCAGGTGAGCAGTGACCCCTAGATAATGAGCTCATTCAAGATTAAAGAGTACAAACCGGCGGGAACTGTCGGGAACCTCTAGGAACCTCCGGGAACCTCCGGGAACCTCTAGGAACCTGTAGGACCCTCTAGGACCCTCTAGGAACATCCGGGGAAACTCTTGATACCGCTAGAAACCTCCGGGAACCTCTAGGAACCTCTAGGAACCTGTAGGACCCTCTAGGACCCTCTAGGAACATCCGGGAAACTCTTGATACTGCTAGAAACCTCCGGGAACCTCTAGGAACCTCTGGGAACCTTAGGGTAACCAGAGGTTGAAAAGATATGCCCTCCCTAACTGCATTCAGATTTTGAAAAAGCAATCCTAGAAGTCAGTCTTCTGTATTGCAAATTTCTTCAGTGATGAAACCGAACATCCTGGCAATGCTTCAACCCAGCGTTCTTTTCTTCCCTGCGGAATCTGTCCTATTTCCCATCCGTCACAAATTGTGCTCTTTCTTTTTTGTTCCGTTATGTGACTGAGGTAGTTTAACCTTGGGAACTTGTGTTGCAATGAGAGCGTAAGTTCTTTTCGTCCTCAAAAAAAAAAAGTGTGTGGAGATTCCTTGTAGCCTAGTTGTTGTTTCCATTGTGGGCTGCACTGCAGAAGAAATGCAAAAGAAGATGCAGAAAAAAAGTTTTGCAGTTTGACGTTTTTGTCCAGTCATTTGATAGAAGATTGTGCTGTATTTGTCTTAGTATTGAGCTGCAATTTCATATTGCATTTTTTTCCATGATTACCTATTTTATGCATGTTTGTATTGTGTGTGACAAGAAAACAAAATTCTTGAGTAGGTTTTGTCTCGAGTAAATGAGCATGCGTAGAAATTCTGCAAAAAACCCTGCATACGATCCTGCATTTTTATCATTCCAGCTGTTAATTCCATTCCGTAGTGTGACCGATTTGTGTTTTCCGTTGTCTACACAGACTACATCGGGGTATTTTTTGTAAATTTTTGTTTCACAGATTGATTTCAATTGTGCATATTTTTTTTTTATAGGAATAAAGTGTGTATGAAAGTGGATGATGTGACAATTCTGTAATACAAATATATGGGAGCTGTTCTAGAAGGGGTGAGAGGGCAATAAACAACCAATCTAAATTCACCGAGATCAGCCAAAACGTTATACTTTCTGAAAATGTTTAAATTGATAAGTTCAAAACAGCTTCAGCATTTTCTACAAAAGGTACCGTATGAGCACCAATAATGCATATGGTACACATCAGGAGGGTTTTTAAAAAAAATTATCAACAAGTTTCATCATTGTGTGGAGATGTGGAACCAACCCTTTTCAACCTGTTACATATGTACCTAAGCCATGCCTACCCATCTCCATTCCTGATCAACACCCACCCCTCCGACCCCGATCACCCCACCCTTCCAACCCCAATCATCCCACCCCTCCAACCCAATCTCCATATCACCCTGACCCCCTCTCACTTTGACCCAGTCCTTCGACCATGATCCCTATCGCCCACCCACTATTCCAACCCCCTTGATTCCAGTCGCCCCCACCACCCTTGCTCTCCAATCCCCACCCTGACCCCCATCGCCGCCTTCCTTACCCCCATCATTACCAAATACCCTACCCAAACCCAGTCCTTCACCATGACCCGTATCTCCTACCCACTTCCCCCATCTCTTCCACCACCTTGATCCCCATCTTCCCCACCACCCTTGCTTTCCAATCCCAACCCTGACCCCATCTCTGGCCTCCTGAACCCCCTTCCTGACCCCCGTTCCTTACCTAATCTCCTACCCAGACTGAGTCCTTCTGTCATGAACTCTACTGGTATCTCCCCATCCTGACCCTGATTCCCTCCTTTGACCCCCTTTTCCTCCACTTAGGACCCCTTCTCACCCACCACTATCGACCCCACCACCTCCACCATTCCCTACACCATCGTCATCATCATCTCATTGTCTTTGCCTTGGTGTCATTTCTTTCTCCTGGACACTTTAGGCATTGAGTCCTGATCGTCAAAAAAAGTTTTTAGCAGCAGTTCATGGTAAGAGAAGGTAGACACCCATTCCCACTCAAGCTGCAACACAGCCATCGCTCACCAATGCTTACACCTGCAATAATAAAAAAATTCACATGACTAACTTCAAAGCAGTACTAGTATCAAATAATCCATAAAGTAAACTAAAGTAAAGTCTGTCACGAGCCAATGTGGCCCATCAGGCCGGCATTTATCTCCTGTTTCAGTAGCATGAAACAACTGAGAATATTTCTATTCCTCCTGGATGGGATGCTAGTCCATCGCAGGTTACTCCCCAGCTAATGCTGGTACCCATTTATACTCCTGGGTGGAGAGAGGCAAGTGAAGATGAAGTGGCTTGCCCAAGGACACAACATTTGGCCAGCAGATGGATTTGAACCCCTGAACCTCTGATCATGAGTCACAAACCCAAACCACTAGACCACACTCCCCCCCCCCAAAAAAAAAAATAAAGCCATAAAACTGGAACAAAGAACACAGCAACCCAGAGGTCAGAAGTTCCAATCCAACTTTGGTCAATTTTCAAAGAGTCCACACTTTGAGGCTTAATATGTACCATGTAATATACATAACTAACCTGATACTAGTGTACTTGAAGATATAAGCACGATCACAAGAGAAAATGGTGGAAATACTACAGAAACTCCACGTTTCTCTCTCCCATAGAAGCAACTAACCTTATTTCTGCATAATACACATAGAGGCCGGTTCGTACTAGCGCGAAAACGTACGCGAACGCAAATTTGTGGCGTCAGGGGGAGTTTTTGCGCTGCGAATTCGCACAAGTTGAACACGTTTCAACTCTGGCGAATTTCGCAGCAAATGCTTCGTGACATCAAATTCGCATCGCATTCGCATGAGATATGAACCGCCTTACGATGTGTTAACTGTAGAAATGATAACTAACACTGTAATTGATGCACATGTGTTTGTAGAAATAGTTCAGACGAGAGAGTGTAGAATGCATACTTCTGTGAACGGCTACTCCTTTGTTCCAGCTTTTGTTTTCCATGTACAACTCTCTCCAGCCAGTTATCTTGTCCACAAGACAAAATAGTCAAAAGCTGTGGTTAGCAAAGTATTGTGAGCTTAACATTTAGCTACACAGGACTGAAGATGATCTCAGTGGGTAATCATATGGTGTCAAAGGCCAGGCTTGCAACCAATCAGATACCAATATTCGATTATCAACAGAACATAGAATAGCTTCTTTTTGGAGTCAATTTTTTTTTTTTTAATGTGAGCGGTCTCGATGAGATGATGGGAAGATATTTAAGTTGTGTTGTTTCTTATTTGTCACACTTTTGTTGGGCATGATTGTAGAGCTCCTATGAGGAATATTAGTTCAAAGTTCTTCTTTAAAATCGTTCAAATATCAGCCACTGCTACCTAACAAGCAAGTTCATTGTCAATTTTTGACATGCACTGTGCACGCAAATCCCGATCGGCGGCCAGATTGGACTGGCGCATGGTCAAATTGATTAGTATATATTGAAATCTAATATTCAAGTATTCGATCAAGTCCAAGTTGGAATCAAAATACTAAATGATTCGAAAAAGCACAGCTGTACTTTTTAAACAAATCCTGTCACATGGAGAGAGCAATATCTTTCCCGCTTAACCTAAACATATTCTTTGTTAAAATTGCTTCGCATAAAAGAGTGCCTTACGTTTGTCAAATTGCTTGTGTGTAAATATGAAGCTAATTTTTTATGTTCGAGATGTTGTTTATCTCTTAAAAATAAATTAATAAATAAATAATCCAATAACAGATGCTGTAAGAAATGAGAGCAAATTTTTTTGAAAATACCCAGGAAATGCTGAGATAAATTTGAGGTCACACCTGACCTAAACAGCAGAAACAATGGGACTGATCATTTCCTGTTGTTGAATCAGCTTGGTGTGAACTCTGTATGTGTATTAACGTTCCCCTTGGTGGAACAATGCTAGCAATTTCTTTATGGCAACTTATGCCATTGCTGCCATGTAACAGTACTCCGGTACGATTCCTCTTTTGCAACGATGTGAAATTAGTTGTACACACTTTCTGTTTTTCACCACAAAGCACCATGTATTATTGTCTGCTCATGGGCTCCGTGCACAAACGAGAGAGGGCAGTATTTGACCAGTTTCGAGAGCTCAGTGGACGGGACACCGCATGCGTGTACTGGTTCGCTTGCGTATAACGCAAAGTACGCACATTTGATCTTATTCTGAATGTGCACAAAGCCATAGCGTCTTCGTGCAAGCGTCAGGCGTTGTCGGCAATGCGTTGGATGTCTCTCCCAGTGGTCTCCCCAAGAGATGAGTGGGTACTTGTGCACGGAGCCCATGGACCATAGACTGTGAACCAGTTGAGCCAGCAAGCATAAGGGCAATCCTACGGTTACTCACGTTACATTTTTGATGTACTTTTGACTTTCCTTGGGCTGTAATTACCTTACTGAAAAGGTTTAATAACTGTTATCCCCATGGTAGATAGAGTAGACCTAGACCTACCTAAGCACCAAAGATGACATCCAGAAAAATGTGTTATGTATGATAAACAAGACGCACAAAATCGGTTACTCGCGTTACATTTTCATAATGTGAGTAACCGATTTTGTGTGTCTCGTTTATCGTACATAACACATTTTTCTGGATGTCATCTTTGGTGCTTAGGTAGGTCCAGGTCTACTCTATCTATCATGGGGATAACAGTTATTAAACCTTTTCAGTAAGGTAATTACAGCCCAAGGAAACGCAAAAGTACATCAAAAATGTAACTTGAGTAACCGTGGAATTGCCCATAAAGTGATTACAGTAGTGTAGCCATTCTTAAAAGCTTTGTTTTCACTTACTTTGTAGTAAGCACTGTTAGCAGAGTTGTTGCATAGTTTAGATATCTAACAACTTTGGAGCTTTGTCTTTGCGTAGACACCGATGGTGCGTTAATCGGCTAGTTACGTATTGCAACTGAGTACGAGAGTCAAATATAGCAGGTCATAGGTCGTTCGGGATAATCACTGATTATTAACCATTAGTGACTGATGTGATGTGGGATGTGATGTTTTTAACATCCTCTGAGCGCATAGCACCCGAGGGGAAATGCGCATTGTACATGAGGTTAGCCATTGTACGAGTGTTTTTATACATGTACCCTAAACACGTGACCGCTCTCAACCAATGAAATTACAGTATCCAAGCACACGATATAACAATCACCAATATCGAACGATATCGAACTCTGTGTAGCCGGACATAGAAGTTATTCTGTTTTCTCCAAAACAGCAGAGCTGTATCCTTCACTCATCCAACAACCAACTTATTTATTCCTTGGCCCAACTGATTCCCGCCCAGTCCTTCACCTCAAAAATGGAGAGTAAAAATCGAGAGAAAAAAGGATTAAAAAATGGACGCATTGAAAGTTATGTCATGTCATTGCATGCTGTTATTCATGATAATAAGGCTAATAAGGCATGGCTTAAATTAAACCGACTTTCTCATCCGACAACCAAAGTGCTGTTATTTATAGTAGACAAAACAAAACTTGTTTTCAAATTCAGCCACTCCATGTAGATTTGCATACTCTCTGTTTCCCATCTTAATACAAGTCATCCCTGTGTCACAGAATGCTCCTCACAACTTCACTTGCATCGTCGTGGAAAAGTGTACACGTAAGCTTTGTAAAAAAAAAACCCAAAACATGAAAATGAATACACCTGCTGCAAACTGCTTTCTGACTGGATTGACCTGAAATTTACACAAATCTAAAAAATTAAGACGGCCTGACGTTGCGATCTTAACAAGATCTTCATTATAATAGGCAAAATGACTGAACAAAAAAAAGATCGACATTGAAGTTACTTTGCATGTTCAGTTGTCTAACTCCCGAGAATTGAAATATCAATATTTTGTGTAGATCAAGTTAAATGCATGTATGGTTTGTACATAAATGTCGTTGAATGTTAAGTTGCATTTAAATTACCCCCTCCCCTTCAATGAAAAAAAACAACTCACTGATATTTCTCAAACAGCATGCTATATAAACACAAATTTAGACAACCATTATGAATTGAAATATATTTTCTTTGAAAGTTCCTGAGGCAAAATGTGTTAAACAACCTCACTAATTGCTGCAAACGTTTTTGTGTTTTTTCCCTTCGTGTTTCAGAGAAAAGGACCAAAAAAGTAGAAATCATTACAGGATCCCAATTGCACACTCGTTCATGAGGTAGCCAGGGCTTGAGGATCCTGAATCCTGCAAAATCTCCAGATTTTCATTGGGCAAGAAGTTCCACAAAATAGTGACTGGGCTTTTTCTCCTTCAAGATCCCACCAATACCCTCTGGTGGATTTTGACAAAAATCTCAAGAGTTTAAATGGTTTAGGCACTTTTTTCCCTCCTAATTTTGTCTATCATTGGCGTGTTTTTAACCCTTGTCGTTATTTAGATGATGGCAGAGGGGGGATGCTCAAGACGGTTTCCAACACCTCACTCCAGAGTGCTGACCAGGCCTTCCATCAGCATCACTACCCAAATCATCACCCTCATCGGCCTCAGGGTCCTGGCCATCGGAAGGAGGCCTTCGACACTTGGTCCTATCGTAGCCTACCCAGGGGGATGAGGTACTAAGCCTGCCCCTACCCAGGGGGGATGGGGTACTAAGCCTTCCCCTACCCAGGGGATGGGGTACGAAGCCTGCCCCTACCCAGGGGGATGAGGTACTAAGCCTGCCCCTACCCAGGGGGATGGGGGTACTTAAGCCTGCCCGCTGGACAGAATTTGCAGTGTCTGAGTGAAGAATATGTGATTTTTTTAGTGTGTTCTGTTCTAGTCAGCATGTCAGTTCATACTTCATGCTAGAAAGTCATGAATACCCACAGTGAGAAACATGTGTTTGGCAAAAAAAGGGGGGGACTTAAGTTTCCATTTTGGAGGAAGTTTGCCCCCACAGGGATGGTTGAGGGTGTTTTTAGTGTATTTGTTGCACCCCAGGAATTGGACCTGTCCTTGTCTTCTGAACCCAGATATTTTGATTCAATTTCAAGACTTTTTGTTTTTTACAAAGATATGACACATACGTATTCAGAGGCGAAGTTCTTCTCATGCGATATGATTTTTTGGAATTGAAAAATTTGAAATATGATGGTAGAAACAGTAAACCAACTTTTCATTGGACCTTTGCGCCATTAATATATTTTTTTAAATAACTGTCTGAAAGGTCTGTTTGGATTCAAGAATTCGTGGATTTTTTTTTTTTATTTTTAACAAACTTTTTCTCATGGTTTATGGGGCCAATAGGAAATTTATAGTCCTGGTCAAATAAGTCACTTTTTTTAACGTACATTTTTGGGCATTCATTGTATTACGATTTAGAATGTTACTCTTATGCCCAGGGCTAATAGTTTTGTTGTAATTTGCATTTTTAAGATGAAATCCACAATTTTAATTAATTTTTTTATTTTATTTTAATAAAATAGGGAAAATCAAGTATTACCTGTTTTCAGGTGGTATTTTATCGAGGGTTATTTTTAAGACCTGGCTCTCACGGTTTTATCGTTAAATGCGTGTGTTTTTGATGTCTTACTACATGGCTTGCTTTCACATTGTAGAATATTACCACCGAGACCCTGAGTTTATGCATAGTAATCGCTTCGTGCCAGAACTATAGAGGGCGGTGTTTGACTTATGATTATCATAGTTCTGTGGTGTACAAATAGACTGTTCAACCTACAACCTTGGTGTAAATGGTAGGCCGAACTTCTGTGCTAGAACACACACAAGTGAACACACAGGTTTGTTAATGGTGTAGATCGAGGATATTCTGTTCCTCGTCCTTGATCTTTCCCATCCTTATCCTCATTTTCTAATCGAGGTCATCCTCGATTTGACTCCTGTCCTCAATTAGTTGATGATGCTTCACATGGTGTCCTCGATTTACACCATAAACATGTACACTGTTGACAAAACACCCATTGATGTGCCCTCAACAGTAAAACAAAAAACACTTTTTTACTGTGATTGCCAACTTTCATCAATATCTTGAAGAATTTAATGACAACCAAATTGTTTTTTTTTTGCTTCATCGTCTATTGTCAGTGGTAGTACTTTGTGTCAATTTTGCGAACCTATGTGGTGACATCAAACACACGCCTGTCATTTTTAAAACAATAGCAAGCTGGAACTTGCTTCTCCAGGAAAACAAGCAGTTAGACCTTTGTCTGGATGGACATTTTTTTAGAAAACTGGTTTAACTTTCCTGCGTTTTTTAAAAAGATAACATTCTGCTTCTCATGATGCATTAGGCGTTGAGAGAGGATGTCTATTCCGAATTATTTTTTTATGCCAGGGCAGAAACTTACAGACTTTTTGCCCGAGTTCTGCATCTGTTTCATTCTTTGTACAAAAAAAAGAGTTTCCTGATTGTGGTCGGGGGAGATAAATGTTTAATCGAGCCTCATGTTGTAAAACGATTGTGAGTTTTTTAATTAGTTTTTATTTGCAAAATGTAATTACTGTACATAATTGGACCATTAAGTACTTTATTTACCAGTGTGTAATCGTTGCATTGTATTCAATAGCAATATGTTGGGCGGTTCTTTAAAAAACACAATTTTTAAACGTGTAAATTTAGTTAAGTATCAGTTATTTAATTTTTTTTATAAGATTGTTGCCAGTCAATCACTGTTCAGTGGAATGTAATCTGGGGTTGGAGCCAAATCTGAAAATAGGTAAAATGTCAAACTTTCAGAACAAGGGGGCTAGTTTTGAGAAGCCGCTTTAGTATAAGATATTGCTGAACGAATGTACAGGGGCCGTATCATAGGTCTGACACCTCATAAGTCCGAAATTTGGGACTTATGAGGCGTTGGATGTGTGAGGCATAAATTCCACCTCATAGGTCCGACGCCTCATAAGTCCGACAATGGACAAACACTGTTTTGGACTTATGCGGCGTCGGACCTATGAGGCAGAATAAATCAATTGTATGCCTCATAAGTCCAACGCCTCATAAGTCTGACGCCTCATAAGTCAGAAATTTCGGACTTTAAGGCATCGGACCTACAATGTATGAGGCGTCGGACTTATGAGCGGACCCCAGTGTACATGTATGCACACAGCGCCAGTGTATTAGTTTCTCCATTGACACAGTGGTTTATTTCTGTCATGTGCATGTGGGCATATGCACTGTTTTAGGAATCATTTTAGATTTTTTTTGTTAACAATAGTTCATTTAGTTCATCATTATGAGTGATTTTGTGGAGTAGAAAATTTGAATTTTTTTTATTTCTTAGTTTAATGTGCATGAGTGTTTTGTTTTATTCAATAGTTTTTTTTATTCCTATCATTTTGATGTTCAGGTACGCTTTTCATATGTCCTGTGTCACGCATCTGAGGTGTTCACATTACATGTATATCCTTAAAATTCTTGCCAGTTTTGAAAAATCCATACACAGCAAACTACTGACCATTTTTTATGAAAGGAATCTGAAGAGCCTGCAAGTAACATTTTCATTGGAAATTGGATACCTTTTGTTTAAACATTTCAAGCAAGCTTTGTTTTATTTGGATCATTTTTACGTATTCACGTACATGTAAGTTTTAACGGGGGTAAAAAATTGTTTAAAGGTTTTTTTTTAATAACCTTTTGTGGGTTGACAATAGTTCCTGATTTGAACATGATTAATAATAAAAAAGGGTTTGTTTTCTCACTGTAAAGACCAAATATGTAAATGATAAATCCTCAAGCTAATGAAAAATGGATTTTTCTGAGTGAAATTGCGCAGTGATTAAAAATATAAACAAAAAAAATCGGTCTAAATCTTTTTTTTTTTAAGCAGAAAGATACCACGTCACAAGAGAAATTTGTCATGTTCTCTCTGTTTTGAGGGCCTGGCATATTGCAGTTGAAGGCAGGTACATCATTTCAAAGTCAGTTTCAGAGCGGAAGATTCGTTTGCTGACTGTTGTAGTAAAACCATTTACATTTATACCATGAAATATTATTTTGCCTTCACAATCACCTGTATGACCACTTCTCTCAAAATGTAATTTTTGCCTGATCATTCCAAAAAACAGGGCTGCAAACTATTGTGTGTCACCACAGACTTTACATGCTATTATGACTTATGTCGCAACTACAAACTATTGTATGTGATGTTATACAAATATTGAGTGGCTCAGCGTGGAATGGGAGGAATATTATCGCAAGGTAAAATCTGACCGAGCGATAATATTCCTCCCATTTCACAATTTAAAGCCACTCAATATTTGTTTTATATAACTGACATATAGATCCTTGTCATTTGATATATTGTACTTTTTTTCTATACAAAACTGGAGGAAAACGTATTTCTCTCTTCCAAACCACCCTTTCACGAAAATGTTTGAACCCAACGCTGTAGCGCTGGCTCTTTGGAACAATACGTGCAACGCTGAATGCGCACACCAGCATGCATTTGCACACAAATACCGCGTCATGATCCTAACTGTTGAATAGTATTTCCCATTCCCCATGGGCGGACAGTACTTTTTGAGCTGCGGCATGAATGGGAGCAATAACGAATGCCACGTGATGTGAGTTCCACCAATCAAATGACTAGGATCTGTATGTCGGTTATATAATATACAAATACCGAATGTTTATGAGTGCAATGGTAAGAATAATTTCAAGAGGTGACAGATGAGGCGAAAGCCGAGTGGAATGGAAGATTCCATCCGTCACCGAATGAAATAATTCTCACCGTTGCACTCACAAACATTCATTATTTGTTTTATACAACACGTGAATAAATCTTGATTGTAACCTGATTGGCCAGAGCTGCCAAAAATGTGACTGCATTGAATTTGACCCACCAATCAGATGACAGGGATTTATTCAGGCGTTGTATAATTTTGAATGTCTGTGCTGGTCTTGTCCGTTGTAAATACAAGTTGCCAAATCATTCGAGTTTTAGAGTTTCATACTTGGCATAGTCCAGAGTGTATTTTTTGAAGTGGTGTTGCAGTTGCTGCTGAAGAAAGCTTGTTTTGTTTTTAACTCCCAATAATTACACATTCGTGTTTTTAGTCTTGACCATTCCTCTCTTTGAAGCTTGCTGAATTTGATCCCATTGTAAAAATGTGTAATTTGAAGCGGGAATTTTATACTAGTTTAAATAAAGTTGTATCATAAAAAATAAAGTTCCAGTCGTAAATGGAGGTCCTGCAGCAGTTTTAATGGCATTGTTTTCATAAATTAATTTCATTGTTCGCCTTTTCAAAGTAATGTACAGAGTAAACATTGTTCTAATAAGTTTCTTAAAACAAAAAGAAAACATTCTTGTTGTAAAAGGTTACATTTCTTGATAAGGTACAGTCACATTACAAGATGAAATCTGTTAAAAAATTGTAGATATTGTAATTAAATAAACTATACAAGCATTTTGTTGGGTGGGTTAGTTGGCAAGAAGTAGTTTTTATATCACTTTTTTTTTTTGCTTCATTGTATAGGCATACATACAATCATATATTTAATAAAACATCAGTATGTATTTGTCTAAAGAAAAAAAAGTGTTCTTTGGTTTCTTTCGGACATTTTACGAAGAACTTGACATATTCTTAGCTTGACCCAACCGCCCCCGAAACAGATCTAAACACTTGATGAAACAATGTACAAAACATAGGTGACTGTCTTATCAACTAAACACCATTTTGAAAGGATACACTTCTGACATTACTTTCTTTTTCACAAGAAGATAAATTCTCTCATTTACAATAACAAAAATGTACAGTTAGTCTGTAGGTGTTTTGTGTAGCACCAAGATTGCTATTCTATCAACAAAATCCTCTTCATCATTATTTATAACTATATAAACTTATATATCTCTGACTTAAAATCGTACAAAAATATTCATCTGATCATTGATCATTTAGTTAATCAATAAATAATCACTATTATAGTACAGGGGAGACCCCCTTATGGTAATTGTACCAGTTCAGTCAATATACAAATAATGATTGTTTATGAGTGCAATGGTAAGAATGATTTCATGAGGTGACCGGTGGCATGTTCCATTCCACGCAGGGGAAGCCTAGTGGAATGGAACGTTCCATCTGTCACTGAATGTAAATATTCTTGCCATTGCACTCAAACATATTTTTGCCGTGCGGCCAGGCCACGAATAATTTTTTTCCCAAACGAGATCTGACATTGACAATATCAAAACAGGGTGCTCTCTCTCTCTCTGTGTTTTATGCATATTCATGATGTCCAAGGCTTTTAGAGAATAAGTCATAACATTGTGTTTAAATCACCGACGACTGGCAGCTGATTCGTGGATTGTTTGGAAGTAGTCCTGACTTATCAGGTGATCGGAGTTCGAACCCCAGTGAGCGTTTTTCTCATTTTACATTTCAAATAACTAAAGTGAGGAAGGAACATTTCTCACAAGACGTAAAGCCTATCTTGGGTTTGCGTTGTGAAGAACAAGACATTAGATATGTAAGTAATAAAATGGGAAATTATGTCGTTTGGGGAGAAAAAAAAATATTCGTGGCCGGGCCATGGGTCGGGACGATTAATTTAATGACACGTGATCAACAGCTCACCAATCAGATGACGGGGATTTATCCAGTCGTATAATTGGTTATAACCCTTCCATACTGTTACTGTGTGGCATACTCGCATGACTAGTACAGTACAGTGCATGCACACAAATCCCTACAAGATGTACCATAATTGCAACTGAAATTTTCTGGCCAATCTGTGAAATATTCTCATTATTATCACTGAACTTTCTGCAATATGAAGTTCAGGCTCATTGCTTATTGTAGTAACGGCCATAGAACTGGCCTCTCTTCACATTCAAATCGTTTCCCATTTTGAAAAAAAAAACGGCCATAAGGCCAAAAAAAAAAAAGTCTCCGGTTTCTGGTATGCCCACGCGTCGCTGTAGCCATGCGCGTCGGCAAAATGAAAAAGGTTTTTTTTCAATGAAAGATGATGTCTCAAAACCGCCAAACTCACTGGTTTGACTGGAATCCTGCTGCTGCACAGTTTTAACATGTTTTTGGATGGAGTTATGATCGAGAATAAGCTTTATGTGGCCTCTCTGGACTCCCATATATTTGCACTAAGTTTAGTCGGGCACCATTTGCAGTCATCAGCCGACATTTGAGGCAAAACAAATCATGTAAAAAAAAAAAAAGCCGCGTCGCCGCACCACTTTTTGGGCAAGCTCCATACCAGAAACCGGAGACTTTTTTTTGGTGGCCTAATGGGCATGGCGCTCATATCAATAGTCGGACATCAGCCCATGGAGCTAGTAAGCGGGAAAATATAGCTAAACTAAAAATCAGCTGATCACCAGCTGTGAGCAGCATACAAATACATGAACATTTAGCTGGTTACCTGATGTCACTAAAGCAAGAGTTATTCTGCATTGTGCACCATCGTAAAAAAAAATAAGCGAAAGTTATTTTTAGCGTTGCCTGATTGCGGGCGGTGATATTTCATAGAATCTTTTCAGCATCGAGTCCCTCACGTTCTCGGTCAGGTCTGGTACATCGTCCGCGGTCAGGCCTTTGGTGGGAACACTTGGCAGTACATCCACTTTCATATCCACTGTTGAAAAACAGAGAGTAATTAGTCACCTTTTACTTCTTCCCCTCGCCCACTGATGACCCCCATGCCTCCACTACCTCGCTGGCACAGAATACAGATTCAGATGTCACTGTCTTTTGAATTTTATCATCTAAGCTCTGCCACATTAATGGTCAATATTTAATTTTGGGGTTGAGTTGACGGATCGCTTTTTGAAAGTTGTCTGTCAGACACATTAGTAAAAAAACACCCCCCCCCCAAAAAAAACATATGTTTAAGGCCAAAAAAAAAGTCTTCGGTTTCTGGTATGGAGCTTGCTCCAAAAGTGGTGCGGCGACGCAGCTTTTTTTTTTTTTTTACTTTTTTTTCTTCTTCAAATGTCGGCTGATGACTGCAAATGGGGCCCGACTAAATTTAGTGCAAAATGTATGGGAGCCGAGAGAGGCCACATAAAGCTTATACTTGATCGTAACCCCATCTAAAAACATGTTACAATTGTGCAGCAGCAGGATTCCAGTCAAACCAGTGAGTTTGGCGGTTTTGAGACATCATCTTACATTAAAAAAAAACATGTGGGCAGACCAGAAACCGGAGATTTTTTTTGTTTGGCCTAATACATTCATAATAAGAACTGAATTGACATTTCTGCTGTGTGTCTACATGTTTTGATGTTTATCTGCTCTTTTAACTTAAACTTGTTCAAAACACCTGAAATATCAAGTCATTTTGTCGGTCAAGCCAACAGAATTTTACCATCCCATTCTAAATGTAAAGTAGACTAACCACACACCAAAAAAGAAAATGATTGGATGAAAATGTTGAAATATATGTTAATTATAAATATCATTTTGTGAAAGGCTTTTTGCTTGTTATTTTCTCGCCCGGATGGAAAAACTGTAACACCATACCTCGGTCAAACTTCTTGTCTTTGGAGCTGTACATGCTTTTATATCTGGAAACCACAATGGGTACGATGGGAACCTAAGAAAGGAAAAGGGGGGGGGGAGAAATCTTGAAATATACAAATATTCAAATTCAGGATCATTTAGGATCGAAAGGAAATTTGAACCATGAAAAACATGTATTTGTATCCTCATCTTCAATATCTGTTTTCTTAAGCTAGATTTTTGAAGAAGCTAGCTTGTGTCCAAAAACTACTATGCACAATGCTCCAAAATCTTGTATGAAATGCTATAAACAGAAAAACAGACAAACAAACTCAATTTCACAATTAAGGCAATTAACAGAAGTAAATGAGATGGTACAAATTGGAAACAAAGAAAATCAGTTTTTTCTAGAAGAGTACAACTTCTAAAGCCCAGCATCCAAGGCTGCATCCAATTCTCTTGTCTGAACTAGGTCTTTGCCCATTACAACTACATGAGCACATGCTGACGATAAATGTTACAATCGGGCGCCATCTTTCTTGGCGACCATACCGGTACCGTGATCCACACACTGTGCATGCAATGCATGCGTGAACCAGCCGAATGCATGTCCAACCAAAGAAGGCACTGTTGCTAGGCAAATTGCGCCCTCTCTTGGTCACACACGGAGCTCATAGCTCGAGAAGCCCGTTTCAGACATAGCCTATAGTGATTGACTCTTTTTATGAGTGAAAATTAACTAAAAAGCAAGTTTTAGCTACAAAAACCGCCATTTTCTTGCTGAGAGCTGTTTGAGAAAGATGCAACAATTTACCTGGGCCTGAACAGCGATATGGAAAGCCCCTTTCTTGAAAGGAAGCATGTCTGTATCGGCTTCCTTGGACCGCGTGCCCTCCGGATAGATCCATAATTTACCCTGAAACCAAAATATTAAGGGAAAAAAATTATTTGGTGTTTTCAACACAATCAGTTTTCAGTAGCTATTTGTGTATTACCATTTCATTGACTGATTTTCTAAATTTTCAAACGTTCTTTTTGAGAGCAGGGTTTTCCTCTGATTCAGAACTATTCATTTATTTTCAAAGCAAGATATTAGATTGTGGATGGAAACAGCAGTAGGGAGAGGAGATGATATAACTGCACGCATATTTCATGTAATAAGCACAAATTCCAGCTGTTTCATGTCTGTGTGAAACCCTTGAACTTCACACTGTGTCAATCACACTGTGTCATCATCGAATCTTCGATAGCTGAGGTCAGGCAGCTCCATGCATCAAGCTTTGATCACCAGTGGCGTGATTTTATCACAACAATGGGGGATGTCAAGGTTTATCACTCCTATCACACATGGGCCCCATCCAGGTGTGTCTAAAGTTGGGATTGGTTTTTTTGTTTGAACAACCTGTACCAGCACTCAACACCTAGGCTATGCTGCTGTAACTCTACATTTCATGACGTTGTTGCCTGCTACCACTGTTTGTGATATCTGACCATAGCTAGCTAACGGGAGTAGGTTATATGCATCGATAACAAATATGCATGCATAAATAATAAATTTCATGAACAACCTCCTCCTTGACAAAAAAAATCTGTTTCGATTATTGTTTAGTGTTCTGCACTGTAGAGCATTTAAAAGTCTCTTTATTATTAGGCCGTGTTAAAAAAAAAACCAATTTCTCGTACGGACGTTTTGAAAAAGAGTAGAAAAAAAAGGAGGCAACCCTTTCTTTTTTCGCCCAAGATGGGGAATGGGTTCTTCCATTTTCTCGACTCTTTTGTGTCCAAAGAAGCCATCACCCTATTTACCAGATTTTGTACTTGCATTATTGCATACATAGCTACAATTCTGCTGGAAACAATTAAAATTACAAATTATAATGTACGATTAAAAAAAAAGAAAAAAGGAGGAGGCAAGCGGGGAATAAAGGAAGTGGGCGAGGACAGGAAAATGGTTAATTTTTTTTCATGGCCTTAGCCAACTTACCCTCTCATCCTTGAGAAATTTGACACAGCGCTCGCTCGTTTCCCTGGCCTGAGATGTATTTTTCCGGTCCACAAAGATGACGCCGGTGGCCAGGCAACCCAGCCCGTATGTCAGGGTGTACTTGAGGGATTTCTTGGCAAGGATAGAAACGCGACCGGGTGCCCAACACTTCAGAAAGGCTAAAAAAACAAAATTGAGGAAAAATGTTGTCAATTTCTCATGAAGCTGTTTGAATAAAAATTGGATTCATGTTTTTTGTGTTACTCCAGTCAAAATTTGCAAGAGTTTTTTTTTAATTTCAACAACCATTGAGGGCCATTATATATATTAATAATTCTGTTTATAATGAACGAATTTAATTCCCATACTATAGTTTAAAACTTTTTATGATAAAATAGCTCATCTGTAATATTTCTAGTTGGAGGGAGAAAGGGTAGGCTAGAGATCTGACGATTAAGTGAGTGTAAGGTTAGACGTGGTTAACTTAATTTTTTACCATTTCTTCAAGTCTTAATTATAAAAACAAAAATGTTAAATATTTGAGACCGATTCAATGCACAGTTCATCTTACGCAGCTGATCCAGCGATGTTTGGTGATTGATGACAAAAACACAGGGTTCGTTCACTCCAAGTCGGTCCAGTGTATTCAACATCTGGATTTTAACACCGAATAAGAGTTCGGTGCTGAGGTAATAGGCAAAGAAGTTCCACCACCTACATGGAGGAGAGGAGATTAAATAGAAATTGAATCATTTAATCATCGGCTTCAATATCCTTGCCACTTGCAACCAATCTTCATCTCGGATTATTAATGCAATCAAAATAATCCTTATCATCATCATCAATTGATAGATCTCTTAGGCTAAGTAAAAAAAAGTCTTGTCAGGTTTTTTTAAAAACTTGAGGAGAAACAGGGCTGAGAAAGCCCGTTTTTTTCCCCAAGACGGCAGATTTTCCAAGATGAATTCTTCCATTTTCTTAATTGACTCTTTTATTTTGTCAGTTTCTTAACCCTAAAGGGGCCGGGTTATTTTGACCATCTCTCAGCCGGGGGGGGGGGGGGGGGGGGGGGGGGGGGGGGCGGATTCCGCCCCCCCCTAAGATCTCGGCCATCGAGTGTCAAAAATTTTTGAAACTCAACACATGCATAGGGCAACTCTTCCTGAACATACCCAAGAAATTTCACGACTATAGGTCAAAGGGTTTTGGAATTATGGCTAATTAATTATTCATATGTACAAATGGCAATTCTGCTCTGTGTACACGACGTATATGCGAAAATTCAGTTTTCACGGCGCGTAGCGCCGGAAACTTTTTCGCTACGTGGCAACCCGTGGTCCTATTTCTATGTTTTTGGTATCCAAAGATGCGCAAAGCTCGAGGCTAAAAAGTCATAACAGCTCGGGTCGCGAAAAAATTTTTTTTAGAAGCTATCACGGAAAATGTTGAGGGGGGGGGCGGATTCCGCCCCCCCGGCCCTTTTAGGGTTAAAAGAATCTCAATATGAGGTCCTAAAAGGCTCAAGCCTGTAATTTATAGTCCCATCAAATATTAAGTGTATAAATTCAGTGAGTCTTTTTGAGAAAAAATGTTGCAACCTGACGCTGCACTTCCGCGATTGTGTAGAAAGTCTATGGAAGAGTCAAGAAAATATTCTAAGTATTCCCTAAAAGAATTGGAAGTGTTTCTCAGTCCCAGATTCATATCTTATCATCATTTTTGCAATGAATGACCTTCATGATGGAGACAATATAAGAAGAAAAAGATGGCGTCACGTACGTTGCAACATGTTTTCCCTTCTCTTGATCGTTATCATTTGGTAACCGCATCATTGTCATCACCTAGCTTCATCGAACGTCACCATCTTAATTTGTCACCACATCCATGACATCCACCACCTTGCATTATCACCATATCAAATCATCCTTATCATCCCCAATACACCATCCCACCACATAATTTATTATCACCATGGCATCACATCATCACACAATCTCCAACACCCCCCCCTTCCCCCATCTTCTCCTCACCCTGGAGGAATAAAACAATAAGAATATTTAATTTCTCTCCATGCATGCCTCACCCAACACAGGAGAATGACAAGGCTCCAAAAATCATGAACATTCTTCATCAAAATGATATATACCCACCACATGTTGGCTGTATCGCCAAAGCTGAAAGTCATCAAGCTGGCAATGGTGACCAGTAATCCAAGAACGAGGTGCCATATCATGAACATGGTGTACTTGATGTAGAACTGAGCCACCGGACTCAGTCTGCACAGGGCGTACGACCCGGCCGAGCAAAACACGAAACACGTCAAGAGATTCATTTTAATTTCAGAGGAATATGGGTTTTGTTCACACTGTAGGCCTATTTATTAAGACGAGCTGCTTAGGCTGCATTGTTAGCAGGCACTGCCGTTATGTTGCAACTACTGGGCTTTTGATTAACGGAAAACAGTTAAATGCTACAGCACTGCCACTGACATCACGCCACATCACGCCAGACCGCGGTTTGCGGTTCGTTGCACTTGTCAGTGTTATGTCAACATAAAACCACAAGACAACATAATTTATGCACCACATATAAACAGGTGGACTGTGTGTGCGTACGTGAACCAGTGCAGTGCGCGCATGCAAGCAGCAGGTCGGTCGCGCGGTGATCAGGTCTTTGAAATCATATTCTTCCATAAAAATCGACTGTATGCATATTTCGATGACCGTCGATTTCTTGCAAATTTAATATCATGGAGCTATAAAAAGGATCCACTCAAAATATAACGAAAAAAGACAGATTTTTTTTCTGATTAAATGACCAGCTGGTAACTTGGGTTAAATATAACTTCTGGGGGGAGGCAACCATTTTTCAAGGGGGAGCACTGAAGGCAACTGATATTTATTGTGCATTTCAAGATTTTAAAAGGCGAGGGAAGCTGGGGGGGGGGGGGGGCAGCAGGGGGGCACGGACCTTTTCTCTCTCTCTCCCCCCCCCCCCCTCCTCCTGATGTAGTTGTACGTACCACTGTCAATATAATAACAGAGAATAATTTGGTTGACCCTTCTTTTTAGAAACCAACTAAAAACCCACAGAATTGTTTTCTTTCCTTTTGTTTTTCTTCTTTTGTAACATTTATTTTCTCAGTTTTCAAAATACAAACCAACACATTTACATATTTGTACATGTACATGTAATATTACTTCAGTTTAAAATGAAACAATCAATTTAAACAAAAATAACTTCCATTAAATATTGATTTATAAAAATCCAAACTACGTCCTGTACAAATATGAAAGACAAATTCAAACAAAAAAACAAACATTAAGCATTATTTTGCTTTGATTATTTCCTTACTTTTGTTTCTGGGGAGTACAGAATGGGAAAGTGTATAATTTGTTTTCTGCGATAAAACAACTTTGAAAAAGTTAAGGGGGCTAGCAAGAGGTATTGTTCAGAGAGGGGAAATTGGCTAGACAGCCGTGAAACAGGGTCTGAGAAACTACACACAAACGGGCAGTGTGTGAATGGCCTTAAAGATGCGACCAATTCTGAAAGGCACATATGAACATTGGCAAATTATCCAGAAACCTTATGTACCCTCCTTATGGTTTTGAGCAATTGATTCAAACAAAAAAGCACAAAAAGCAAGTGTTCTCTTCACCTCTAAGGCCCCCCAAAAAAGTCTCCGGTTTCTGGTATGGAGCTTGCCCAAAAAGTGGTGCGGTGACGCGGCTTTTTTTTTTTTTTTTTACCTGATTTTTTTGCCGATGACTGCAAATGGTCCTCGACTAAACTTAGTGCAAATATTATGGGAGTCCAGAGATACCACATAAAGCTTATTCTCGATCACAACCCCCTCTCAAAACACGTTAAAATTGTGCAGCAGCAGGATGCCAGTCAAACCATTAAGTTTGGGGGTTTTGAGACATCATCTTTCATTGAAAAAAAAACTTGTTCATTTTGCCGATGCGCATGATGGCTACAGCGACGCGCACGCATACCAGAAATCGGAGACTTTTTTTTTTTGGCGTAAGAGGAAAGTGAGCATTTTGAGCATGATGAAAAAAGGGATGAATTATTCTTCATAAAAGGTAGTTTTATACACTGTTACTACATATGGGTATACATAGTATTATAGTTCATTCATAAATACCTGGGACAGCTTACCCATTCCTATTGGTCGAGAGCCCTTCAAGTGGGTGGTTTTAAACCACTGATTATACACTGGCTGGTATTCTAAGCCACATAGCGCAGTACACACCGCGTAGATGCCAATCTCCATAAAAGGAGATTTTTTTAGTACTACATGCACGAGGCACATACCATAGACATGGCCAGATGGGTATTTAACAAAACAGGAGTTAAAGCTGTTGAACAAACTAAATCTTTGGAAGATTGTGAACTTTTGACTTGATGTGACTTTTGAAAGATAGGTATTTAGGAATGGGAATAAATATATTGTAATTTATAAAAAAAAATTGGCAGGTATTAAAAAATAATGTTTAAAACCGAACACGGGCCTAGACGTGGATAATGACACTTGCCTTCGGCTCAGGCCATTATCAGCGACCAAGCCCCTAGCGAGTTTTAAACATGCTCGTTTAAAAAAGGCCAAGCACATAGTTATTAAGGGAATAAATGTGTGCTTTGAAGGTTTTAATCACTCTGTTTAAGACCGCTTGGAGTCTGGGTGCTGATAATTACCCAAGCCGAAAGCACATATTTATTCCCATTCATACATACCTTTTCAGTTAAAAAAATCAAAACTTTTCAAAACCCGAATTTGTTCAACAAGTTCAACTCATGTTTTTTGAAACACCCTCTAAATAATAGTGTCCAGCTCACGAATAAGATGTAAACAACTCCTTTTATGGAGACTGGCGCACGCAGAATGCACCTGGGGCGTTGCATTGTGAATTTAGGACTACGAAATACTGACTCACTGGTAGTATTGCGCATGCCTACGTGAGGATTGTGAACTTTCAACCAATAAAACAGTAAGAGGCACTGGATTTGTAGGAGTCCACATCTTATTGTGACACAGGAAAAGTGTTTAAGACCAGCTAGCCATGTCTTTATCATACGTTTAAGACCGGCCACGTGACAGGCTCTCGACCAATGGGAATGGGTAAACTGTCTTAGGTATTTATGAATCCCCTGATGAATACAGTCGAATCTCGTTAGTACAAACTCTATCAATACAAAATTCTGGTTATAACAAACATAAAGCCTTAGTCCCGACTGTGCATTTATGTGCACAATGAATGGGACTGATGTTCCTCTTAATACAAAATTCTGATATAACAAACAATTTGGCTAGGTCCGAACAAGTTTGTTATAACGAGACTCGACTGTACATAAAAACCATTACGCGCTAAGGCAGCAATTGGCGGTTCAGGGAGTAACATGCGGAATTCTAGGCAGTACAGAACTAACAGGTCGATATGTCAGTCGACATTCTGCTACTTCAGCAAGCAACATTAGACTTGTTACTATGTCCCTCCTCACAACAGTTCGCAGGATTTTAGTGCTAAGACAGTTTTTGGGAGGTACAGGGAGTTAACATGTTGTCAAGTCTGGACGGTGTGATTGGTCGTTTTTTCCTTTTCCTTCTATGGGGTCAGCCTCCCCGCTACGTCTTGCCGTTTGTCTTGATGGCTTGCTGCGACTCAGCTATGAGTGCACACGCTTGCTTGTGTTTGGACCAGTGCTGTACCTGACACTCTCTGGTAGCGGAAAAAAAAACAAGAAGAAAATTTTTCAAGTAATGGAATATTCTACTGGTAAAATCTTTTACAGCATCACAAAATAATGTGAACGACACTGAAATGTATTCACAAAATAATACATATAATTGGTAACAAGTTGAGCACAATTTTCAGAATTTTCACCAGAACACATCCATCATCTAGTAATGGTCAAGGAGATTACCGACTAGGAGTTTTGGATCATATGTCTAAATCATTAATTAGATACCATGGTTAATTGGTTCTGTCAGGGACATTACACTGCCTTCCATAATGCTGAAATCGTCCCTCTCAAAACCCTAAGCTCCCAACGAATATCGGGTCATGTCTTTGCAACCCCCTTTATATCATTCTTCATTTGTATTATATTCTTGAAGCACTTGGTTGCCGAAGACTTAGCATATTTTTTGCTTTGCTTACTACTTAAACTCTCTTGGAAAAGTTTTTTAGTTATTTAAAAAATAATGGAGTGGATGCATGAATTTAAGTTTGTAAACTTCAACGGCCACTGGCTAGCTGGCTGATAGAGGCATGGCGACTGAAATCAGTACTGAATCTGATCATGTGAAAGTGATGCGAAATCTTGTGATGATCATGTGATGATCATGTGATGATCATGTGATGATCATGTGCTGATCATGTGCTGATCATGTGCTGATCATGTGCTGATCATGTGCTGATCATGTGCTGATCATGTGCTAGCCATGCATCATCTTACCTTCTGCAGTACCATTCATTCTGGCAGCGTGAGCAGCGTTTGGTGGCAGGCTGTCCACACACTGCACACTTGGGAGGCTCTGTGATGAGAGTCTCCAGTGCGTCCAGACGGTAAGTCTCAGCAAACCTGAACAATTTATCAAAAAAAAGGACAAGAATAATAGTGTTCTGCATTTTCGATTAACTGGTATATTTTTTTCTTAATTGGCCTAATCATCCAAGGAGCAGGGTGATAAGGCCCATTGAGCAGGGTAATAATGATGTAGCGCCTTGAGCACCAATACTGGTGGATACATTCGCTATTATTATAATTATTATTAGATTGTTCAAACATGGAACATTCTGGGAAAACTTCATCTCCCATTAAGACATTCTCTATTCTCATATTTTTAAAAACAAACTCATAACCTTATTCATAAGATGGAATGTTTGCGTCGGGATGATGTAAATCAATATTAGATTTTGCCCCTCACCGACATATAAACACTGTATACTCAGTGTGTTACCTCCTGAGTGACAGTTGGAAAAAAATCACTCGGGTGCGACTCGAACCCACGACCTCCTGCATTTTAGTGGAATTTTTGTGTCGGGGTGATGTAAATCAATATCAGATTTTGCCCCTCACCGACGTATAAACACTGTATACTCAGTGTGCCACCTCCCAAGTGACAGTTGGAAAAAAATCACTCGGGTGCGACTCGAACTCACGACCTCCTGCTTTCTAGTGCAGATGTCTTACCACTCGACCACAGAGCTAACGGGATCGGTTGGCTGGTTCGAATCTGATGTACATAGCAGCGGGTACCGCATTAGCTATTCATAAAATGGATTTTGTTTTGCGTTGGGGTGATGTAAATCAATATTAGGTTTTGCCCTTCACTGATGTAAAAAATTCTAACCTTCTGGCCTGTTCCCGCATGGCTGCTGCGGAAGGATTGAAGACAGTCTTGACTTGGTGCTTGGCGATGGCGGACCATTTGCCCTCGTTGGCTCTCAGGATGCCATCTCGTATCTCAGGGACCTGTTCCAGAACCAGCCCTGTCTTGGAAGAAGGCGGGTCCATCATGGAGAGGTGGCTCAGGTAGCGCTGGAGGTCGCACAGGCTTGGGATCTGGTCCAAGATGACCTCAGAGAGATGCGCTCTCAACTGCACATTTTTGTAAAAGAAAGTAATAATTGCAATTAATGCAGGGAGTCCATAAAGCAGTGTGTTATCATGTAGTGGTTTATCATTTGTACTCATTCAAAATTATTGTTTATCCCAACTCTTGAGGAAATTTTCCAAGAAACCTTTCTAAATCCACTGAATTTTGTTACTTGCACAATCTACTTATTTTGTTCTTTAACTTTCCAGTATCAGTAATTGTGGGCGGACTGTACTTTCTCAAATCCTGCAAAACCTTTCTAACCCTCCCGTTGGATATTGAAAGATCTTCGTGAAAGAAGAGAGATGAGGTTAAGGCACAGATTAGATGTATCTTACAAAACAAAAAAACAAGAATGGAGGAAACTCTTGTTACCTATTGTGTGGCAGATTCTTATTTGTTAAATCTATGGCAAAATGAAATTCAAGAATGTTTTGGAGATACCAAATTTTCTTTACTCAGAAATCAAAACGAATTTAAAATTCTTTCCACATAGAACCCTCTGGTGGAACTGAACCTGGGTCAGTAGATGCTGAGGTGAGGGGTAAGAAAAGAACCAGCGTGCCTACCCTCTTGTTTCAACTGAGTGATCCCTGTTTGCCATTTCCCAGGTTTGCAGCATTGCTAATAATGATATTGCTGGCATCGTGACTTTGAGCGTGATCACTGGCTACATGGCATATGCAGGCTTATGGTTTCTGGCTAGCACCCCTTGAACAAAGACATTGACAAAAACATGGGAACAACCAACATACGGCTGGAAAGCTCAGTTGGTAGAGCACCGGAATAGCAATCCATAGGTCACAGGTTCACATCCCGCTTCAGTAAAAAAAAAACCTGCTAAGATTCTGCAAAGGTAAGAGACTGCACCTTGAGTATCTGTGCTTTGTTGTGGCTGTTGAACTCGTACTTCTCCTGGCAAGACGGTCCTAGCAGGAGGTTGAAGAGAGCGATCCAGACCTGACCCTCAAGCTTGGTTAGTCTCATCCTATCGCTGGGCGGTACCGTGTGCCACTTGCCGTCGATGAACTTCTTCAGCACCCCTGTTGTCATTCAGTAGATAAGAACTGATTTTATAGACAGAGTTTCGTGATGTCCCATTTTGAATTGCATTTGGCTCATGCCTGAGCATTAAAGTATAGTCCATAATTTGTAATTCATGCATTTGTTTGTTTGAAGCAATAAAAGTGCTCAAAATCTAAAGAAGGGTACTGAACAACTAACCTGATGAAGTTTCAGCTCAGCTTCAGCTGTATATTTCGAGAAAAACAGCATTCTAGGATCTCAATTTCAAATCAAAAGTTGCTGAATCATGTTTTGAATTGGGCCTGAATTCAGCGTCCGAGACACGTTCTCACTGAGCCAATTGCAGCTACGCGATGTCGCGCACTGATCCGATGAATTATAGCAACCGCGCGTGCGTGTGCATCATGCCAATGCTTGCACGCACTTCGCCGAATAACAAAACGAACTACTAATTTAAATTTCCTACTGTGCGTCTTAAGAAGCACCGTTGGAAAGGCCTTCTTTCGTTGATTACTTTAAAATGACAGCTTGTCAGAAAGATTAATTTCATAATTTCATGAATTTAGTCCCTTACTATCTTTCACCCAAGTATGTTTTTCAACAACAATTACGCCAGTTACTTTTCGGATAGCTGCAAATGATGGACTATATCTTTAAATCTATATTACTGCACTGCCATAGAACGCAGTGATTAAGATGTCATGAAAAGATCATAGGTGCATATGTCATGTTTACTTAAAGGCATATAAGATCGTTTGCTTTTCATGCATTGTGTTCGTTAATAATAACGCCACTCAAAATCCAAAGAAGATTGTTCAAAACCTAACCTGTTCCACTTTCAGTTCAGTGGATATTACACCTTTTGGAAAAAAGTCTTTACCTACTACAATGGCGACGATGACTTTTGGTACCAAGATTTAGGACCGGGTCAGGTTGGTCCATAGGAGCCCTCTATATTTTGTCAACATGGGTTAATAAAAATATCTCCAACCGGGTTCCCGACTTAGTACTTCACCTCGCAAACACTTTACTTACCATTTCTGTATTTTGTCCACGGAGGATTTTCCATGAGTTGTACCAGCAAACAGGGGAAGTCACTGGTGTTGAGGATTCTGCTTGTGACACTCAGTGACATGCTGAAAATGAAAAACACAATCAGCAACTTATCCATTAGATAATGATTAGAGTGAAAGGTTAGGAAAATGAGATTTGAAATACAGTAAACTCCAGCTAAATCGGCACTCTCGGGACCCGAGAATTGGTGACGACTTACGCGAATGCCGATATACCGTAATTTCCTGCGGATAAGACGCGTCTTATCTGACTTTCTAGACCACAAAAACATTACTGCGCCTTATCTACAGGTGCGCCTTATCTGGTGTCGCTTGAGTTCAAAGTGACGGTCTTTGTGTGAAGAATTCTTTCAATGCCGCAATCAATAATGCGGTCAACCAAGGCTCAACTCTCCAGACATTGTGACCGTATTTTCATTCCAACAATGCCGCGATGTGTTGATCCCCCATGATCGTGCTTTCATTCCAACAATACGCTACTGTAGTCATGCACGGAACATCATGGTCCGGTACCGTACGTAGGCCGTAGTCACTGGTTCCTGGCCCACATCATAGCTTCGATTCTGTAAGCATGCGATGGGAACCAACGAATACTGATGGCACTGCTGCCGCACGGAACATCGTACAGCGGCATGGCTTCGACGACGTGCATCACAAATGCGTCAGAATTACAGGCCTTTTCGTCAAGATTTAGCGTGTCAAGATGAAATAATATCGTGTAAACGATTATGTTGTGCATGCAAATGGCGTGTGTAATATTACTGTGTGTATCGGCGGCTGAAAATGTGATCGGCAATTTGTTTTCTGTGTACGGTGAGTAATTATACTGACACTGTGACAGCTCGGTTACTTCTCCTACGCGGTCTGGGTAAATTTTCCCGTGTCGAAAGTCCAAGTGCGGACAGTGGTCACATTTGACCATTTCTCATTTTACTATCGTCTCGGTAAAACCTTCCAAAAAAAAAAGTCCAGTGCGGACACGGCTTTATTCATCCTCCGAATAGTGTGATCGTTCTAAGGCAACACAATGGCCCCTTTGTGGCGATGTACCGACACCGGGTGACGCCTGGTGTTCTTCTGTGTGCTGTCAAACATGCGTCTTATGCGGCGGTGCGCCTTATCTGTTGGCGTTTGAATTTTTTGGGGTGATTTTAGGGACCTGCGCCTTATCCGCCGCGCGCCTTATCCGCAGGAAATTACGGTATGCTATAAATCGTCATTTTGCCGACTTACATGAATGGTCCTTAGCGCACATGATTCATTGCACTCATTGGCTTTGATTTACCCTGGATTATATCCTTAATGCTTGACTTGAATCCAGCAAAATAATCCTTGAATTGTATCATCACATTTGGGGTATTGATAGTGGAGACCACGATACATATATACGTGCACAGTAACAAATTAAATGCGTGCGTGGTCCGGTATATACCACGCACACATTGACTGCAGCACTAGTCATTCAATAAAACGACCCCCAAAATGGACAGAGTGCATGCGTACAGACTAGAAGGGGGTACTGGTATTGATATGCTCACGATGCATTATGCAATGTTTGCAGCAAAGATCCTATAGCGCCGCGTAGTGGTATGCAGTAGGACACCCTTTTCCGACATCGATGCATGCAGCGATCACTGGCCGTGCGAAACCACTTTTCACTTGACACTTTGCCAACCGCAGCACAGGAAGTCGATGTCAATGCGTGATTTGTTGAATGCCGACTTACACAAAACATTTTGTAATGCTTTTTATGGAAAGAGGACCGAGAATAACACGACGACTTGAGCGAAATGGCGACTTATAAAAGCCGACTTAGAAATAAAAAATTCAATGGAAATGCATTACGGACAATCGCGACTTGAGCGATTTGACGACTTGTACGATGTCGGTTTAGCCGGAGTATACTGTAAATTAATTTTCAGAAATATTTGGGATTTTTTTCAATAGATGGATGCAGAGGCCTTGAAAAACTTATAAGCTCCAGCTAGGACTCCACTGTTACACTCTTCACTTACTTCACTGCTTCCAGCTCCATTACATAACACTCCTTCATCTCTGGAATCCCTGTCTCCTGATAAGGCAGAGCACACTGTCCGAAATGTTAAGGTTCCCCCGGTTCTTTTCAGAACCTCACAAACTCATAGAGAGATTTGTCACATGGTGCTACCGTAAATCTTTATCTTTTAACTTATAAGCTGTCATGTTCAGGTTTGATGTTCGAGAAATTAGTTAAAGAACAATGATACTTTGAAGTTAAAACAGGCCTTTTTTCAGAAGCGAATACAATTTCAAAAGAACATTCCTTCAAGGATGCCATTCATATTTTTACCCTACTCACTCTGAAATGTGATCAGTGATGAATCTGAGAATGGACACGGCCTTGATGCTGACATCAAACTGTAACTTTCTCTCCTGTTTCTTCAACTCCTGTTGATAAAAAAAAAAATATTGATAATAATTTTACATGAATCTTAATGAATGTGCACCAATTTCAGCATTTGCCAATACCCTGCAAAAGTGCGACATCACCTCCTCCCTTACTTCTTGGACAACAGTTCATGCACATTTCACAGCGACGCCTTCTATACATGTACATTTAACACACAAATTCACAAACATTACTTGTAAATTCATGTGGAGCGCTGTGGTCAAGTGGTTACGGTTCTCGACTAACTTGTCGTGGTACGTGAGTTCGAGCCTGACGGGGAACACGGTGCTTGTGTTCTTAGGCAAGACACTTTACTATAATTGCCTCTCTCCATCTTGCTTTATCAGTGGGTACCTGCGAAGGTAGAGACCAGAATGCGCTGATCTCGAGCTGCCGCCAAAACTGGTCTAATATCGGGAGAGTTAATGAATCAGCGCGCACCCATGTCAGAGTGCCCTCTATGGTATCAGCAAACTCCTTAATTCTTCATGGCTAATACTACACCCACCTCCATTCCTCTTTCCTCTTCAAGGCTTGATGCCTTGGTGGGCGTGGCCTCCTCATCCTCATCTTCATCTTCTCCAGATTCCTGTCTACAAAGGCAAAATAAAAAGGAGAAATAAAAGGGAGAAATGTGACACTAGTGAGGAAACGTGTCAACTCATCTCTATCGGCTTATTATTGAAGAGGGACTTTATCATTCTTGAAAGATCTGATGTTCACTTGCAACAGCCATGATACATTCAAGATTGCTCAAATTAGTGAGGTATGGAATTCACCCTCTGCAGTAACAAAAGACATTTTTTTTGCATTTTGAAGGATTTGTCTTTGTTTTTGTCACCATAACGTCGCGTCAGTGCAACAAGGTCTTAAATCTATTCTGCAACAAAGTCGTATCTTGCGCGAATACGCTCTGTGCAACAAGGTGGTATCTCGACGTCCATTGACTTCACATGTACATCCGGGTTATTTTAAGCGAGATAAAACCTTTTGACATTCTGAAACTTGCGTTTTGCATTCATGCTATTTTAGGAGATACAACATTGTTGCATTGACGCGACGGTATGTTCTCACTTAGGTACATTCTCTTCCAAGTTGCTACATGATTGTACGTTTTCAGCTGACAATAAGTTGCACGCACTCAACACCACACATATGCATAACCAATGTACATAAATATTTGATCTTAATTTCTCTTAAGTGTAGGCAAGACAAAAAGAGTAATGCAGAAGTAAACACTAAAAAAGTAAAATAAGGAAACAAGAAATCAAAAAGAACTTGATCAGAAGAAGAGTGACAAGAATATCACTGCAGAAAAGACACAATTAAGACCACAAGACAATTCACATAAGTAAATGAGCAAACAAGACAGAATGTAGAAACAAAGGGATGGGCACACAGACAAGAATGCTGTTATTGTTTTGCCCTAACTATAGCATACTGCAATGGCCCCAACTACAGTTGGAGCAGTTGCTATCTCAACCATTTAGGAACTACCATAAGTATATCCGCTCCGTTCACAAGTACCCCCTCACCGTGAAAGAGAATACAGTTGGGGTGACCGACTGACGCCATCTTGCCTGACTGCAATTCATTTGCCGCGAAGCGCAGCCACTGCGTGTACATAGTACAAATCCCCTGGTGTACGTGCGTCACACACAAGGAACGGTGCGCGTCAACCAGTGAAATGTCCTGCCCATGGGACATCGCTGCTAGGTAAAAGGGCGCCCTCTTTTGTCAAAGCACAGAGCCCATATTTGGGGTAGTTCGAACTATATTTGGGACAATTCAAACGGTGTTGACTGTCCCAACTATAGTTGGGACGCTACTATAGTTGGGGCATAACATTGTCAAGAGGGTTGTATAAGGACAAGTGATGTGGATGTAATGACACAGAAGATGGATCCAAGGTAAGCATCAGGTTGGCGTAGCGGTACTTGCCTCGCCTTCCACCGCTGTGACCTGGGTTCGATACCTGCCTGGGAAAATATGTGGATTGGGTTTTCAGGCCCTACCTGATTCCGTGGGTTTACCTCAGAAAAGTCTTTTCTGGGGTCTTTTCCTCCCACCTTTAAAAACTGTAATTTCATCAAATGTTTTGCTCTTTACTTGGCTCCGCGGGAGACCAGTGGATTCCACTGAATTGGCTACCCAGTCAAAATAAGAAATAAATAATTAAAAAAATTAATAAATAAAAATACAGATTAAGTTACCTTGCAATAAGGTAGGTGATCTTCCTGTAGCAGTAATCAACGATGTCCAAGATACAGTCTCCAGCTGCCTCACACGGCTCCTGATAATTATTACAAACCACAATACAAACAACCATTAGCAACTGAATCAAGGACGACACAATTCTGTTGCCATTTCCTAAACCTTGGCCTCATCAGTGATCTTTACCTTCCACCACACTCCTTTGTTTCTTCCACTTCCCCATCTCCTTGGCTTCATCAGTGATCCTCACCCACCACCACACTCCTGCTGTCCTTCCCCCTACCCTATCCCAATCCTTAGCAGGTGCGATCAAGCTGCCACGCCGGTTAGAGGGCACTATCCAAAAGATGAATGAAATCTAGTCTTCAGAAGTATGACACTGGACTTGAGAAGTTCCGAGCGCACCTCACGCACTCTTCTTTCAGGCAACTGTGCGTGTTTTGGGTATGCTAGGAATTTCTTGGGTCCCAGTGCCAAAGTTCCCAAGACGGTGCCCTCTACCATTGCAGGGGCTTGTCAGGGACCGACTGCAAAAGCTTTATCTCTGTTATGTAGTTTTGTCCAAACCTAATGGATATTCAATTTCGTTTATTCTTGTGATAAATTGGGTAGATTTGTTATATATTTTTCATTGATGGATCTACAGGGGTTTTTAGGGATCTACCAGCCCCCCCCCCCCCACCTTTGGTTGCCAAAAATAGGAAAATCATACAGGACAAAGAAGCACATGGCTTCTACCCCCCCCCCCCCACCCCCTGGCAGCTAACCCATCCCCCCCCCCCTTCAGCTTAAGCTGGATCCGTCCTAACTAGGAATACCCAGCTCTAGGCTCATGGCATGGGCGATTCACCAGTAGAGCTGGAACGATTTATATGACGTAGGTGACAGGCTTTCACTTTGAAGGCCGATATTTCCTGTTTTAGTGAACGTATCAAGTAAACACTCACCAAACTACAGCGCAATCATTAATACACTGTGTACAGCTAAGGATCCACTCAAAATGAGAATACAATTAACTTGAACCAGATAATCTACTGACAAATCTCCCATGTCGAGCTGGGTAATCCAAACTAGATCCGCCCCTGGTATTTCAGATACCTTGTGATAGAGTATCGTCTCCAGCAGGTTCACCAGCGTGGCTTCATGGTAGAGACTCATGTAGAGCGGGACGGTGGTGCGGGGCTCAAAGTCCATTCTCTTGATGATGGAGAAGACCTTCTGTTGCCACACCTCAGTGCACATCAGATCACTGATCAGAACAGGGATCTAGAACAAGGGAGGAAAAAGTAGAGAAGATGTATGCCAGGTATCCGGACACCTGTTTTTGGTGGTTGCATACAAAGTCTACGGGGAGGAGGTGTGACAATTTTCTGGAAGTGTTTGTAAGTCCCAAATTCAGGGTATTTTGTAAACACATTTGCAAATTGGCAATCCATCACTGAGGCTTTACATCGCAAGCAAAAAGGCGCCAGGATACTTCGTTCTACCCAACAATGTAATGGGAAAGATAAGAAAGGCACTTCTGGAGATTATTCTTGTGAAACCTCACGGACCATTAGGCCTGCAACTATTTGTTATTACCTTGTCATGTTGAATCAGCAACTCTTTGATGTATTCATCTTCATTGGCCGCGGCGTGAAGCACTGCCTGCATATTGAGCTTCTCAACATACTCATGTTGTTTTGTCCATCTGTGTCAAAAATGTTGGTTCAAAGCATGTTAAGTCCAGCTCCCACATTTTTTTTTTGTCTTTTCTTGATACCATGACCACAAAAAAATGTATCGTAAACATTTTTCAACAGTTTGCATCTACGCTCTAGCCATTTTTTTTCTTTTATTGGTATTTCCATAGTTTTCCATATATATTTCCATGGTGTAGGAGCGGAACGATAGTATAAGCATGCGTACAAGTGCAAGTACGTACCCCCCGCGGCGCGCTCCGAGCGATCGAACCCGAAAATGACTGCGATCATTCTGCGCGCGTGCTCGTTTCAAGTGTTAGGTTGGCTCAGTGCGGAAAGGGCATATTTTTCATCATTTTTGCCGAAAACAGACAGAATCCACCGATGTTTGTTGGGTGCACATAACGTGAGTATGTCATGAGGTATTGTACGGAGTTTAGGGGCAAACTGTGCAGCGGTTCTGTGGGAAAAAGCTTGGTTGGGATGGACGTTTTTGTACTTAATTAGTTTTTTGTGCTGACAACAATTTTGCGGGGTTCTGAACCTATGAGGCTCCACTACGTGGAGCCTCATAGTTCTAGGAGTACAGTGCGCAGGCGTAAGGTACGTCACAAATCAACCACTAGTCGACTAATGGTCCTTGCCCGAACTTGGCCTTAATTGCTAATGTCAGAATGTACACAACCAAATAGATCATTAAGTATAAACAAGCATTCAATCCCCCCACTGTCCCTCCCCCCCCCCCAAACCATTAACAAACCGTTCAACGTAGCTCCATAAATGTGGCATATTTACTGGACTGCCTCCGTAAACATAGGCCACACATCCACATGTACAAAAAACGTGTCGACTTTGCCAAATTTTGATTTTCACATTTAGGCTTACTTTTTACATTTTTTTTGCTTTAGAAGCATTCTCACCCTCTATATAGGCTAATCAGAAAGTGCTGCCTTTTTCAGATGTCCATTTTTCGTGAAATTTCCAGATACATTTGCACACGTTTGCGTATCAAAATTTCAACATGAAATTTCACAAAAATTAAACATCTGAAAAAGGCAGCACTTTCTGATTAGCCTATATACAGTGTAGAGGGTGAGAATGCTTCTAAAGCAAAAAAAATCTACAAAGTAAGCCTAAATGTGAAAATCAAAATTTGGCAAAGTCGACACGTTTTTTGTACATGTGGATGTGTGGCCTATGTTTACGGAGGCAGTCCAGTAAATAGGCCACATTTAATTATGGGGCTACGTTCAACGATTTATAAACAGTGAAACACGACCAAAAATCAGGAAAAATACAGTTTTCATACCGTGGACTGCCTATATCTTTAATTGGAATGACTTCTAGTGATTCTACATATGCCTCAGCCTCAGATGACAACAAAATGGAGGCTCCATCGGAAGCCATTTCTGGAACACATGAATCAAAACTTTCCGCAGAAGAGAAAAGTGCAGCTGGCCTACCGACGCGTACCCCGTGATCATGGAGACGAGATGTTCATAATCCATCGAGTACAGGTAGATTGTTCGTTCCCCTCTGGTCTTGCTCCCAGAACCATGGTAAGCACACAGCATTTATTTAGTTGTGTCAGTATAAGTAGCAGACTAAGTAATACTAGCCGCCCGCGAGAATTGAGTATTTTGTGGCTATGGCTTCAGATTTTCCTACTGTATGTCCGTCCACAGTGCATCCGTAGCCGTAGACAACAATGTTCGTAATACATCGGTTTTAGTATAAAAACAAAATGGCAGCCCCCGCGGAAGTTGAAGGCGCGAAATCCAAGCGCTCTAAAAACGATGATTTTCTCGACCAGGACTCCGAACAATCAGCTAAAAAACAAAAGATAGATACAACCGGAAGTGGGGATGGTGTGTCTAAAACGCTGGGGAGTTTCGAGGGTTTCGAAATATCAAAAATCCTCTCCCAAAATGCCAAAAATAAATCAGCGATTCTCTGTGGGAAGTTTCAAGGAAGCACCGACAGTGCGGTTGTGTTATTGGAGAAAACACCGTTTCCCGAGCCGGCCCTTCCTTCGCTTTTATCTGCCGATTTAACATTGAACCTGAACCTGCAGAACGATATTTACAGTGTGTATGATGGACTTCCAAAGCAGGAACTGGGTTTCAATGGTAAGATTTTGGCACAATTACTCCAAGATTTTCCCCAGAAACTTTTGTCATGTGTTAGTTACTAGTCCGAGTAACTTGGACCCAACTTATTGCCTTTTTTAACATTTGGACATGGTCTGGCGATATCGCCAGACCATGTCCAAATGTTAAAAAAGGCGATAAGTTGGGTCCAAGTTACTCGGACTAGTTAGTTACTAGTTAGACCATAAGAGCAAATGATTTTGTAACAACATCACGAGATGACATTTCCAGCTTTCTAGGCTCATGACATAGGGAGATTTTTCTGGCGAATCTCCCCATGTCATGAGCCTAGTCCGAGTAACTTGGACCCAACTTATCGCCTTTTTAACATTCGGACATGGTCTGCCGAATGTTAAAAAGGCGAAAAGTTGGGTCCAAGTTACTCGGACTATCATGAGCCTAGAAAGCTGGAAATTTCAAGCTATAACCTAGATTGTGTTATGACTCTATTGCAATTAACCCTAACCTTCCCAAATCCTCCCAAATCCTCCCAAATCCTCTTTGCAAATTGGAGGATTTTTGCAGGATTGAGGCTATATTACTATATAGTATATAGGGCAAAAAATGTGTGGCTGATTTTGGAGGATGCACTATAGTATAAGCTATGTCAAGGTATTCATGGTATTAGGCAGGACCTTTTGTTGTTTATGCTCAGCTGTGCATAAATTGAGGCCAAGATTATACTTGAAATCCTCTGCACTGCTCCAGGATGCCACTACCACTGGCTCTGCCTCAACATATTAACAGTGATTGCTGGATGGTTTTGCAGGATTGAGGCAGTGGTCTACCCTCCAAGGACCACATTTACGAAATAACAGATAATATTGGAGGACTGAGGCTGTACTATTTTTACATGGAGGCAGTTGGAGGATTTTGCAGTAATTAATGTCTATTGAACCAATAATTATCTTTGTGTAGGATTATTAACCATCTATTTATTAAATAATTTAATACCGAAACTTAATTGTGAAATTTGTCAGCTGTTAGTTGTTTCAAGTTAACAGATTCAGAAGAACAAAATGAAAACCCTGATTACAGGTCACAAATTGCAAACACAGGTATTCTCTCTTAATGTGTGAATTGTTAATCAATTGTAATTTTGGGGCTCAGTATTACAATCGGACTGTAAACTTTTTGCTAACTGTTCGTTGAATAGGAATAAAAACAACAGTCATATACCCAGCAACCGATCGTCACATAGAGAAGTACACTGATCAGGATATCACCTTATTGGAAGAAACTTGGGAGGACTACTGCAACGTCACACTGCCATATCTTGAGCAGCAGGTCTTCAAAATTCAGGTATTGGAAAGAAAAAAGACTTGCACTTTAAAAACGTGTGACAGCTAGTTTAAAACTTTTTTTTTTCTTTTAAGGTCTGACTTTTTTTTTGGTCTGACATGAATGACAAATAAATAAAACCAAGCCCCAAAAAACATTGCAAGCACATCAAAATGTCAGCAACAGAAAATGACAGCACATAGATTTTAACACCCCCCCCCCCCGACATCAAATGATGAATAACCCACTGACTAACACTTTTGATTTTGCCCCCCTCCCCCTCCAGACATCAAAAGCTAGATACACTGCTGGATTTTTTGTTTATTAAAATTGTTCTCAAAACTTAAAATTCAGATACTTGCAATACATTGTTTTGTCACTGTAGGCAAATCTGCATAACCATCTTTAAGAAAATGTTAATTATGACAATAAGTTATCCCTTCACATTATTACACATGTAGGTTATTATCAATCGTGGAATTTTACATTTCTTTCTTTCATGAATTATAGCCAGTAATTTTCCTATCCTATCGTTCTCAGTGGGTGTACAATATTCTGGAGAAGAAAGCTGAGGAGGTTGAACGTATCGTCTTTGAGGATCCTGACCCCCAGGATGGCTTTGTCTTGCTCCCTGACATGAAGTGGGACCGGAAACAGATGCAGAACCTTTACTTGGTCGCTATCTGCCACAGGAGGGGCATCAAAAGCCTGCGAGACCTCAACGATACTCATCTGCCATTGCTGAGGAACATCAGAGACAAGTGCCAGGTTGGTCCTCGCTGTCAATATTCAGATTACTAGGATTTCAATTAACAGAATAACCAAATTTATGACTAAGACGAGATAAGTTTGCGGTAGCACCATGTGAATGAATCTCTTTTGTGAGTATGTGTGGTTCCAAGAGATTTATTCACATGGTGCTACCGCAAACTTATCTTGTCTTAGTATCTTTCCACCATGCAAACCTTCAAATCTTAACAAATTTATGACATACATAACTGAGCAGATATATAAATTTGGGCATTACTGAAATGAACTGTTGTCCCATGGTTTCTGGGGCCCTGTTCTTTAATGCTACAGGGTGAACTAAGTTTCAAAGTTACTGGAAGGGATAAGATCCATTATTAAAAATTGATCATATTCTGATAAAGAAAGGGGGCGTCCGAAATTTAAGAAGACATACATCACACTGTACAATATTACCTATGGAAATAGTGCCACCGAAATCTTTATTTTGCTGGAGCCAGTTCTGAAGAATTATATTTAAATTGCCAATTTTAGTCCTTTTTTAACATAATTTTATAAAAGAATCTAACAGTGAAATTTGTTTTAAAATCAAAAGCATCATTTCTGTGAGATACCCATTTGCTTTTTCCCAGGTTTGACAAAATAGGGCCGGATAGCTAAGTTGATAGAGCACTGGAACAGCAATCTGAAAGTCACAGGTTCAAACCCAACTCCTGACCATTCAATTTTCAGCTTAAAAAATGAATAAACAAATAAGTAAATGATTCTTGTAATATTTCATTGTTTTGCAGGAAGCAGTTCTGGAGAAGTACTCCATACGGCCGGACCAACTGAGAATGTACCTCCACTACCAGCCCTCGTACTACCACCTCCATGTCCATGTGACTCATCTGAAGTTCGACGCACCGGGGTCAGGGGTCACCAAGGCCCACCTCCTGTCTGACGTCATCCAGAATATAGAACTCATTCCTGATTACTATCAGAGGAAGACCCTGAGCTTTGTTATTAGGGAGAAAGACGGACTTCTGGCGAGGTTCAGGGAAGTGAGAGGAGAAAAGAAATAGGACTTTCTTGCCAAGTTCTTGTACCCATGAGTTGCACTTTGAGTGCCGTGTGTTTTGTCTGACTCAAGTAAATCCTAAGACACATATCAAGTCTGAGATGCAAGTCACACAACTGACATGAGCCTTAAGAGACATTCAAAAGAAGACTCTTCAGGCAGTTGCCAGTAAATTTGAAAAAAACATACCACTCTTTTTGTGGGATTTGCATTTGTCATCCATAGGCTGACATTTCTTCCCGTTTAGTGTACTTTCTGATCACTGAAATGAGCCAAAAATTTTCCAGCATTTTTAATAAGTGGAGTGCTATCCATGCATTGGGCATGTAGAAAATTAAGTTATAAGTTTGATATAAAACAATTGTTTTTGCCGTACCTGTATACATGTATTCTGGACAAAGCCATAGACAGGGTTTAAAGACAGATTGGGAGGGTTGGGAAAAAAGTCTGGCTGGCCTACTCTCAAGCGCCTTCATGAGCTTCAATATTTGAATATTTATTTATATCCCCAAATTAGGCCTCTTCGTGTGGCATTTTGCTATGTTTTGGTTGCTGGGGCCAAGTAAAAAATAAACCAGTTTCGTTCTCATCCCCGCCCGCTTCCTTTTTTCTAGCTGCCTCTTTTTTTTGGTTAAATTATACATTTGCAATAAATGTTGCACATTATAGTGTCAATACATTGTCTTTTTATTTTTTTTCCCAACAAAATTGTAAGCAATGTAGAAAAAGTTAATGACAGAATTTTGTGTCAACAAAATATTTGAGAAAAGTGAAGAATCCATTCTTGAAAAATCAGCCATCATGGGGACAAAAGAAACGCCCTGCCTCCTTCATTATTTTCAAAAAGGCGGGACATGAAACTACTTTTTTCTGCCTTATAAGGAGATCAGGAGTGTAATAAAAATATATAAACTTTTAAAATATCGTCCGAACACTAATTTTAAAATAGTATATACATTTAGCAAAAGCAGTATTAATGAGTCTATTGGAAATAGACTGATTTAATGATTTGAAATAAACTATACTTATTGCTTTTTAATTGCACTGTTTGCAACGTTTCACATTCGCTATGACATTTCTCACTGTTACTTTATTGGTTGTAATTTTAAGGGCGTCATAAATTTGTGACATTTACTTTGAACTGGTTAAGAGCCTTCTGGTTAAAAAAAAAAAAAATTCAGGACGCAGACACACATTTTCTTCTTGTTGACATCAATATTCTTTTTTATTCCTTTCGCTATAAGAACAAATAATAACGACATCAAAATAATTATTAAATGCCGAAAGCGACTGCCAACATTTATTTCCATCCAAGGTTAGGACAAAAAAAAGTCTCCGGTTTCTGGTATGGAGCTTGCCCAAAAGTGGTGCGGCGACGCGGCTTTTTTTTTCACCAGATTTTTTTGCTTCAAATGTCGGCTGATGACTGCAAATGGTGCCCGACTAAACTTAGTTCAAATATATGGGAGTCCAGAGAGGCTACCTATAAATCTTATTCTCGACCATAACCCAATCTAAAAACACGTTAAAATTGTGCAGCAGCAGGATTCCAGTCAAACCAGTGAGTTTGGCGGTTTTGAGACATCATCTATCATTGAAAAAAAAACTTTTTGCATTTTGCCGACGCGCATGGCTACGGCGACGCGCGCGCATACCAGAAACCGGAGACTTTTTTGGGGGGGGGGGCCTTACCGTCACGTTTCAAGATACGCCTATCCATTATATAATCCACACCTTACGGTTTTCTTAGATAATACTGAAAGCATGAAAACTTATTTTGTTTGGTAATCAAAAAGTAATTTACTTTCAATTACATGTAGTTGATATTGTTCTCAAAATCATTTGCACTGAATCCCTTTAAGTTACTCCGGGTCAGGTCTTGGAATTTGCGGGTTGGGTTATTTACGTTGACAACCTTGTTATGTTCCCCCTGGCCGGGAGGTCCGATAGCCGTCTGATTTGATGGTCTGAAATCGCCGGTGTCAGAAGGTCGATAACAAGCCTGAGAAATGTGCTGAGGCGTTTGGGTGTCTAGAAAACTGTGGAGGAAAAAAAATAGAGTTTCACCACGGAGCAAGTATTCAACGGCCGTTGTTTGTTTAAATTGTCTTGATTTCTGATGTTGAATGTATTTGGAAGTACATGTATATTCGGGTTCAGTTCGTCGTTCCTGGACTGGGTTCACAGCAAAGTTACGTATCCCGCGGGTGAGTTATTTCAGTCAATACAATACTTGGAATGGAATTTTAGATTTTCTATTGCACCTAGCTAGCAAGCACGCACCATGGGTCACGGCCGCTTTTCATGTTGTTGATCATGATGAGCCCAAGGAGGAAGGAAACGTTTCCTTCCTCCATGATGAGCCATATGTATACATTGTGGTCTAAAATTTTCGTGTTTTTTCCCCCAAGGCCAATAGGCCAAAGGAAACTGCTTTTAGGTAATCTTAATTGTCTGAAACTCTAACCGTGAAAAGGCTTGCCAATTATTGCATGCTTTCAGGGTGGGGGGGGGGGGGGGGGGGGGGGGGCTATATAGACTAATCCACGTATTTCGTAATGACTAATGTATATAGCTGCGATTTATTAAAATTGACTGAATTATCTTAACAATTGAATCCTACAATACCAGGACGATATAGGTATTAAATTTTGTGAACCCACACCCTTAACAGCCTTCAAAATCTTGTTTAGCGGATCCTCTTGAATCCAACAAAAAAAAAACCCACAATATTTATACCCCTATTCAGTCAAGCGTCCCTATACCCATAGAAACGGTCAATGGAGGCTTTGGATGAGCATGGGTGAGTAAGCACAATCTTTTTGTCAAGCTATGAGGTTGGACTACCGTGCTTGTTCCCATGGGTTTCAAGCGTCCCTATACCCATAGAAACGGTCAATGGAGGCTTTGGATGAGCATGGGTGAGTAAGCACAATCTTTTTGTCAAGCTATGAGGTTGGACTACCGTGCTTGTTCCCATGGGTTAGCACAATAAATCCTGGCGACCCTTATACATTACATGTAGTACTTTCTGGTTTCTCAGTGGTAACACATACACATGTACCTGTATAAAATTCTAGTCAAATTTTAGTGCAGTTAGCAGCTTTTTGGAATATGTCTTGATAGACTAGGAATTGGTAAGACATTATTGTAGGTGAATCAGGAGAACACTGAGGGAACTTCTGATGATTCTGACGATAAGCGGTGTTGATGGCTCTGTGTCTGGTTCACAAATTTCTATAAAATGGAAAGGATAAATCCTTGTTAGGATTCTCTTTTATCAACTTGTCGTGGCGATGTGAGGTAAGTTTTTTTTTAATTCTTTGTCGGAAAATACCCAAGAGATTAAAAGTGAAGTTATGACATTTAACGAAGACAAACCTATAATTGTTTGTTTGGTTTTCTCTCAACTGTTCCATACTGGTTAAAGGGAATGTACAACATTTGCTTTTGCTGCAATATTCAGAAATAAATGGATTTGGAGGATTAGTTCGTTATAGCAAATATTGTTAAACTGACTTACTTCACGTTTCTGGTTCAGAGATGCTGGAAAGCCCAAGAAAACCAACCATGTTCTTGCAGTCTGATTCCCTGACCCCACTTAAGATAAACAGAGCAATTTATAGACTTTGGGCATTGTAAGGTTATAGAGAATCAGTCTAGCAGGCTTGTACCATTTCACAAATGTGTAAAAACAAATGCAAAGAAAATGCGGAGCAACTACATATGAACAATTAGGAGCAGTTTTTGAAAAAAAAGCCAGTTTTCTCCAACACTGATCGGCCGACCAGCGTTGGGAAAAATACAAGTTTTCTTTAAAATGCCAGCACACCAGGAGCCACGATTTTACAGGATGCTTTGGACTGTCATTCCATAACAGTCCAGTAAGATATTTCGTGATAGTTTGATCATTTCGTTTTTTTGATGTTTGCAAATGTTGTATCTTCCCTTTAATATGCCTAGTGGCTAATTTTTCTCGAAAAAAATGTTTCAATTCAAACCTACACATTATTAACACTTTCTCATTTATACGCACACAAAATGGTGTCACGCATAAAACGTGCATATTTGTTTCCCCTGTGCTATTGTTATCTTTATTTCTATAAGCTCTAATGAATCATAATAATTTCTAAGTATAAATTGTTTTCCCCATGCTTTGAGATAAGTAAAGTAAACTAAAAATGAAAAACAAAATGAACATGAAAACTATAGGTTAACGACAGTTAGTGCGACAAGCAGACATTAATTGTCAGGCTTTTAAAACTGTTCCGTGCAGTTAGTGATACTAAATATAACAAAATTTATACGTCGGCGATTATTGCGTGCAAAGGAATATTTTTTTTTTAGCAAAAGCAAACTAAACGGCTTTCGATTTAGCAATGGACGTGGATTATAAGTATATGGCTTCAGCGCAGTTGTCGGCTAATTCAGAAAAAAAATGATAAAGAAAGTGGCCAAAACTTGAAGGCAGTTTATTTACACCAACATTTGGCAACAAGTTGAGTAATCGCCGATTTTCCTTCAAAGACGTAGACTAACGAGGGGATCTATGGTTAAGTAAACCTACCGCATTTGGAAAATGTTGATGTATGGGACTTTTTATGGAAGGTTTTTGATATTAAATTTAATTTATGGAAGGTAAACCCATGTTTAAGTGTTCACGGTTGTACCAGTCTCAACCATTGGCCACTGAAACCAAATATTGAACACGTTTCCCTGCTATATGTCAGTGTATGTGGTGCAAGACACATAATCCGACTCGATTATAATCGATATCTCGAACACTTTTCTTCATTGCGTGAAATAATCGATGAATCGATGAAGACATTCACTGAGATGACGTCGTAGGGAGAGATGTTCCGTTAGAGAATAAAGTCTGCGGTGTTATCGATTGTGTTCTCAGTTCCTGAAACGATCTGTTATTGTGAAAGAGACAGTAGGCCCTATATGTCGGCTGGGACGGAGAATAATAATGTCAACATGTCAACATGGCAACTTGTGCTGAAGTGGACCAGTTGACGTTCTGGACCTTGGTGCCTGCCTAGAGCTTTAAATTAGCCCCATACTCCAAGTTGAAGAAAGATGACATGGTATATACGACGGTGATACATAGAATGAGGTTCTGGATGACACTGTATGACTCAGGTATGACTGGTATGACTGTCAATCTCTCCTGTGAAGAAGCTTGGTTCAATGAAGCGGTAGGGAAAGATGTTTTCCGGACTTTTCGGCAATATTCGGCAATATTGTCGAGATTGGCGCTTGGTAGAATAATCATTTGGAATGGGCCTTGTGATTACCAAGCCTAAAATAAAACCAGGTTTGCGCTGTGTGAGTTTTAAGTCTGAATTGATTTCGAAGATGCTGTATCTGTCTGCCTGGGGATTTTAGACACTTCTTCGCACTGTAAGTAATCCATTTTGAGAAGATGGAACCTTGTCTGTAAAAAAAAAAAGTAGTATTAAAATGACTGTTGTTTTTTGTTTGCATCTATAAAGGTTTGGAGTCACAACCATCACGTCGAAGTTGGATAAGCTTCAGCTAGCCTATATGACAACTTTGTTTTTAATGATATATCTTTTGGAAATGTAATCATCAGATGATTGGAGAACTTCCTTTTTAAAGTGAAATTATTGCCATGGGAGAAGTGGCAGAGACACGCGAGAGCGGTGGGCGCCCTCTGGCGCCGCTGATTCGCGCCCCAAAGATGACCATCACCACATCGCCACGCCCACCCATCAAGGCGTCATCATCATCACCCCTCGTCGGCGGTGCCTCCTCCGATCTGGGGCGCCTCAAGAGACAGGAGAAGCTGAGGACGGTACTTGCCATGATGGACCGAGGGAGCAAGAAGAAGAAGACACATAATAAGCGGTCAACACGAGACAGGGGGAAGCCAAGGGGCGGGCGTGGTCGCTGCTCGCCGCAGACGTGAGAGGCAGTATTGACGGGGAAGGCCTGCCGTTGATGATGCGAGGCCAGCAGCGGCGTGGGGCTATCATGGACGGGAGGTTACCCACCAGGAGCCCCCGCGTCGATG